GAGGTGATAACCAGGGTGATTATCAGGATATTTGCAAGGGTGCTTACAGTGGTGATTGTGGTAATAACTGGGAACGGACCTGTAGCAGCAGCAGCAGCAGGGACAGGGGAAGTGTGAGCATGGGAGTAGCGCCTGAGCCAGGGAACAGTGGGGGTTACCAGAATGGTTACACTGGTGACTGCGGTAATAACTGGTTAATGAACAGTAGCAGTAGTAGCAGGGGCAGCGGCAGCGTGAGAAGGGGAGCAGCGGCAGAGCTAGGAAACAGTGGGGATGGGAGGGTGAGTGAGAAGTTCGATTGTGGAAATAACTGGGAAAGGGTCAACAGCAGTAGTAGCAGGGCCAGCGGCAGCGTGAGAAGGGGAGCAGCGCCAGGCCTAGGGAACAAGGAAGGTGGGAGGGGGAGTGAGGAGGAGTTGGATTGTGGTAACAGCAGCAATAGCAGGGAGAGGATCTGCAACAGCAATAGCAGGGACAGGGGCAGTTTAAGCAGGGGAGAAGCGCCAGAAACAGGCAGCAGGGGAGGTGGGAGGATGAGCAGGGGAGTTGGGAGCATTTGCAGGGGAGATGGGAGCTTGAGCAGGGGGGGTGAGAACATGAGTAGGGGGGATGAGAACATGAGTAAGGATCTCCACCAAGGGACCAGCAGCACAAGAAGCCTTAGCAAGAGCGATGCTATCAGGAGCAGTGCTAGCAGCAGCCTCAGAGGCAATGTTCTCAGGAGCACTGGTAACAGCAACAGCACGGGCAACGGCGGGGGAGGCAGCATGAGGAGCAACGCTGGCAGGAGCACCGGTAACAGCAATAGCACGGACAACGGAAGGGGAGGCAATACTAGCAGGAGCACTGGTAGTAGCAACAGCACGGACAACGGAAGGGGGGCCAACAGAAGCTGCAGAAGCGGCAATGACCTGTACACAAGTAACACGGTTGGTAACACCAGGAGTGGCAACACAAATAGTGGTAACATGAGGGGCGGTAACAGGAGCAGTGGCAACGGTAACAGTGACAGCAGCGACGGTAGCAGCAGCCGACGCAGTAGAGGGAGCAGAGGGAGCAGCAGAAGCAGCAACAGCCAGAGCAGCGGAACGTCAAGGTCAAGAGGCATCACCAGCAGAAGGGTGGCTCTCCCCTCTCCCGCCTCCTCCTGTGCCTCCTCTCTCTCCTCTCCCTCCTCTCCCTCCTCCCCATCCTCTCCCTCCATCCCTTCCGCCCCCTCCTCCCCACTCCCCCCTCATTCCCCTCCTTCCCCTCCTTCCCCTCCTTCCCCTCCTTCCCCTCCTTCCCCTCCTTCCCCTCATTCCCCTCCTTCCGTTCATGCTGCACCTTCCCCCTGTTTCCCCCCCACTCCTTCCGCCTCCAACCCCCGAGCCTCCCCCCAGGCCTCCCACCAAACCTCTTTCCGAGCCTCTTCATCCGGTTCTCCCGGCGCTTCTCCCCGGGTCAGGTCCGGCAGGTCCGCCTCTTCAGGCTCGACATTCCCCCGAGCCTACTCGTCCGGTTCGGCAAGGTCTCCCAAGCAGATTCGGCACAGCAGAAGCGCCACCAGCAGCACTCAGGGAAGAAGCACTCGCAGCAGAGGAAGCAGCAGGAGAGGTGGTAACCCTACGGTTACTAGTAGGAAGCAAAGCAGGACTCGCAGCAGCAAGACCCAGCGCGAAACCAAAAGCAATACCCATGAGAATACCCAAAGCAGCAGCGCTGATTATATGCCCACAGCCGTACCTCATTCGTCCGAGGCTTCTTCCGCTGCTGATTTCACCTCCGGACCACTTCCTGGGCCTCATTCCGAGCCTGTCTCTCACCCAGGTCGTACCGAACCTGATCCACCATCCCCAGCAGCTTCCGAGGCTGAGGCTCAGGTCTGGGCTCCTTCCAAGTCTCGGGCTGTTCTAAAGGAAGATTGCAACGGTTCTCCGGTTTCCGAACCTAGGTCATCCGAGCCTGAATCTCCACTTTCCCAGCCTCAGCCTCGTTCTTCGATTGCCGAACCTGCAGCTCCTCCAACCAAGCCTCCTCGTCCCCGTGCTTCGGGCAGCCGAAGCGATCTCTCGGGCAGTGAAACTGCTCGTTCGGTCAGCACCAGACAAAAGACAGTTGATCGTCTTGCCGCTCCTGTCAACCTCCCCTCCTCCCCATCGGCCCTTCCACTCCCTCCCTTACCTGAATCGACGTCTTCTCCTCCTCTCCCTCCCTCACCCCACACTCCAGGCGCTTCCACATCTACCTCGCCTCTCCCCAACACTTCTCCCCCCTCTCTTTCTCTCACTCCTATTTCCCCCACTACCTCCTCTCCTCCTTCCCCCACCCTCCCCTCCCCTCCCCCTCTCTCCCCACTGCCGCCGTTTTGGCCTGTCTCCCCCTCCTCTTCCTCCCCTCCCTCTCCCTCTGCCTTCTCTTCCCCCTCTCCTTCCCCCTCTCCTTCCCCCTCTCCTTCCCCCTCTCCTTCCCCCTCTCCTTCCCCCTCTCCTTCCCCCTCTCCTTCCCCCTCTCCTTCCCCCTCTCCTTCTCCCTCTCCCTCCCCTTCCACCCCCCTCCCACCAACCTCCCCAATTCAAAGGAGAAAAGCAGCTGCTGCAGCCGCAGCAAGAAAAAAGGCCATCGCCTCTGGTTTGGTGCTTGCTGGTTTGGAGAACAGTGGTTCGGCCACAGGCTCGGTTCCAGGCCCGGTTTCAGCCCCGGCTTCACGTCCGGTTGAAGCATTTGGTCAGGGTTTAGGTTCGGCAGCGAGGATGGGTGAAAGGGAGACGCGTGGGAAGGAAATTTCCGAGAAGGAGCAGAAGAGGGATGAGAAACGTGAGAAGGAACATCAAGTTCGAAAATCGCATCTAGAGGAAAGCAGAGCAGATGGGGAAAGTGAAGGGGGGAATGTGGATAGGAGTAATAGCAGCAGGAGGAGGGAGGGAGAGAGGGACATTAGCAGAACCGGCAGTCATTGCCGCAGCAGCAGTGGGAGCAGCAGGGGAAGTAGGAGCAGTAGGAGAAGGAAGAAGAGGGACAATAGGGATGAGGGTAGTGTTGTCAGCGATGGCAGCAGCAGTGGCAGCGGCGGCAGCAACAGCGGCAGCAACAGCGGCAGCAGCAGCGATAGCAGAAGCAAGAGTGGTGAAGCAGGAGAAGGAGAAGTTTTGAGTCGACTCAAAACTAAACGCAGCAGCAATAGCAGAAGCAAGAGTGGTGAAGCAGGAGAAGGAGAAAGGGGAGGAGGGGATGGGGGAACTGCGGAGAAGAGGAACGAGGTGGGGAGGGAAGAAAAAGTTGCAGATGCTGCTGTTGAAGGGACAGCAGCGGCAGCAGCAACAGCAACAGCAGCAACAGCAACAGCAGCAGCAGCAACAGCAACAGCAACAGCAACAGCAACAGCAACAGCAACAGCAACAGCAGCAGCAACATCAGTGGCAGTAGGTGCAGGTACTGGCGCAGCAGCAGCAGCCATGCTGCATCCCCAACCCGTGATGACGTCAGCATCTCCATCTCATGGCTCCATGATGACATCAGCATCGCCGTCCGCAACATCTCCCTCTATGCCAGCCCAGATGGGCGGCGCTGGAATGGGGGTGGCGGGTTTTGAGTCGAGTCAAAACTGGGTGGCGGGGATGGTGGGTCTGGCCGGCATGACAGCTGGCACGGGCCGGCAGCAGCACCCCGTGATGACGTCATCAGAGCAACCCATGCTGACGTCATCGGGCAACCTGGTGGCAACTGCCATGAAGCTTCCTCCGGTGCCTCCCACATTCTTGAATGCTGCCAATGGTACTGTAGTTTATGGTAATAACAATATCAACAGTGTACTGTACTGCAACGGTCAACAGGGGCTACAGGGATTACGGAGTAGTGATCCGCGGTTCAGTGCGGTGCAGAATGATGGGGGGGGTTTGCAGCACACAGGTCTGCAGCAGCGGAATGGGGGTTCGAACCTGCCTGATGGATCGATGCAGTCACCAGAGCACATGGGGATGATGACTTCAGCAGGCCAACACATGATGCCGTCACCTGCTCCTGCTCCTTCTAGACGCACTCATATCCACTCACTCTCCCCCTCTCTCCCACTCTCCCCTTCACACCCTCTCTCGCTCTCACACCCTCCCTCTTCCTCTCAACCACACTCACCCTCCCCAACGCATCCTCTCTCCCCATCACAATACACCACGATGACGTCAGCATCTCACTCGATGCTGACGTCATCCGTGGCAGCATCGGGCATGGCTTACCCCTCAGCCAGCATACCATACGCATCCACTGATGCTGTACCATCCATGTCCATACCCTTGCAACAACCATCCCTGGCCTCGCAACAATCCATGCCGTCACAACAGCAATCCATGTGTATACCCTCTCAACAACTACCCATGGCCCCACAACCATCCATGGCCCCACAACAACCCTTGCAACTGCAAACTCTAGGCATGGCTGCTCCTCCAACCCCCCCAACCTTCCCCAGACACTCTCTAACCATCTCAATTCCCTCAATCCCATCAACCCCATCACCCCAATCACCCACATCTCCGAATTTCCCTTCTCTCTTCAAGGCGACTCATTCTCTCCAGAGTCACCCCTCAGGGGCTTTAAGCGCATCCTTCCCGCAAATGAATGCACATGGGAGTAGTGGTGTACATATCGCCTCCTCCTCCCATCCATCCCCTCATCTTTCCTCTCAGCCTTCCTCCCCTGTGCATGCACATGCAGCTTCTAGCTCCCCCATGGTTTATGGCACCATGCATGCACATGCCATCAATAGCACCATAGCCGGTGCAGGCAGCAGCAACAACAGCGGAATTAACAGCGGTAGCATGCTGGTTACCGCACCTAACAGCAGCAGTAACCACATGCACGCACCCATGCACGCACCCATGCATGGATATGCAGGCAACAGCACCATAGCCAGCGCAGGTAGCATCAATAACAGCGGCTTTAACAGCAGCATGCTGGCTAGCGCTCCTAACAGTATGCAGGTTACTGCTCCCACCACCATGACCATGCTGACGTCAGCGCGCCATGACATGCCCGCGATGGTGACGTCATCGATGCAGGTTCAGCAGGATTCGGTGACGTCAGGAGGATATGGGGGTGGAACAGTGGTGGTGACGGGGAGTGGAGAGAGGGGGGGGCCGCAGCAGCAGATTGTGCGCGGTTGTGAAACAGGTGAGCAGCAGCAGCAGCAGCAGGGGAGGGGAACGACGACGACAACAGTTACTAGCATAAACCCCATGATCCCTCCTAGAATAATTGCTGCTATTTACTCTAAAATACCCGAGGGTATTTCCCCTGAGCTGCAGCAGCAGTGGGTGGAGCAGCAGCAGCAGTCTTACTTGCTTCACCAGCAGCAGAAGCAGCAGCGACGGCAGCAGCAGGAGCAGCAACGGCAGCAGCAGGAGAGGGAAAGGCAGTTACAGGAAGAGATACTGCGGCAACGGAGAGCAGAAGAGAGGGAGAGGGAGTGTGAAAGGGAGAGGGAGAGGAGGGAAAGGGAAAGGGAGAGGGAGAGGGAACGGGAAATGGAGAGGGAGAGGAGGGAGAGGGAAAGGGAGAGGGAGAGGGAGAGAAGGGAGAGGGAGAGGGAGCAGGAAAGGGAGCAGGAGAGGGAGAAGGAGAGGGAAAGGGAGATGGAAAGGGAGAGGAAGAGGGAATCAGAGAGGGAGAGGGAGAGGCGGAGGAGGCAGATGCAGGAGCAGAAGCCATTGGCCGTGGTGATGCTGATGCAGTCAATGGGAGCACGCAAGAAGAGCGAGAGCAGGGATGGAGGCAGGTCAGGAGGAGGGGCGGGAGGAGCGATGGGGGCAGATGGATGGGACGGATCTTCCCCTGCCCGTCAACGAGGCCAGTGCAGGGACTCGGACTACGTAAGACTCTGCTCCGTTTCATCTCTCCTCATCTTTGAACTTCTTTTTTGTTTGAGCTTCTCTGATAAAAAAGGGACGGATGGATCCATGGCACGAAGGTTGGCCTCGAAGAGTCCTCTGTTTGACTGTTCTTTGCAGGTTCCTTGAAAGTTCTCTGCGCCTTCTCTTCAGCTTCCTGGTTCTGCAGCTTCGTTGCAGCTTCTCTGAAGCATGCAACATAGAAGTGGGTGGGAAGCAGCTTCTTGGATTGACTCAAGAGGCACTGAATCCGCACTCAGATGTCACTTTTGACAAAGGGAGGGAGGGATGCAACATTGGAGGGATGCTCATCGAGTGTTTTTGTTGTTATTAGTAAACAGGTGGGCTGCGGAGGTCTGATGTACATGAAGGTTTTTGTTTGTACTTCATGTTTGAAGAAGTGTTTTGAGACGTCTCAAAACACTTCTTCAAACGCGGAGGTCTGATGTACATGAAGGTTTTTGTTTGTACTTCATCAGTACAAACAAGCCTGAAGGAGGAGGGCTTTTTTGAGGAGGGCTCATCAAGCAGAGCAGAGGAGGGAGTATTCCCCCATTCCCCCATTCCCCCATTCCCACATTCCCCTGGGTTTCAATTCCTTCATTTACCCCTGCCCGCTTTCAAGGTGACCTTTGAGTCGACTCAAAAGGAGGAGGTGCTGATCAAGCCGAGCAAAGGAGGGACTTTTCCCCGATTTCTCTGATCATTCCCCTGGGTTTTAATTCCCGCCCTCTTTCCCCCCTGGATTCTCTCCCCCTTCCCCCCCTGCAGGTTGCCTGCCGTGCAAGCCTCTGCGGCGCTCCCAGCCGTCGGGGCAGCTGTCTCATTCCTCCGTACCCATGCCCATGCCTGTGCTCATTCATTCCCCCTCAATTCCCAACTCCCCACCCCCCCTCCCCCCTGAAGGTTCCTTGTCACTCGAGCCTCTGCAGTGCTCCCAGCCGCCGGGGCAGCACAAGGGAAGCGCAGCAGCCCAGGCAGGCAGCATATGGCAGCAGCACGGCAGCACAGAGGGCGGTGCTGCTGAGGGAACAGTCAGAATCTGATTCGCTGCGGCAGCACATGCAGCAGCAGCAGGTGTTGCATCAGCAAATGCAGCAGCAGCAGCAACAAATGCACCAGCAGCAAGTGTTACAGCAACAGATGGAGCAGCGGCAAATGCAGCAACAGCAAATGCAGCAGCAACAGCGTATGCAGCAGCAGCAAATGCAGGAGCAACATCAGCAAATGCAGCAGCAGCAAATGCAGGAGCAACATCAGCAAATGCAGCAGCAGCAAATGCAGGAGCAACATCAGCAAATGCAGCAGCAGATGATGCAGCACCAACAAATGCCACAGCACGTGGTGTTACAAGGGCAAACGCCACGGCACGTGTTACACATGCAGCCGCAACAGCTGTTACCACAACAGCTGATGCTACACCCAACCCAACAGTTACCGCAACATCAAGTGTTACACCAAACTCAGCAGTTACCACAACGGCAAACAGCCTATGAGGTCTCACAGATGCATCATCCTCAGGTGTTGTCACGCCACGGCATACCCGATTACAGGCTCCCGCAATACCAGTCATTGCATTTAACTGGCGACAGCTGGGCCAGATAAACATATGGTGGCAGCAGACAGCCTATGAGGTCTCACAGATGCATCATCCTCGCCCAACGGCATACCACGGTATGAGCTACCTCAATACCAGTCATTGCATTTACCTGGCATCAGCTGGGCCAGATCAAGCTACATGTACCTGCACCTGTGCCTTGGTGCTCTGTTTCTCTTGTTTTGTACATGTGTATCTATCGATGTACTAAACAAATAACGTCATATAATAGTAATGAGCGTACAACAGTACCCCAAATCATGGATCCCCGAATGTGCAGCACCAATATTCGCCTCAAAGCTCAGTAACTTGACTTGAGGCATCATCTCATACTATATCTAGGGGAACTGTGAGTGGACTTGGGATTAGCAACAAAACATAATGATTCGACAGGCACCTGGATAGTGGAAGCTACGGTAACATCCACTTGCCATTCCATGTCTTTCAAGACGCAGCCCATCGCCCACACGCTTGCCCTTGCATCAGCCGGAAGCAGCAAGTTGAATGGAAAGTGGAGGGAATGGCTCAATAGAGTGAAGGACAGTACAGTACTGGTACATGGATGGGGTAGGGAGTATGAGAGAAGCAGTACGGGTGGGAAAGGAGGAGACAGAAGCCCTGGGGGAGAGGAGAAAATAGGCTGGAGGGTGGGAGTAACACAATATCTATGCAAGAATTGTTCCCCACATCGCATAGTTCTCAGATAACAAAGAGGTGCTCCCCCCCATGGCTACAAGACTAAAGCAGGGAAAGCACCGGGAAAGCATTGCGTGATGGCGCCTCATCGTGTAGTTACCAGTTGCCAGAATTTACTATATTTCACCGTTTTTGGTCACCATGACTCCAATGCGCCGTGAAAACTCCTCACCCGTCTGTCAGATGTTCGAAGAACGGCCATCATGCATGTCACAGATGCACTCCCTGCATCTCACACATGCAGAACCTGTGCGTCACAGATGCGGTCCATGCATGTCACACATGCGGACCCCATGCAGTATTCTTTGAGAGTCACTCACGTCGGGGTGCTGACATGCTGAACACACGTTAGATATACCATGCCATGAAAGAAGACACTTTAGATATATCAGATGAACATGCTGAAAAAAGACCAGATTCGACTTGAAAAGAAGAGTAAACGACGCACCGCGCGTCGTTCGATTTAAACTTTCAGCCAAGCCCTGACGTCGTAAGCTAAGAGGAGTAACGACGCATCGCGCGTTCCCAGCTGGAAAGTGCCGCAGAAAGTGCTACAATAATATAATAATTGCTTTGCAATCGTACGCTTCCTGATCTAATCAGCCGCATGCTCCCTACAAGGCATAGAAACAAGAGTTATAATCGCCGTTCCTAGCAAGACATTGATCGTCCATTAGTGCTTTGTGTCAGCTCGATCGTGCTGGTAATTCCGTAGGTAAACAAGGTCAATTAAACTCGTAGGCAAAACTTCTATATAAAACATTTTACATGTACAAGAAAGCGAACCTCCACTTTAAACCCCAACCAGCTACAAATTCAGCTTCAACCAGCGAAAGGCCTAACTTCTGCTGCTGCTGCTCCCCTTGAGTCTTGAGTCTTCACCCCTCTTGGCCACTAGAGGCAAAGCCTCTAGCGTTACACCTGAGCACCGCGTTGAGGTAGGGGTTTTTCGCTCAGGACACCTGTTGGAGGGAGGGGGCTGGGTGGGAACAGGAGAAGAGAGGGAAATAAATGATGAAAATAGTTTTGGGGGGAAATTATGGAAATTACTGCCACGGGCAGAAAACCACCTCAGGTCTTGGCTGTCAGATGACCTGCAGCTCACCTGACGCAAATTACCAGCTCACCCACCCACCCAATCGGAACCACCCACCCAACCCATCTAAAGCCCTCACCCACCCAATCGTAACCAACCCAACCGTGGTATACCGTACCGGGCTTTTCTATCGAGACTATCGAATCTGTTTGCTGTCGTCGGTCGATTCTACACGAGTCCGTCTGTAACGCGTCTGTGAGTCTGCTCTAGTGCTCGCAGGAGAGTTGGGGCCGATCCCCTGCTCGTTGTCCATCAACCTGGCACGGGACGCTTGAAGCAGAGAGGAGAGGAAAGATGTGAAGTGGCGGCGTCCGCGACTCCGCGACAAAATCGATGGCGTCCGCGACTCCGCGACACACGCGATGGCGTCCGCGACTCCGCGACACACGCTATGGAGTCCGCGACTTCGACGCCTGCATCTTAGAGAAACGAGAGATAGTTAGTTTTGGATGAAAAAATCGAAAGCAATAATAAAAACGAAGCTGACATAAACAAGCGGAAAGAGAAAAGCATGTAAAATCGTGGGAGGGAGAGAGACTTACCAACTACCTTGAGCTCCAAGATCCAAGTCTGAAAGGGATAAAGGAAGAAGAGAGGAGAAAGGAGGGGAAAGGTGATGGCGTCCGCGTTCCTGCCGAACCTGCAACTTGGAGGAAGCGGCGATAGTTAGTATAGAATAAAAAAAAAGTATAAAACAAAAACAGAAACGAAAAACAAGCGAAAAAACAGTAAAAGCGTAGCAGGAAAGATAAACTTACAAGCTCCAAGCTCCAAGATCCGAGTCTGAAAGGGACAGAGGAAGAAGAGAGGAGAAAGGAGGGGAAAGGTAATGGCGTCCGCGTTCCTGCCGAACCTGCAACTTGGAGGAAGCGGCGATAGTTAGTATAGAATAAAAAAAATTTAAAACAAAAACAACAACGAAAAACAAGCGAAAAAACAGTAAAAGCGTAGCAGGAAAGATAAACTTACAAGCTCCAAGCTCCAAGATCCGAGTCTGAAAGGGACAGAGGAAGAAGAGAGGAGAAAGGAGGGGAAAGGTAATGGCGTCCGCGTTCCTGCCGAACCTGCAACTTGGAGGAAGCGGCGATAGTTAGTATAGAATAAAAAAAATGTAAAACAAAAACAACAACGAAAAACAAGCGAAAAAACAGTGAAAGCGTAGCAGGAAAGATAAACTTACAAGCTCCAAGCTCCAAGATCCGAGTCTGAAAGGGACAGAGGAAGAAGAGAGGAGACAGGAGGGGAAAGGTAATGGCGTCCGCGTTCCTGCCGAACCTGCAACTTGGAGGAAGCGGCGATAGTTAGTATAGAATAAAAAAAAATAAAACAAAAACAACAACGAAAAACAAGCGAAAAAACAGTGAAAGAGTAGCAGGAAAGATAAACTTACGAGCTCCAAGCTCCAAGATCCAAGTCTAAAAGGGATAGAGGAAGACGAGGGGAGAAAGGAGGGGAAAGGTGATGGCATCCGCGTTTCTGCCGAACCTGCAACTTGGAGAAAGCGGCGACAGTTAGTATAGAAGAATTAATTAAAAAAAACCCGAAAAATAAGCGGAAACAAGAGAACCTTACCCTCGTCCTTACCACTTTTCGATCTGAAGTGTCCATGTCGACCACTGTATCGAGCCTACCGTCGCGCACCGTTTACTAACGAGTCTGTCGAGCCACCGTCGCGCACTGTTTCGATTCTACCGTGCCGTCGCGGTCGACTGTTCTAACGATCCGTCGCGTCGCGGTCGACTGTTCTAACGAGCCGTCGCGGTTTGCTGCACTAACGAGTCTTCCAGTCGCGGACCTGCAAAATCCAGCAGGGATAGGCACGGAACAAAAAAGAACAAGAAGAATGCACAAAAAAAGAACCGAATGCACGACGGATACTTACATTGCAAGGTTACCGTCATTTCGTGCAGCTTCTCTGGTCGTCGAAGGTCGTAAAAGGTCGTCGTCGAAGGTTGTAGTCCACCCAATCACCCCACCCACAACGCGACTCTGCGACGCTGCGACGCTTGCGACGCTGCGACTCGAGACACTTACGATGCCAAGCTGGATGCCGTTGGCTGACTCCGGGTTGTCTTGGTGGAAGCAGAAAGAAGCATCCCCTCGAGTGCTTACCTCGTGAAGTTCGTTGAAGCAAAATGCTTACCTTCTGAGCATTGTCGAAGTGGGTGTGTAAGGATCTTACCATTCAGAAGCTGCTGAATGAACTGATGGGATGGGAGTAAGTCGTGAAGGTGAGCTCAGTTCCTTGGTGGTGCCGAGCTGACTGCCGAGGGGACCAGGGGCTGTGGTGCCGCCTTCGGGAATACCTTGGTTGGAATCTTGAAGTGGTGGAGATGAAAATCAAGGGTGTAGGTAGCGCCGCAAGCAATGGATGGTTGAGATGCCGCAAGCCGATGTATGGCGGCCAGATTTGGCAAAAGTTTGCGCCAAGTGACGGCAGGACGTCTGACAAAAGATTGGGTTGACTGAGTCAGACCTTCTGTTCAAGGCGGGGAAATTGGCACGCTGACATCCCCCATTGTAGCTGCTCCATTTTATGCAGATATTAATTTGTTTTTTTTTTATGATTGCTCTGTCGTGGCAGCGGGAAAGTCGAGAGATGGGCACGTGGCGATTGCTTCTAGGAGATCGTTGACGTGGCACTAAGTCTAGTAGGAACAAAAATTTTGCGTGAAGCGCGGGACGGCATTCGCAGGTATGAAAGTTGGGCGAGTTTAGCAAAAAGCCGAGTTGGTTTAGGCGAAGCTCGTGGGCAGCTGAGAGGAAAATCGTTGTAGCCAATGGAAATGTTTTTTTGGAGGGACAGGACACCAAATAAATCGAAAGTGGTCGCCAGATGTCGCAATGGATAAGAGATGCGAAGGAAGTGGCGAAGAAATGGCGACGAATGAACACATGGCACGTTGATTTACGCAGTCCTAAAGCTCCCCCTTGTATTCCTGCTTCAGATTTCAACTTCGTGTTTAGGTCTAGGAATTGGCTACCTCAGGTCTCACTCCTTTTAAAAGTAGCTTCTAGTATCACGCCTCGTACCTTCGTAGCATCTCGCTTCTACTCAGTAGCTCATCGCGGTACGATTGATCCAAGCATCCTTGTTAGTAGCAGCTGCTGTTGTTCAGATCGGAGCGGCATGACGCACAGGGTACGTATGAGTACGGTAGTACGGTTGAGGCGGTTTTCGGCCCGAGGCGGTTGACGTAGTTCATGGCGCGCGTCTCGTCCGCCTTTATCGGAGTAGCATGGCGAACAGTCGTAGTACGGTCGCCAATGCTTTTAGTTTGTGCCATTTTCGTACGAATGTTTTATCTCCACTTTGAAAGTGCCTTCGAGAAGAGGCTCAGATCTGGATGAGCGCCAAGTACGAATATGCGACTCATTACCGTCCCCATCAGTTTCCCAGCAAACCCTAGTCGTTTTTTTTACGCGCGATGTCTCTGGTACTCGCTCTGCTAACTCGCACCTGGCGACTCGTGCTGGACGCGGCTGAGATAGAGTGGCTGAACGCGAAGGTAAGTCGCGCTGGTAATTCGCGCTGCTGACCTGCTAAGTGTATTGTGAAACAGAATGGCCGAGGGCGAACCTTTTAGGCTCCGTTCCTCCCTGCCCGCATTTTTACTCAATCCCCCTCTCCCCCCTCCCTTCCTGCTCCCACACTCTCCCGTAACGCACATGCTGGGTTTCCGAGAGAGAGCTTTCAGCAGCATCCTTCCCCGTTCCCTCTCCCTTCCTCCCCCCCCATACCCCCCCCCCCCCCCCTCCAACACCCCTTCCCCCCTCCCGCCCCCCTCCGACCACACTGCCCCTTTACACAATTGCATGGTTCTTAGAGAAGATATATCTGCAGCATTCTCAAACACGCTAATTATAAGATCTATTGCATGGTTCTGCTCTTTTCCATTCCTTCATATCCTTCCATTCCCTCATATCCTCTCATTTTCGAACACGCTGGGGAGGGTGTCTGTCTAAATTTTTTGTTCATTTCAGCTCTCCCTCCATTCCCTTCCGCCAGCCTCCCCCCTCTCTCTCCCCTCCCCCTACCACTTTTTCCCCCTCCCAGCCTCTCCTCATCCCCGTGCCACTCCTTCCCCCCTTTCCCCCCACCTCACGTTCCGCTTTCTTCTTTTTGCTAGCCCCTCATTCCGCCTTTACTCATCGCCTGGCGCTCCTGTGTTCCGGCGCCAGTGCTGGTAGCAGCAGCAGCGGAAGCATGAGTGCAACAGCAAAGGTGCTTTGGCCTCTGAACAGACTCTTGGCAGAACAGGCTCTTGTTGAAGCACCATGGAAAAGGTTAGGTGATAAATATGGGTTTTGAACGCCTTGCTTGTGCCGAGTAGCTCGCATGCTTACCTTTACATTGCATCATAAGAGCAATGTACAGAATCTTTCTTTCTTTACTATAGCAGTGTCTGCTCTGTGAAGTTCTTGAGCAAGTGTAGGCTTCACCCCTGTTTCAACTCCGTAGTAATACGAGGCAGTACAAACCGTCTGACAAGTGAGCTGATTCTGGTGTTGTCACACTGTCCATGGAAAGAAGTTGAAGTCAAACCACATCAAAGAAATCCACAAGGAACCAAATACCGTACATCACCACCATATCACCAAATCAGGTATATACATCACACGGTATGGAAGGAATACCATTGCCCCTCCTCCGAATCCTCACACGCACCCCATTCTTTGGTCGAAGGTTCAACCCAGCTTGCAATGGCAGCTTGCTGCTATCCTCTCTTGCCTTGCTGCTATCCTCGCTTGCCTTGCTGCTTGCACCCCCCCACACACCCTCCCCTGCCTCCTCAGTCTCTCCCCGCTTCCCTCTCTCCCTTTCTTCAACGTCAGTCTTGCAAGTTGTGAGACCTCTTGACGCATCGACATCAGTCGAAGATGCTACTGCTATGTCACATGCTGATGAAAGCTCAAATACCCGCAGCAGCAGCATGAGGCAGAGTTTGATCTCCATCATTGCGAATCGTGCACCGATGCACATGCGCGGACCGGCACCGAAAGGCAAGTACATGGCCTCTGACTCTGCCGTCCACAGCACCTCCTTTGATTCATGCTGCATAGCTCCTCCTTCCCCTTCACACTTGATCAATTCTCCGCCCTCTTCGCCCCTTCCTTCCCCCTCTTGCCCTCCTGCTTCCTCTTCCCTCCCTCCCTCCTTCCACCCAACTCCCTTCTCACACGCTGCCCGCTGACCGAAACGTTCGGGCAGAAAAGAAAGCGGCCGGGGGAAGAAATCCGGGCAGCGGTGGGAAGCGAAAATCGGGATCACGACTGGCGTGTTTGCAGGGATTTGGTAACCAGCCAGAGTTGTTGCATGGATGGGCAGGCGGGCAGCTATAGGGGCAGCAGGGTACAGCCTAAGTGTTTCTTTTACCACCATGTCAAGATACTTAAGCTCCTCTAAGCCTTCGAACAAAGGCCTCCTTTCAGGAAAGTGAGGGGAGTCTTTGGATCTGCTGCTCCTCATCTCCCCTGCCTCCCTCTCCCCCACCCCTTCTCCCGTCCCCTCTTCCTCCTCTTCCCCCTCCTCTTTCCCATCCCCTTTCCCCTCTTCCTCCCGCTCCCTTTCCTCAAAATACCTGTCGATTTCAGCCTGAAGTTTCTGAGAAACGTCCGGGTGCTGAGTCAGCATGTGGACAGCAAATGCCAGGGTGGACGATGTGGTCCCCACTCCGGCACCCAGGAGGCCAAAGAGAATCAAAGGAAGATCCGACTCAGCCAGTCTTGCTCCTGTGCCTTTATCTCGGAAGCTGAGGTGAAAAGGGGGAGGAGAAAAGGGGAGAGAAGGGGAGAGAAGGGGAGAGAAGGGGAGAGAAGGGGGACAACAATCATGGTAACGCCAGGGTGGGTAATGTGATGCCTGCTCCAGCACCCAGGAGGCCAAAGAGGATGAGAGGCAGGTCGGATTTGAGCAGACGTGCTCCTGTGCCCTTGTCTCGGAAGCTGCTAGAATGAGGGAAAAACAGGGGGAAGTTACAGTTATGGGTGGAGCACGATGTGGTGCCCACTCCAGCGCCCTGGAGACCTAAGAGGAGCAGAGGAAGGTTGGATTTGAGCAGAGGAGCACGAATAACCAATAAGGTCCCCACTCTGCCGCCGAGGAGGCCAAAGAGGATACGAGGGAGGTCGGTCTTGCAGGGTCAGTCTCGCAGGGTCGGTCTCACAGGGTCGGTCTCGCAGGGTCGGTCTCGCAGGGTCGGTCTCGCAGGGTTTTGAGAATACTCAAAAATACCCTGCAGCATCGAGGGAGGTCGGTCTTGGGGCAAAGTGACATGCAGTACAGAATGAAATACGTGCTTGTGTGTGTGTGCTTGTGTGTGCGTGCTTGTGTGTGTGTGCTTGTGTGTGCGTGCTTGAGTGTGCGTGCTTGTGTGTGCGTGCTTGTGTGTGTGTGCTTGTGTGTGAGTGTGAGTGTGCACTGTCTGTGAGTGAGTGAGTGTGTTTGTGCGAATGTGTATGCCATGTTGTTTGCATGCGTGTGCGTTTCTATCTCTCTGTCACCCTCACGTACCTTTTGAGGAAGGTCAGTACGTCAGCAGCGCTGCTGTTGCCTTGAAACTGGTGTGCGTGCGTGAGTGTGAGAATGTTTCTTATTCTTGTATCTCTCTGTCACCCTCACGTACCTTTTGAGGAAGGTCAATATGTCAGCAGCGTCGCTGTTGCCTTGCGACTGCTGCTGTGCATGCGTGAGTGTGAGAATGCTTCTTACTCTTGCTTTTGTCTCATCACCCTGGCTTACCCTTTGAGGAAGGTCAGTATGTCAGCACCGTTGCTGTTGCCTTGCGACTGCTGCTGCCTCTTTGTTTCCAGCATTCGCTAGTGAGGGGTGGGGGGAAAAGATAGAGAGAGAGAGGTTAGGGAAGATGTGGGAGGTGACTGGGAAAAGGGGGAGGCTTCGAGGTGCCTCAAAACACGGTTGTTGGATCGAAAAAAGACTCGATTCTTTTGAGAATTCTCAAAAGTCGCATCAAAACACGGTTGTTGGATCGAAAAAAGACTCGATTCTTTTGAGAATTCTCAAAAGTCGCATCAAAACACGGTTGTTGGATCGAAAAAAGACTCTATTCTCCTTCGAGGTGTCTCACCTTCCATGCCTTCATCAGCTCCCGCACAGTGAGAATGTGGTACCTCTGCGCACCGCACTCAACACCTCTCACTCACCTTCCATGCCTTCATCAGCTCCCGGTGTCTCTCCCTCGCAACACTGATGGTGCTCCCAGGCAGCACCCCCAGCAGCGCATGCACCCAGGAGCATAGTGAGTACGTGTTACCTCTGGGCACCGCACTCAACACCTCTCACCTTCCACTGGAGCATGAGCTCTCGGTGTCTCTCCCTCGCAGCGCCCACAGTGCTCCCAGGCAGCACCCCCAGCAGCGCATGCACCCAGGAGCATAGTGAGTACGTGTTACCTCTGGGCACCGCACTCAACACCTCTCACCTTCCACTGGAGCATGAGCTCTCGGTGTCTCTCGCTCGCAGCGCCCACAGTGCTCCCAGGCAGCACCTCCAGCAGCGCATGCACCCAGGAGCATAGTGAGTACGTGTTACCTCTGGGCACCGCACTCAACACCTCTCACCTTCCACTGGAGCATGAGCTCTCGGTGTCTCTCCCTCGCAGCGCCCACAGTGCTCCCAGGCAGCACCCCCAGCAGCGCATGCACCCAGGGGCGCAGGCACGCAGGGGAGAGGGCCAGGAGGAGTGATGGGACCGCCCCTAGCTTCGCCCCTGCTTGCTCGTTTGCCCCGTATGCCCGGGCCAGAGAGGCAGTGTGGAGTGCAGCAGTGTGTGGTGCGGTAGAGTGTGCTGGTGTGTGTGGTGGTAACGAGGTGTGAGGAGGAGCAGGGTCGGTAGTGCTACTGTGCGCCCCTAGCTTCGGCCCTGCCTGCTCATTCGCCCCGTATGCCCGGGCCAGAGAGGCAGTGTGTGGTGGTGCTGCTGCTAGTGGTGTGTGTGGTGGTGCTGCTGCTAGTGGTGTGTGTGTTGGTGCGTGTGGTGGCGTCGGTGACGATGAGTCACGGCTGGTTTGTGTGGTGGCGGTAGTGTGAGTGGTGGCCGTGGGCGTGGCTTGTTTGTGAGCCGCTGTTGCTGTGTGTGCGGCATTAGTGTCCTGCTGAAACCACAGGTCTTCACCAAAGCAAGCAGAGCCGATAGACGCCAGCCCCACTGCTTCAAGCATGCCCATCAAATCTACCTCTGCCCATCCCTCCTCGCTACCTCCTCCCCCTTCCTCTCGCTTCTCCTTCCCCCTTTCATCGCCCCCTCCTCGCTCCTTACCTCCCTCCTCCTCCCACAACCCCCCGCCCCGTCCTCCTCTCCACATCCCTTCTCCCTCACTCCCTCCCTCCCTCCCTCCCCTCGCTTGTGTCACATCCCACAGCGGCAGCAGCAGCATGTGGAGAATGGAATGGTGCATGCCGGGAAGGAAGGAGTGCAGATGGGTGGAGCGGTGGAACATGGGAGTCAGGGCGCTCCTCAAACCAGCCCAGTGGTTACCCCTAGAAGGAAGGAGAGAGAAGGGAAGAGGAAGGGAGTGGGAGTGAGTGACGGGGAATGTGACGGACACTCACCAAGCAAACAGCAGCCGTCAAAAGAGGACAGGTGGGCTGCAAAGACCTTACTTCCATCAACTCGTCTTGTACCAGGCCAACGAAACAAACTCCATGAGATAATGGCGGAAGGAGCCTGGGTGTGCGCTAGCTTAGAGCGTTATCGAGAGAGCCAGCTTGAAACAAATCTTCATCAAAGAATCAGGGACATTGCAAACTAGTTTCGGATTTTTCAAGCCTTCATCAGTACAAGCCTGAAAAGGAAGGGAGTGGGAGTGAGTGACGGGGAATGTGACGGACACTCACCAAGCAAACAGCAGCCCCCGGCCAGTGGTGGGGCTGGCAGTGGGAGGTATGGGTTGATCGTGGAATGCAGTCGAGAATTAGAGTAACCCGCAGCAGTTGTGGTGCAAACAGCAAGCAATTGCAAACAAAGGACACTCTCGGAATGAACAAAAGATACATACCGGGCAAACAGCAGCCCCCGGCCAGTGGTGGGGCTGGCGGTGGGAGGTATGGGTCGATCGTGGAAGGTCTTGAAGCGACCATATGGGGCAAGGAGAACAGGCAGGGGTGATTCAGCGCGAACTCACAGAAGTCGTGCAGGCAAGGAGGCAAAGGATGGGAGGGACACTCACTGAGAAAACACGGGCTACATACATACCGGGCAAACAGCAGGCCCCGGCCAGTGGTGGGGCTGGCAGTGGGAGGTATGGGTCGATCATGGAAGGTCTTGAAGCGGCGGAGCAAAACCTCCTTCACGAGCGCAGGGGCGGACACTGCCACCACTCGGCGCGGGCCGTAGCAGTAGCTGATGGAATGGTGGGGGGAGGGGAAAGGGGGGAACGGATGAGAGGGAAATAGAAGCTGTGGAATGTCTTGAAGCGACGGAGGAGAACCTCTTTCACGAGAGCAGGGGAGGACACTGCCACGATTCGTCGGGGGCCGTAGCAGTAGCTGATGGATGGATGGGTGGGTGGGCGACATGGGGGTTGAGATGAGAGTCGTGGAAGGTGTTGAGTGAATGAATGTAGCAGAACTTCCTTCACGAGAACAGGGGAGGGGAGGACACTGCCAGCACACGGCGAGGGACGTAGCAGTAGCTGAAGGAGGGGGTGGGGAGGAGAAAGGAAGAAGGGATGAGACGGAATAGGAGCAATGGAATGACTTTAACCGGCGAAGAAGGAACGTCCTTGACTTGACACTACCTACCACCACTTGGCGAGGACATGGTGGTAAGCTTAGTTCTATAGATCGTTCTTAATCTCTTAGAAGGCTTGCAGCAGTTCGAAACCAACCAATTTGAACACTACCTAGCAGCACATGGCGAGGACATGGTGTTAGCCACTGCACGACCGTAGCAGTAACTGAAAAAGGGTGGGTGGGAAACATGGTGGTTGAGAGTCGTGGAAGGTAATGTAGCAGAACTTCCTTCACGAGAACAGGGGAGGACACTGCCAGCACACGGCGAGGGCTGTAGCAGTAGCTGAATAAAGGGTGGGTGGGCGGGCGACATGGGGGTTGAGATGAGAGTCGTGGAAGGTGTTGAGTGAATGAATGTAACAGAACTTCCTTCACGAGAATGAATGTAGCAGAACAGGGGAGGACACTGCCAGCACACGGCGAGGGCTGTAGCAGTAGCTGAAAAAAGGGTGGGTGGGAAACATGGTGGTTGAGAGTCGTGGAAGGGAGGAGCGGGAGGGATTGGTTGACTTGGGAACTACAGCAGGAGCACCACACATACATGACTGCAGCACAAGAGAAAGCACCGTACAGCACCGCACAGAACATTACACTCACGAGTAGAGGTGGCCGTGTGCAGCCATCCAGTCCACGTGGCATTGGTGATGACCCTTGCTCACGATCTCCCACACGTTACCGCACATCACCACACACGACCGCATCACGCCATACAGAACCGCACAGCACTGTAGACTCACGAGTAAAGGTGTCCGTGGGCAGACATCCAGTCCACGTGGCACTGGTGATGACCCTTGCTTACCATCTCCCGCACGTTCCCCACCACCGCTAGAATCCGAATCCACCACGGGACAGGTGGACCTGGCAACTCCCACAGGCCTCTCACTCTTTCCTCCTCATCTCTATTTTCTTTTTTTTTGCTCTCCACCACTCCCAACACCCCTAGAAGCCGAATCCACCACGGCACAGGGGGGCCTTGCATTTCCCAAAGGCCTCTCACCTTGCCCTCCTGCTCCTCTCTTCCCTTCGTTTTTTTGGACTCGTCTCTCCCTCCCTCTACGTGCCTCCCTTCCCCTTCCCCCTCTCCTCTTCGAAATTCCGACTTTCCGTCACCTCTTCTCTCCCCCTCTCCACTTTTTACGCATCTCTGCCCTCTCCCTTCGGTTTGCCCGTGTCCCCCTTGATCTTCCCCCGCCGTTGATCGCGGCACGAGAGAGCGCAGGTAGAGAAGGAGCAGGACGAGAATCGCGAGGAGGATCACGGCGACGGCGGCGAGCGCTGCGACGGCAGGCGACGGCACCGGCGACGTCGCACGGGTCGTCGCCGCCGCCGCCGTCGTCGTCAAGCGGATGACCAGAGAGGAGGTTTTCGCGAGCGCGACGGCGACTGCGAACGCTGCGACGCCGATGGGGAACGCTGCGCCGGGGAACGATGCTCGAGCGGTGGCGAAGGTTCGCGAATTGCTGTTACTTCTGCTGTCACTTCTGCTGTTATGATACATTGAGGAAGGTGCTTCATTTGACTGCGAATGCGAAACACTCCTTAGAGAGTATGGAGTGTCGCCGTCAACGGATGTCGTATCAGTGTTGATTCCTTCACCCTTAGCAGCGTCGTTTGCACCATCACGAGCGGCTAGCCGGCTAGCCGGCTTGGTGAGATTCCTAAAGCCGGTGGTAGATTTGAACGCCATAACCCTTAGAATCAGGATTGGTACTTAGACGGGAGAGCACCTCGACTCCTCTGAACGTCGTGAGACTTCACGGAATATAGTCTCTCTAGATTCCCGAGGTATTGATTTCGCTAGTGCGGGACAGTAGTATTGCAGAGAGGGGTGTGGAACTTGAAATTCCAGTCCCTAGATTCTTTCGAGTTGAAATGTCGCTGATTCCCTATAAGCTCGCAGCACAATCGTAGCAGGCAGCAAATTCCATCTTGGGTAAAAACACCTCTCTACAAAGAAACTTTCGTACACAATGCTCGTTTGACTAACCCAAGGTTGCCTTGTGAAGAGGGCTTGTAAGTGATTTGTTACGTTTCGCAAGCGTCGTCAACGTCGCAGCTAGCAAAGAAGTGCTTATCAATTTCTCAAAAGTTACCCATTCACAGTTGACGTCAATCTCTTCGTTATCATTGGTTAATCACAATTGCATCGTCAGTTGACGTCGGTCAGTATTCGTTACCATTGGTTAATCACCACTGCAACTTGCTCGAGGGGCTTGTAAACAGGGTGCAACTGGCTTGCCCCAAACACACGCGTGCCAACTTTCTGGTGCGGCCAGGGCAAATTCGCGCGCAGCAGTTGAGCATCGTGTGTACAACAATTCAGATAGAAACAACTAAGGCCCATCTTGTACCCCCACTGATGCCCCTACGAGAAAAACAGCATTCCCACTTATTCCCTCCATATCATCCGCTTTCCCAACATCTTGATTCATGGCCCCATATCTCAACTCTATACTCGCAGATGTGCTAGCAATACTGCTAGCAATACTTCTTATAAACCTGAATTGACCGATCGGCTTCAACAGGAGGGCCAACTTCGCCGCCCTTTAGCCAGCATTCACGAGCGCGTGTGGTAACCACAAGGTTACACCTTGCATCAAGCTTGCATTGCTCCATGCAGGCCAAAGGGTGAAGCGGATAATGATATGTCAGGTTGGTGGCAGCCGGGAAGTCAATCGCAGGAGGAGCAGGTGCAAAGCCGTGACCTGGATTAGAGTGGATGCAGTGGAAATGGAGGAAAGGAGCAGAACGGGTCTTGTCATCAATAAACAAACAAAGGATGAACAATATACACGGCTAGCTCCAGTAATCAGGCATACCAGAAGGGTTGGAAGAAGCACAAGAAATCAATGAAAAACGAATCGCAGCAGCCAAACAGATACGCACGAGAGTATCACCCTGATTTACTATGGCTTACCATGAGGATCGATGCAAACGGTCGTCTTCCTCTCCACATCGACCCCGACACACAAACGACCCGAACCTGACTTCCTTACCATGCGTATCGCCCTGTTCTCCTTACCATGCGTATCGCCCTGTTCTCCTTACCATGAGGATCGATGCAAACGGTCGTCTTCCTCTCCACGTCCACTTGACACACAAACGACCCGCATCCTCCATTGTTCAACGAACACGTCTCCGACTCCCTTGCCAGCTCATCCCAAAACCCCAAGCTCGTTTCAATATACTCCCACTCGCTCGTCGCATACACTCCCGGATCCACCGTTATAGTCACATTCGGCGCCTCATATCCCTCGGGAATCCACAGCTTGTCCCGCTGCTTGCTGGCGTAATACGATTGGACGGCCTTGCTGACGCACTTGCCAGCCTGGCAGTGCCCTGTGTAGGAGTTTCCCCCCCAGTCAAAATCCGCGCAGGCGGACCCGTCTTTTTTCAGCCCGAGATTGACGCATTTCCCGGCTATGCACGTGGGGGCGATGACGCAGGGGGTGGCCCGGGTGGTCACACACTTGACACAGGCGTCTGGGGGAAGAAAGGGGAGGGAAGAGGGGAGGAATTGGGGAGGGAAGAGGGAAGGGAAGAGGAGAGGGAAGAGAGGGCGAGGGAAGGGTTGAACAGGGGAGCACTGCACGTGGGGGCGATGACGCAGGGGATGGCCAGGGTGGTCACACACTTGACACAGGCGTCTGGTTTGGACAGGAAGAGGGGAAAAGGGAGGAATTTATTTAGGCAGGGGAAGGTAAGAGAAGGGATGTAGGTGGGGGCGATGACGCAGGGGGTTGCCCTTGTGGTTACACACTTGACCCAGGCGTCTTGGGGAGAAAGTGGAGGGAAGAGGGAAGGGAAGAGGAGAGGGAAGAGGGGAGGGAAGAGAGGGAAGAGAGGGCGAGAGAAGGGTTGAACAGGGGAGCACTGCACGAGGGGGCGATGACACAGGGGGTTCAGGGGGTTGCCCGGGTGGTCACACACTTGACACAGGCGTCTGGTTGGGAAGGGGTGGAGGGGAAAAGAGAGGGATAGATTGGGGAGGGGAGGGTTAGAGAAGGGATGCTTGTCGGAGAGAATCGCTTTTGAGAATTCTCAAAAGAGAGATAACGCAGGGAGTTGCTCGGGTTTGCTTTGGTGGTTAGTTACGCACTTGACACAGGCGTCTGGTTTGGAAGAGTGGAGTGAGAGGGGGAAATGAGGGGGAATGGAAGAGCGTGAAAGGGAGGGAGGGTAGGGCGATGGGGAGAGGGGATGGAGAATGCATGAGGGGGCATTGACACAGGGAGTGGCTCGGGTGGTTATATACTGGGAGCATGCGCACAGAGAAAGGGTCATGATATACGTGCGCATGCCCCTTTCTCTCCCAGTAAAGGGTCATGATATACGTGCGCATGCCCCTTTCTCTCCCAGTAAAGGGTCATGATATACGTGAGCATGCCCCTTTCTCTCCCAGTAAAGGGTCATGATATACGTGCGCATGCCCCTTTCTCTCCCAGTAAAGGGTCATGATATACGTGCGCATGCCCCTTTCTCTCCCAGTAAAGGGTCATGATATACGTGCGCATGCCCCTTTCTCTCCCAGTAAAGGGTCATGATATACGTGCGCATGCCCCTTTCTCTCCCAGTAAAGGGTCATGATATACGTGCGCATGCCCCTTTCTCTCCCAGTAAAGGGTCATGATATACGTGCGCATGCCCCTTTCTCTCCCAGTAAAGGGTCATGATATACGTGCGCATGCCCCTTTCTCTCCCAGTAAAGGGTCATGATATACGTGCGCATGCCCCTTTCTCTCCCAGTAAAGGGTCATGATATACGTGAGCATGCCCCTTTCTCTCCCAGTAAAGGGTCATGATATACGTGCGCATGCCCCTTTCTCTCCCAGTAAAGGGTCATGATATACGTGCGCATGCCCCTTTCTCTCCCAGTAAAGGGTCATGATATACGTGCGCATGCCCCTTTCTCTCCCAGTAAAGGGTCATGATATACGTGCGCATGCCCCTTTCTCTCCCAGTAAAGGGTCATGATATACGTGCGCATGCCCCTTTCTCTCCCAGTAAAGGGTCATGATATACGTGAGCATGCCCCTTTCTCTCCCAGTAAAGGGTCATGATATACGTGCGCATGCCCCTTTCTCTCCCAGTAAAGGGTCATGATATACGTGCGCATGCCCCTTTCTCTCCCAGTAAAGGGTCATGATATACGTGCGCATGCCCCTTTCTCTCCCAGTAAAGGGTCATGATATACGTGCGCATGCCCCTTTCTCTCCCAGTAAAGGGTCATGATATACGTGCGCATGCCCCTTTCTCTCCCAGTAAAGGGTCATGATATACTGGGAGAGAAAGGATCATGATTTACGTGCGCATGCTCTGTGTGAGAAGTCGATCGATTTTTGAGTCGACTCTAAATGCGCATGCTCTGCCCATGGTGACTCACCATCGCGGCACATGGGGTGGCCGAATGAAACCACCATGTTGAGCTCTCCCGACAGGTCGTATATCGCCAAGTCCTCCACATTCACCACCGTGTCTAGCTAGCAGCTGTACTGCCGATACTAGTCTCCCCATCACTCCCCATTCCATAGAGCATCTGGTAACTGTCCTTACTCCCCGCCCTCCTTACCATCACGGCACATGGGGTGGCCGAATGACACCACCATGTTGAGCACCCCCGACGGGTCGTATTTCGCCAAGTCCTCCACGTTCACCACTGTATCTAGCAGCCTCACTGCCGATACCAGTGCTCTCGCTGCTTTGTGGACGGGTTGGTGCATGACTGTGTGGGAAGAGCGGAAGGCGGAGAACGCTGCTTGCTTGTCCTGCAAAAAGGGAGGGAGAGAGAGGAAAGTAGGGAGGTAAGGAGCGATAGATAGGTTACTTGTTTGCTTGTGTGTTTGCTTAGCGTGCATGTGACTGCAACTGTCCTCGTACCACCCATCGATTAATGCAAGGACCATTCGAAGGAAGAAGGGAGGTAAGGAGTGATACATGAGTGAGACAGTGGCTGCCTAGTCCTCCACACCACATTCACCACTTTGTCCAGCAGCCTCACTGCTGACACCACCGCTCATACTCTCTCTGAGGAGAGCGAGGTAATGAGGAAAGGAGTGAGGCAATTCCTCCACATTCATTTTTCCTTTGAGAATTCTCAAAAGTAAAATTCACGCTGCTGACACCACAATTCATACTCTCTCTGAGGAGAGCGAGGTAGTGAGGAAAGGAGTGAGCCAAGTCCTCCACGTTCACCACTGTGTCCAGCAGCCTGACGGCCGATACCAGCACTCATATGGAGGGACCCACCTGGGCATGTGCAGGCACCAATGTGACGTGCGTGCGGCTGTCATTGCTGACAGGCTCGCCGAACGCAGCAAGGAATGTAGCCGCCATGCTTCGAGACTCCATAGTGGCCAACTCGATACTGGCATAGTCTTTGCGCTTCCTGTACTTGGACGGTTTCACTCGCCTGTACAGCTGTTGATTACGGCGGGACCAAAAAAGGAAAAAAATGAATAAATACATTAAATAGCTATTGTGGGATGCAGGAGGTTTGTTTGTCAGGTAGTTTCTGTAACATCACCTTCAAATCGACCCGTGACATGATGCAACATGATGCAACATGATGCATTACCATGCAATGTCATGCAAACCCATGCCATGTGCGCCGTTCTTATGTTGTGCCATACCGTGCCATACCATGCCATACCATGCCATACCATGCCATGCCATACCATGCAGTACCATGCAGTACCTTTGCAGCAAAGGCACCCAGCTTCATCGCAATGTCAAAGAAAGGGCCTGTTCCCGGTAGGTAGACCTGAGACGGTAGGGGAGGAGGGGATGAACGCGAGGGGAGGTATGGGGGAGTGGGAAGGGGAAGGTTTGACTCAAAAACAAGGCTCCCACCTTCATGACCATGTCAAAGAAAGGGCCTGTTCCCGGTAGGTAGACCTGCGACGGTAGGAGGGGGGAGAGGGGAGGAGGGGCACCACGTAAAGGTGTCTCGCGACTTGGTTCAATTCTAAAAACAAGGCACCCATCTTTATCGCAGTGTGGAAGAAAGGGCCACGAAGATGAAACAAGAAGAAAGCTTTGGAAAGAAAAAGAAAGGGCGTGTTTAGGACACGAACTCACCTTAAAAAAGAAGAAAGGGAGTCTTCAGGACACGAACTCACCTTAAAGAAGAAGAAGGGGCGTGTTTAGGACACGAACTCACCTTGAAAAAGAAGAAGCTGAAAGCCCCCGCTTGTCTGTACGTCGTCTTGACGCACATAGGGTAGTCGGGCGCGCAGCCATACCCGCACTCCACCCAGCTAGGTCCGTACAGCGTGCACCGCCGCGCGCAAACCGGACCTTTCCCCTTATACCCCGCGGCGCAACTGTCGTAGCACGCTCCGGCGCTTTTCACTGTCCCGCTGGGGCATCGCCGCCGACTGCGGCCCGCGTTTACCGCCACGAGAGCCGCCGGCTGTCGCGTGTACATGTCCCGATAACAGAAGATGTACGAACTCTTTCGCTTTCTCTGCTTGCGCTTTCGCCACAGCTGGAGCTCGCGCGGGGGACCCGTCGCGGACGTCGCTAATGTCGCGTTGGTCGCTGATAACCCGAGAGACGAGCTTCTTGTTTCTGACGCATTTTGGTTCGTATCAACCTTTTGAGTTGACATAAAAGTCAACTCGCCGCCTCTTTCCTCGCGCGTTGAAGCATCCCGACCGGAACTACTGAATCTCTCTTGCATGCTTGCAATGCCGCTGGTGTCAACTCTATGCGGGGAAAGAGGAACGGCATCAGTGGCATGACATGCAGGAATAATTTCTAGAAAAAGGAGCAGGAATGCTAGTAGTGGCAAGGCTAGAATGCGAGCTAGAGGGAGCAGGGAGGAAGAGACGGTCGAACGACGTCGAACTCGTAAAGGAGAAGAGGCCTGTTGAAACCCTTTTTCTGTTTTGAGACGTCTCGCTCTTCGGACTTCGGGTTGTTGTCGAAAGTCGAGCGCGTCTTTTCGATTTGGACGGCATGGGCGGGCTTCTGGCAAGAGGCGGAAACGGGAGGATTCCATTCCCTAGCGCAAGCGGGTAACTCGGAAAAATCAGGGTGAAATACAGGGTACTAGAAGAGAGCAGCGCGCAGCACTACTCATACAGGGAGCTAAAATGCTAAGGGCATGGTGATTCGTTACGAAAGCAACGCGCAGCACTCCTCATACCATCAAGTCTATAGATCGGGCGGGCATGTGCGAGAGCAAATGCACGACTGATGAGACGGCTTTTGAGGCGCCTCGAAAGAGACTTTTGAGTCGACCCAAAAACGACCTCGTCTTAATTGTGGACACAGCCTTTATTAGATCGGGTGAGCCATTTTCATGCTTCTCATTCTAATGCAGACGATGCAGCTGCGGGGTTTGTTTCGTGGCTGTATTGTGTACTTAGCGATCGTTTAAAGAGAGGCTACAGCTGACTTCTTGGAAGCTGGGAGAGGTCTAAGGAAACGACATCGTGTGGGACGGGCATCATTGCGCCGCAACCGACGCGCGTGGTGAACGCGCAAAGAGATTCTGGCAAGGTACGTACGGACGGACGGAAGGCAGTAAGGCCGGCTTCCGTTGGCTACCTAACGTGTTTCTGAGGAAGGCGTTTTCTGGTTAATTAGGCTTGACTGCAGGAGGTAGGTAGGTAGGGCGGGTGTTTCAGAAATATGTTCTGGGACGGGAATCAGGAATAGGGGACTCGGGACGAGATGAGTTGCTGAAAGGTGGTGGTGGTGTGGTTTTGCGTGGAAGTTCCAGAGGAGGGGACCAGAGGAGAGAGGGAGAGAGGAGACCGCGAAATTTGTTCGAAGAATGCTGAAATAGCGACGCGGAGAGTTCTCAAAAGTCGGACAATTTCTTGCTGGGAAGCGCGTCGCGTTCTTTGGAACGTGCTTGGGAGAACTTCTGGAGATGACGTGTCATTGTGTGGGAGTCCAAGATTGGGGCTGGTGGGGACCGACCATGCCACAACGAGACAACCAGCGCTCACCACGCCGTAAGTCACGGGTCCGACACAGACAGTTTCGAAAATCGCTAAGCCGAGCATTCCATATCGCATACTGAACATTGAAGAAAAGTTGTACATTACAGTCTCTATTTTCACCTTAGTGGAGCTTACCTCTCAGAGACTAGATACATTGCAGTAACTACACCTGCATGACCACTAATGTTGTTTCATGTGCACTAACTACTGTTCAAGCCCTAATTGTCGTAGACCTCCTTGGCAAACAAAGCATGTAACAAAAAAATTACAAGCAGCTCTTTTTATTTCCTTAGTCGTGTGTGGCCTCCTCGACCAAGCCATGCTGAAGGCATCATGACCGTCGGTATAGTGGTTGACACCTTGGACTTCGACTCCGGCCGTCCACCAAGAAGCGCAGCAGGAGACTCCCTGAAAACAAATACACACATAACAACAGCAAAATGTGCGAGGGACCTGTTACCAAGACAGTGCAGCTTCGGATGACAAAATGGGAAACATACACGTTTTCCATATGGATTTGATGTGGAATTGCTGTAGACTTACATGGGTTCGTCTTGAGATACTGTACTAGGCCAGCCAGGGGACTCAGGCTCAGTGTACATCGGTCCAGCTGTAGGATGTCCTCCCTTCCCTTCATTAGAACCTCCTGATACAATCACATCTGAATCTGTCACGTTGAGTCCCAGATTCACATCCACTGGCTGCCGGGCCTCTTCCTGGTGCTTAGCATTCGAATGTGTCAGACTAACACTGTAATTCCCCTGTTGCTGTTGCTGTTTCTGCTGGTACTGCTGCTCCTGCAGGTGCTGCTGCTGCTGGTGTGAGTACTGCTGTTTCCACTGCTGCTGCTGCTGCTGCTGCTGCTGCTGCTGCTGCTGCTGCTGCTGCTGCTGCTGCTGCTGCTGCTGCTGCTGCTGCTGCTGCTGATTGCTTGGATTCGAATGCAATTTCTCAGCAGGTGATACATCCTGCACACCCTTGGGAGTATCCTCCCCACCAAGCAAGCCCCTGCTATCCTCGTTACCACCACCGCCCATGCCAGGAATCACAAGGAATGGGTTACTGCCAAGAATCTTCTGAGCCATGGAAGCAGCTTGCTTCTGCGCCATCAAAGCAGCATTTAGTTTCTGAGTCGTGGAACCAGCTTGTTTCTGCCCATTCCCCTTGGAGCCAGCTCCTTGATCCATTCTCTGCCAAATCCCTTCCTTCCCCAGCCATTGCCCCTCCTGGTGCGCCTCAGCTGCCGATTCTTTATAAGCAGGCCCAGTAGTGGCAAACAAGGGCTCACTTTCTCCCACTTTATTAACCGAGCCAATGCTGCTTGTGCCGGGAGATAGGAACGGATTGGTCTGTTGCTGTGCTTGTGACTGTTGCTGTCCTTGTGGCTGCTGCTGTGCTTGTGGCTGCTGCTGGTGCAAAGGCAAGGAATTTCCATAAGGCGCAAATGGGCTCACATGAGTAGCCAGGGCTGCGGGCTGTTCGTTCAAGCCTGGACTTAAGAAAGGATTGGGGAAATTATGGGGGGTAGGAAAAGTTGGTCCAGGAATGGGCTTGGGAAGAGCAGGAGGAGCAAGGGCAACAGGAGGAGCAAGGACAGCCGTAGGAGCAGAAACAGAACCAAAGCCAGAAGATGGAGCAGCAGCAGTAGTGGTAGTAGCAGTGGCGGTTGCGTGCGTTACAGTGGCAGGCTCAAAGGCATCGAAACGAGCCCAGTCACTGTTCCCTGATGCCACAGATGCTACACTGATTGCCGCTGGTGCCGCTGGTGGTTGTGCTACTGCTGCTGCTGGTGGTGGTCGTGCTGCTGCTGTTGCGGCTGCTTTGGCTGCTGCAAGTGCAGCTGATTTAGCTGCTGCTGTGGCTGCTGCTTTGGCTGCAGCTGCTGCCGCTGCCGTTGCCGCTTCCGCTGCTGCTACTGCTGCTGCCTCTGCTGCTGCTGCCGCCGCCTCTGCTGCTGCCAAGCTGTTTTCATGCGCCCAGGTCACTTGCCCACCTGAAAAACCACCTGAAGCTGAGCCCCTGCCACCTGCAACCTCCCCTGACTTCTGAAGTGTCTCATACGCCCCATATGACCCTTGTGCCTGCTGGTTCTGTGCCTCGTTGTTTTGTACTAGCGAGTCTTGTGCTGGGAAATCCCGTGCTAGGCTACCTTGTGCCTGCTCCTCTTCTGCCTCATCGTCCCATGCAACCTCCTCTTGCGCATTAGCTGCGCGCATGGCTTCTCGGAATGACCCGTCAATGGTGTGGCAACGGCCGAACGAAGCAAGCAGCATGGCATCCCAATCCTCACTCTCTGATACCCCTGCTGACCCTGACGCTCCTGTCACTCCTGCTGCTGTTCCAGCTGCTGCTGTTGCTGCACCGGATTCCACGCCACCTCCTCCTCCTCCTCGCCCTCCAGCTTCCACTGCTGCTGTGGGGTCTTCCATAGCACTCAAGAAAGGGTTTGTTGAAGCGTTGAAGGCTGAAACGCTGGGGCCTGGATCGGCACGAACAGTGCTTCCAAAAGCCGCAAACGCGGCCAGTTCGCTAGCAGGAGCAAGAGGGCCGCCAAGTGCTGCTGAATGCTGCACCGGTGGCGGGATTTTCCTAGCAGGTAAGAAATCCCCTGCACCTGCAACCCCACTGGTAGCTGTGGGGGTGCGGAAGGGGGCAAAGGAGGCCAGGTCGCCAGCAGGGGACTGGAGAGCCGCAGGAGAATACAAGGGGAAGCGAGGCGTGGGGAGGTCTAGGTTCAACCGCCCCGCTGCACTTGTGGCAGCGATGTTGGCAGCGGTGCTTGCAGCGGTGGCAGCAGATTCGGTGGTGTGGATGGGTGGAGGCACGGATTTGGGAACGGGTGTGGGTATGGGTGTAAGTATGGGCGTGGGGATGGGTGTGGGATCATCAGTTCCCGAGGCAGAACTACTGAGGGGTGTCAGGCCTGCGTGTGGCCCCAACTGGTGAGGAAGAGGGGAGAGAGGGGAGAGAGGGGAAAGAGAAGAAGACAGAGAAGAAGACAAGGGGGAGAGGTACGAGTGAGGGTGAGAGAGAGAGAGAGAATTGAAGTGCCAAGAAAAGCATGTGGCAGCATTGATTTGGGTTGCAGTCCTGTATGTGCTCCCAACCGGTGAGGGAGTCGGGAGAGAGAAGGGGTTGGGGGAGTGAGAGCGTGAGAGAAGATTTGAGGAGTGTAAAAGCCTGAGCGGAGCAAGGCCTGCATATGCAGGTGGTGCAAGTCTTTTTTTGAGGCGCCTCAAAAAGATTTGAGGAGTGTAAAAGCCTGAGCGGAGCAAGGCCTGCATGTGCAGGTGGTGCAAGAGAGGCGTGAGATCCCATCACCCCACTGTATCCCTCTTGACCACTCTTCCTCCGCTCCCCCCTCTACTCCCCTTGGCTTTCCGTCAACACCACTCACCTTGAGCTTAGCATACGAAGATCGTGGCATGAAGGAGAAAATTTTCCTGGGTACTGCACCCACATTCAGAATCACACTACCCCCTTCTACTCTCAACCGTGCTCCACCCCTCTTTACCGCACACACATCACACTCACCTTGAGCTTAGCATACGAAGATCGTGGCATGAAGGAGAAAATCTTCCTGGGAACTGCGCCCACATTCAGAATCACACTACCTCCTTCTACTCTCAAATGTGCTCCACCCCTCTTTACCGCACACACATCACACTCACCTTGAGCTTAGCATACGAAGATCGTGGCATGAAGGAGAAAATCTCTCTGGGAACTGCGCCCACATTCAGAATCACACTACCTCCTTCTACTCTCAACTGTGCTCCACCCCTCTTTACCGCACACACATCACACTCACCTTGAGCTTAGCATACGAAGATCGTGGCATGAAGGAGAAAATCTTCCTGGGAACTGCGCCCACATTCAGAATCACACTCCCCCCTCCAAGCAACCCTGTTCCTTTCCCTCCTTTTACCCCTCCTCCATTCCCCCCTCCACTCCCCCCTCCACTCCCCCTGGCTTTCCCTCCTGCACCCTCTCCCGCCTTCTCCTCCTGATCCTTCCCCTCACTCTCCCCCTCCTCCTTGCCCTTGTCCCTTCCTTTATCTTCACCCTTATCCGCCCCCGAATCCCCCCCCTGATAAGGCCCCTTCCCCACGCCCAACCCATCCGTTTCACTCTCGCGTTCTCCTCCGCCCTCCTTCCCCTCCTGCTGCCCATCATTCTCCCCTGTCTCCTCCTTTCCCTCACGCCCGTCCTGCCCGAGTGTAGCACTAGCACTAAAACTGCCCGGAAAATCCTCACTGCGGCCTTCCTTTCCAGGGGGGGATGGTGAGATGACGTCAAGGGTGTTAGGGGGATCGTGAAGGGGACTGGTGGAGGAGATGATTGGCTGGTGCGCCTCTGCCTTGGGCGCTGGATGGGCCAAAAGGGATGGAGGGCGAAACGGGAATGCAGGGAGAGAAGGGGAAGAAAGAGCGTGAGCAGCGTCAAGGTTGTGAGGATGATCATAGAGCAGCGCCCAAGGTAGAGGGCGGACTGGAGGAGGAGATGATTGGTTGGTGCGCCTCTGCCTTGGGCGCTGGATGGGAGTCGATTGATCAATGTGAAATGGAATCAGAAGCTATAAGTTTCAAGTGCCGAAGTGCCAAACTGCCTCATCTTCCTCATATATGTACCATACTTCAATGTACTTCACTCATAGTGCCCAAACATCCCATACGCCCCATATACCCCATACCATACACCTCATGCTCCTCGAGTCTGATAGATACCGAGAGGCCTTATTATACCTAGAGTTTCCTATATGATACCTTGCCTGCTACACTGCTGGACGATCTGCCAATGGACCTTTCAAAACGACGGGCAAGTCACCTCTCTGTTCTGTTATGACGCCTCACCTTAACATGAGCCCTTTTGACTTAGAAGTCGGCTTTCCACTGTGATGCGTCACCTGTTACACTGTTTGGACGCCTCACCTCAGCATGTCGCCTCAACTCACCTTTCCACCGTAATGCCCCACCTGTTACGGTGCTGGATGTTCGTCTGATGAACCCTTTCGAGTCGACTCAAAAGTCAGCTCTCCGTGATGACACCTCACCTTCTGACGAGCCCTTTTGACTCAAAAGTCACCTTTCCACCATAATGCCTCACCTGTTACGGTGCTGGACGTCCGTCTGATGAACCCCCACAGGGTCTCCCTCTGCCATGCAAGACAGCAACAGTGGAGAAACATTGCAGCGATATCTTCGCATCAAGCAGAGAAATTCGAGGTTTCAAGTCACACAGGACACTAGGTGGTGCGATTTGTAGGCGCCTAAGATGTTTGACAGTTTCGAGCCACAGCAAGCCAGGTGGTGTAACACTTGGAATCACCATCACATAACAGGAGTGACAAGTATCTGGACATGGCGTATGCACAGTTATTCTTGACTGGTACTTCCGCTCGTGCTTGCACAAACCCTAGCCTTACCTTCCGCGGAGCAGGTTGGGACTCGCCCTCCGAATCATCCCTCCCATGTTTACACGTGTTCTTACACTCGTGCTTGCACCCATGCTCACATTTGTTCTTTCACTCGTGCATCCACTCGTGCTTGCACTTGCGAGACAGAACCACAGCAAGTGCAAGCACGACTGGTTCATTGTGTGAACCCTAGCCTTACCTTCCGCGGAGCAGGTTGAGACTCGCCCTCCGAGTCATCCCTCCCATGCACTGCTCCATCCGCCGAAGCCAGCCCCGAACCTGACGCCGAGCCTGAAACCGAGCCACGTTCTGAACCTGACGCGCTCCCAGCGCTCTCTGTCCCCTTCTCTTCTCTCTCTACCACACCGGACACCTCTCCCTTGCCTTGCTTGGAATCTGTGCTTCGCCTCCTCCCTGCAAGAGCCACTTTTTCTAATTCTTCCTCCTCCTCCTCGTTCTCCTCTCCCTCCTCACGCCTCTCTCCCTCCTGTCCCTCCTCTCCCTTTTCTCCCTCGTCTTCCTCATTCCCCTTCTCTCCCTTCTCTCGCTTGGTTCCCCCACCAAGAGCCCCACCCGTGCTCTTGCTCTTGAAGAACCTCCCCTCACCAGAGGCCTTCTGAAACTTAGTCGCTGAATCCCTCCTGAAAACACCAAACAATCCTCCGACCAGGTTCGACTTGCTACTAGATCTGCCAGTCTTCGCTTTCCTCCCGTCGTCAGGGCTCTCAGTCGTTTCTTGAGTCGATTCAAGAATAGCTTTCCGCCCGTCGTCAGAGTTCTCAATTCCGTCGTCGCTGCTCTTCGTGTTGCTTTCTGGCAATCGGTTGGTCTCGGTCGCATTGGGAGATTTCAATCCGACAGCGGATTCAGATTCCAGTGGACCCTTTTCTTTCGCGGTTTCTTTCGTGCTTGCATGTACTGTTGATTCTGCTGCCGCTGCTGCTACTACTCCGGCTCCTGCTCCTGCTCCTGCTCCGGCTACTGCTCCCGCTCCTGCTGCTGTTCCTGTAATTGGAGACGAAGAGTCGTCGTTTGACCTCGATATAACATCACCATTCTCACTCGCCGAATCCCCCACCACAAGTTTCCCAAGGTTCTCCGCGTCTTCCTCTTCATCTCCCTCCTCTTCTTCATCATCCATACCAGATCCCATACGCCCGAACCCTCGCACCGGTCGACCTGACCGCCTCTGTCGAATGCGCGCGGAATCTTGCGCGGACGACGCGCTACTAGAGCTTCCGCGCGAGCGGGAGAACCACCCGGATTTGGTTTCCGCGGGAGCCGCTGTGGGTGTTGGAGCCTCGGGGTCATCGCTAAGGCTGGGAGCGGTGCCTGTGCTGCTGCGAAGGCCTGTCACTGACCACATGGTTGCAATGTAGTGCTTGCACCTCGGTTATAGTAATACTGAATCTACAAATGAAGTCTTTTCACAACATCCTATGCAGCTTTAGCGTCAATGTCCTAGACTCCGGGATACTAAGACCGCCGAAATGTTGAGTCCAAGGAACCAAGAAGGAACTATTGCACTATCCAGAGCTGAGACCAGCTGAAACTGATTGCTGACATGACGTTTCACAACAAATCACCGCAGAGACAAATTACCAGTAGATGAGGATCAACTGATGCAAGACCCGTTGGACTCCTTAGACTGAATGCACCACACCCTTCCTCTCCCCTTGATGTTGCCTTTTTCCTTGACACTGGCTTTCCCTAGATGTTCGGTGGGCGATGTCTTTGTGACCCTCAGAACCTCGTCAACACGCACAGTAACGTGAATATTGTTTAAAAGTTCCTCTGTTACCGCTTTCCACCACCGGGAGGATTCACTGTGCATACCTAGAAAGTGGATGTGACAGGTGACTGGGTGCGTTGTCGGCAGCTTGGTCAGGGATTGGCCAGATTCTCGGCATTTCGGTCGAGCAGCTATTTACGGGCATCTTCGTTAGGCAGAATAATTATATTGTTTGGTTTCGCTTGCTGCCAAACCCAGCCACTGCGATTTAGCTCCAACTGTTGCATTGTAACGCTTAGAAACGGGCAGAGTTATGGGCGAATCAGCTTCCGCCCTGATCCACTCACGTGCCCTTCTGCCATCTAGGCCTGCTGAGGAAGGTGAGTTTCGACAACCTCTTTTAGCAAAGTCTCGATAACGTCCAGAAAGACGAACTCGTGCACCTCACTTATTGTGGAATTTCTTTTTCCAATGCATCAATATTATACCTGCTCTAGATTCTACACAACAGAGCACCTAGGTCGGCAGAACCATTCTTGGGCTCTCCGATTTGGGAGGATCTGAAGATAGGTCAATGCCTTGCTCTGTTCAAGAGTCCGTCCGTTGCGTCATCCCAGACGGCATCGTATCTCAGTGACGAGGTATAGCACGGCTGCCCATTTTCTGTTCATGTTTTCATAGAGTAAATTATAGGCTGATTAATGCATGCTCATGGAAGCTCATGTTTTGGCGGAGGTTCTTAAAATTTAGACTACGAAATGCGATCAGTTTTACTCGAGTACTCGCTGTCTTCCCGATTACCCTAATATCTGTTGCCTGTGTACATCTTCTCGTCTCTGTTTTTGTTTTCCTCGTGTTTGCTTTCCAGCTCGCAGTGTCGCCATCAATTCCAGGCGCGTGGCGCTTGTTTACTGACAGCTTTTCACCAGGCCCGTTTCTAATGAATTTATACTCATAGGAACCTCTTTCCATCTGAATCATTCTTACGTTTCGCAGGAATAGCCGTATGGCGGGATTGTATGTCACGCAACGGTCAGCGGCTCAGCATGTAGCCGCACACTTCTCCTAACACGTCCTAACACGGACGCCTTCAAGCACTACTTCCAAGCGGCCGACTTTTGAGGCGCCTAAAAAGTCGCCTTCGAACAGTGCACTACTTCAAGCGGCCGATGCGGACAGGGATGGCCGGATCAGCGGGACCTAATTCTCCTTACGTCCGCATTATTTATCTCTCACTTGCCCCAGGGAATAGTGGCACAGAGGAGCAATGATCATCATGCAGTCGCACACGGCTCCTGGCGGCATGGACGCCTTCGAGCACAACTTCCAAGCGACCGATGTCGACAGGGACGGCCGGATCAGCGTGTCCTTATTCTCCTTACATCCGCTCAAAATTCGTCTCTCACTTGTCTCTCACTTTCCCCAGGGAATTGCGGTACAGAGGAGCAACGGTCATCATGCAGTCGCACACGGCTCCTGGCGGCATGGACGCCTTCGAGCACAACTTCCAAGCGGTCGATGCGGACAGGGACGGCCGGATCAGCGGGACATAATTCTCCTTATTCCGCACATGTGTCTCTCACTTCCCTCAGGGATTGACGGTACAGAGGGATAGTGTGATAGCGGCACGGAGCAGCAACGGTCATCATGCAGCCCAGCATGGACGCCTTCGAGCACTACTTTTAAGCGGCCGATGCGGACAGGGACGGCCGGATCAGCGGGACCTTATTTCCCTTACTTCCGCATGATTTGTCTCTTCTCTCTTACTTCCCTTAGGGAATAGCGGTACGGAGCAGCAACGGTCATCATGCAGCCCAGCATGGACTCCTCGAGCACTACCTCCAAGCGACCGATGCGGACAGGGACTCTGGATCAGCGGGACCTGATTTTCCCTTCTTCCGCATGATTTGTCCCTTCTCTCTTACCTCCCCCAGGGAATAGCGGCCGTGTGATGATAAGCAACAGTCATCATCATGCAGCCCAGCATGGACGCCGTCGAGCACTACTTCGAAGCGGCGGACGCAGACAGGGACGGCCGGATCAGCGGGACCTTTTTTCCCCTGCTTCCGCATGATGTGCCGCTCACTTCTCCCCCCCAGGGCATAGCCGTCGTGTGATAAGCAACGGTCATCATCATGCAGCCCAGCATGGACGCCTTCGAGCACTACTTCCAAGCGGCTGATGCGGACAGGGACGGCCGGATCAGCGGTGCCGAAGCCGTCGCCTTCTTCCAGGGATGCGGCCTCCCCCAGATGACCCTTGCCAAGGCACGTAACTGCTGCTGTTATGCCTTCTCGCCCCCATATGATCATCGCCAAGGAATGTTTCGGCTACCATGCCTGTTGTTAGCCTTTTGAGCCGTCGCCTTCTTCCAGGGATGCAGCCTCCCCCAGATGATCCTCACCAATGCGTACCTGCTCTTACCTTTCTCTACCTGTTTTGTGTTGTAGCCTTTTTCCAGAGACGCAGCCTCCCCAAGACAAGATGACCCTTGCCAAGGCGCGTATGTGCTTCTTCCGTTCCTTCTCTCGTTGTTCCTTCTCCCGTTGTTCCTTCTCTCGTTGTTCCTTCTCTCGTTGTTCCTTCTCCCGTTGTTCCTTCTCCCGTTGTTCCTTCTCTCGTTGTTCCTTCTCTCGTTGTTCCTTCTCCCGTTGTTCCTTCTCCCGTTGTTCCTTCTCTCGTTGTTCCTTCTCTCGTTGTTCCTTCTCCCGTTGTTCCTTCTCCCGTTGTTCCTTCTCTCGTTGTTCCTTCTCTCGTTGTTCCTTCTCTCGTTGTTCCTTCTCCCGTTGTTCCTTCTCCCGTTGTTCCTTCTCTCGTTGTTCCTTCTCTCGTTGTTCCTTCTCCCGTTGTTCCTTCTCCCGTTGTTCCTTCTCTCGTTGTTCCTTCTCTCGTTGTTCCTTCTCCCGTTGTTCCTTCTCCCGTTGTTCCTTCTCCCGTTGTTCCTTCTCCCCACAGGTCTGGCAGTATGCTGATTCGCGCCAAGCCGGATTCCTCCACCGCCCAGAGTTCTTCCACGCGCTTCGCCTCATCACCGTCGCCCAATCCGGTCGCGACATCAACCCAGACGTCGCCCGAGCCACCTTCTCAGGCCCGGCCGTGGCTCAGATCCCCGCACCTAGGATCACCGTGCCTCCGAGGCCCGGACCTGCTGCCAGACCAGGCGGGCCGCCAGGTCCGGCTGGTTTGGGTGCCCCCGGACCTGGAGCACTGGGAGGGCCACCAGTGCAGCAGGTAATTCCGATCCGAGGGAACACCAGCGGTAAGTCCGACTAACGAAAGGTCCACCTGGAGCGCTGGGAGCAGCACCAGTGCAGCAGCTAAGTCTGAGAGAACACCAGCGGTAAGTCTGACTAAAGAAAGGTCTACCTGGAGCACTGGGAGCAGCACCAGTGCAGCAGGTAAGACTGAGAGAACACCAGAGTTAAGTGCGACTTAACAAAGGTCCATCCAGAGCACGAGGAGCACGCAGTACAGGTATGAGTTGCTCTCAAGGCACCTGCCTTGCTTGATGTTTAGTGATTTGTCTTACTTGAGGTATTTTCTGAAGGAACTGCAAGGATGCAGCAACTCCTGCATCCTTCTCCTGGAAAATCTATCAACCAATCTACTGCGGCATCCTTCTCCTTCTTCCCACTCTACTTTCACCCTGCTGTACCAATCGTCGCGCAGGGGGCGTATGGAAGGGGAATGCCAGTTCAAGGTGCGCCGACGGCACAGGGGATGCCTGGGATGGGCGGCATGGGTTCCATGGGGGGTATGGGGGGGATGGGAGGCATGGGAGGCATGGGACCGGGCCCAGGAGGGCCACCGGGAGGAATGATGGGGGGAATGGGACCTCGACCAGGGATGCAACAGCAGCAGTATCCGCAGCAGTATCCGCAGCAGTATCCGCAGCAGCAGCAGCAGCAGCAGTACCAGCAGCAGCAGCAACAGTATGGGCAGAGTATGCAGGGTACCATGCAGGGGTCGATGCAGGGCAGTGCACAAGGCAAATTGCAGCCCGGGCCTCTTGGACCTTCGTACGGACGCGGTCAGCCTGCTGGTGCTCCCATGCCAGGTCAGCCTGGTCCCATGCCAGGCCAGCCTGGCCAAATGCCAGGTCAGCCTGGGCCGATGCCAGGTCAGCCTGGCCAAATGTCAGGTCAGCCTGGGCCGATGCCAGGTCAGCCTGCATCCGCGCCTTCGTGGCAGCCTGCTTCTGCGAAGCCTGCAGCAGAGAAGGACCCGTTTGCAGATTTTGGAGTGCTTGGAGGTAAGAAGAGTGCCGCCCAGACCCAGGGTGGCGCCAAGGGGGCTGCTGCCGCCCAAAGTGTTGCCACAGGTGCTGCTGCCGCCCAGACGCCTGCTTCACAGCAGCAATTCCAGCAGCAGCAGCAGCAGCAGCAATAGCAGCAGATGATGCAGCGACAGCAGCAAATGCAGCAGCAGCAGCAGCAGCAGCAGCAGCAGCAGCAGCAGCAGCAGCAGCAGCAGCAAATGCAACAGCAGCAACAGATGCAGCAGCAGCAGCAGCAACAGCAGCAGCAGCAGCAGCAGCAAATGCAACAGCAGCAACAGATGCAGCAGCAGCAGCAGATGCAGCAGCAGCAGGCATCAATGGGAGGAATGGGAGGGGTGATGGGAACAGCAGCAATGGCGGCAACTGCGGTGTCTGCACCTGCTGCTTCCGCTGCAGCTGCTTTTGGCCCTTCCGCTTTCTCCGCCTCCTCTCAACCCCCTCCTCCCCAGCAAGCAGCCTCCCGTCCCACCCCACCCACTTCCACTCTACCCAAATCCGCGGACGCAGCAGCAGCAGCAGCTCTTGATGCATTTGGGCAGAAAGACGTGGCGCTAGCTCCTGCAGCTGCTACCACTGCTGCTGTTGCATCTTCTGCTGTGGTTTCAGCAGGTGGGGGGCAAGCAGCGGAAGGAGCAGCAGGGGCAGCAGCAGGGGTAGCAGGGCAAGGGGCTGGGGCAGCAGCGGGGGGCGCGCAAGGGCAGGGGGGTGAGGGGTTTCTGATGGTCCCGGGGGACCCGCAGCCATGGCCGAGAATGGGGGTGGCAGAGGCACAGCGGTATGCACAAGTGTTTGTGGGCGTGGATGCGGACAGGGATGGCAAGATCACCGGCAAGGAGGCGAGGAAAGTGCTCATGGCGTCTCAGGTGCCCATCGGTGAGTGTTTGTGCGGTGAGGATGGGTGTGTGTGGGCGAGAATGGGTGTTTGTGGGTGTCGATGGGAAGAGGGACGGCAAGATCACCGGCAAGGAGGCGAGGAAAGTGCTCATGGCGTCTCAGGTGCCCATTGGTGAGTGCACTCCTCCCTCCCTCCCTCCCTCCCTCCCTCCCTCCCTCCCTCCCTCCCTCCCTCCCTCCCTCCCTCCCTCCCTCCCTCCCTCCCTCCCTCCCTCCCTCTCTCCCTCCCTCCCTCCCCCCCACGTCTGTGGTCTTACCTTGAACCAAACAAACCCATTCCTTTGTCCATCCGCCCTTTTCCCCTCCAAACGTGCTCAAGCAGGTACGGGACCTCTCAGATGAAGACAAGGACGGCAACTTGACTGCGCACTTCCACCCACGTTTTCTGTGCTCCCTTCCCTGTTCCCCGTGCTTGGATGTCCAACCCTGATCGCCCCCACGCACACAGACGTGCTGAAGCAGGTGTGGGACCTCTCAGATGAGGACAAGGACGGCAACTTGACTCTGCACACCCACTTACCTTTCAGTTCTGTGCCCCCTCCCTCCCTTCCCATGCTTGTTTCCCTCCCTCCCCTTTCGCCCTCACACAGACGTGCTGAAGCAGGTGTGGGATCTCTCAGATGAGGACAAGGACGGCAACTTGACTCTCCGCGAGTTCTGCACTGCCTCCTACCTCATCGAGCGCTACAAGTCGGGACGAAAGCTGCCGCCCACGCTGCCACGGGGCTTCCACGTGGACGAACCGGTGCAAGACCAACGCACGGCCATCGCTGCGAAACGATTGGCTGAGGCGCAGGCGGCGCTGACTCAGCACTCACAGGGTGTTAACGTGCCAACGTGGCAGCGCGATCCAGGTGATCACTGCACAACAAATAAATGAAAATGCAATGTTATTTCTTGTGACAGTGTTGTGATTTTTCCAAACAGTAGGTTCTTGTTTCGTCAGTGGTGCTGGCAGATGTTCAAGCCTCCTTAACTAAGGAGTTGACCAGTAGGTTCTTGTTTCCTCTATTCGACTTTTTTGTGCTGTTCACGTTGCAGGTGTCCTGATTTCTCCAACAAAAGGCGGACCCAGAAAGGTAACCCTCTTTTGATACATCTCTTGCTTGTGTTGGGACATGTGTTTGGACATGCATTTGGGGGACATGACACATGTATTGGGACATGCAATTGTGTTATGCTTGCTCACGCCATGAAGTGACTTCTCTTTTTCCCTACTTTTACCACCATCATCCCTTCCATTGCTGTTGTGTTTGCTCAGGACCCCCTGGATCAGAAGAAAAAAGCTGCATTCTTGTGCATGCACGTGCACACATGTGATGAGGTTGTTTTTGAGACGTCTCAAAAGCTGCATTCTTGTGCATGCACGCGCACACAATGCAACAAATCTGCTCCATAACGCTCCCACCCACCCCACCCACCCACCTGCAGTTGTCTGTGCTCAGGACGCCATGGATCAGAAGAGAGAAACTACATTATTGTGCATGCACTTGCACACAATGCAACTACTATGCTAATTAATGCTCCCACACATTTATCCACACCTCCTCCGTTGTCTGTGCTCAGGACACAATGGATCAGAAGAAAAAGGCTGCATTCTTTCGTGACAAGATGCAAGAGATTGTGAGTCTTGAATGGTTTTGTTTGTTGCAACTTTGTCAGTAATAATAGTGTGAAGTTTGAGACGTCTCTTAAAATGTTTCCTTTTTGTGTGTGTCCCATCCCATCCACCTCCCATCCCATCCCATCCCATCCTCTTTGTGTCTCTTTCCAGGTCATGTTCAAGAGTCGCTGTGATCTCCGCCTTGCGGACGTATCTGAACAGGCTGACGTGGAGAAAAAGGAGGTGAGCATGCTGACGTGGAGGAAACAGGGGGTGGGCATGCTGACGTGGCCGCAAAGTAAAGTACTGATGATCACAAAGGCAGGTTTGATTATTTTGGGAGTTTCAAATCCTTATGCACATAGTTCTCATCTCACAGCTTGAGTCTTGACTTCAGTTCGTCTTCTAAAGTTTTTTAAAATATTTTAGCCCAGGGAGCACGTTGACAGGTTTCTATTGTGCAAGGCGGTTCGAATCTCGGCTGGAAATTAGTGGCGAGGCGATCTTAAGGCAATGTTTTTTATGCGATGTTTTTTTTTTTTTTTTTTTTTTTTTCACTTTGAGAGGTGCCTGCAGGGATGCTACATGCTAATGCTTGGTCTCTTTTCTCCTAACCTCTTCCCCCCTCCTTGTTCCCCTGGTGCCAGATGGAGGAACTGGCTCGGAAGTATCACGACAAGTACAAGGCGACTCAGCTGTTGGCGGGGAAGCTAGGTGTTCCTCTTCGACGCCGCAATATCTACCTTCTCCATGTTTCTCTGCTACCAGATGGAGGAACTGGCCCGAAAGTATGATGACAAGTACAAGGCGGCTCAGCTGTCGGTTGGGAAGCTGGTTGCTTGTCTTTGTCGCCTAAAGAAACACCCTCTTCCCTCCTATCCCTGCCTTCGCTCCGTGTACCAGATGGAGGAACTGGCCCGAAAGTATGACGACAAGTACAAGGCGGCTCAGCTGTCGGTTGGGAAGCTGGTTGCTTGTCTTTGTCGCCTAAAGAAACTCCCTCTTCCCTCCTGTCCCTGCCTTCGCTCCGTGTTCCCCTGGTACCAGATGGAGGAACTGGCCCGAAAGTATGACGACAAGTACAAGGCGGCTCAGCTGTCGGTTGGGAAGCTGGTTGCTTGTCTTTGTCGCCTAAAGAAACTCCCTCTTCCCTCCTGTCCCTGCCTTCGCTCCGTGTTCCCCTGGTACCAGATGGAGGAACTGGCCCGAAAGTATGACGACAAGTACAAGGCGGCTCAGCTGTCGGTTGGGAAGCTGGTTGCTTGTCTTTGTCGCCTAAAGAAACTCCCTCTTCCCTCCTGTCCCTGCCTTCGCTCCGTGTTCCCCTGGTACCAGATGGAGGAACTGGCCCGAAAGTATGACGACAAGTACAAGGCGGCTCAGCTGTCGGTTGGAAAGCTGGTTGCTTGTCTTTGTCGCCTAAAGAAACTCCCTCTTCCCTCCTGTCCCTGACTTCGCTCCGTGTTCCCCTGGTACCAGATGGAGGAACTGGCCCGAAAGTATGACGACAAGTACAAGGCAGCTCAGCTGTCTGCTGGGAAGCTTGCAGCAGAGGAGCGAGCGCTGCAGCAGATGCAGGTACTCTGCATCCCTCTGCATCCCCCTGCATACCTCTGCAACCCCTTGGGATCCCTCTGCATCCCTCGCAGTGCCCACATCGCTCTGCATGTGCTGCATTTCCACCCATCCCTTTCACAGAAGAAAGCTCAGATGATCATAAATGCAGCAGATGCAGAGCGATGTGGGCACTGTGAGGGATGGGACATTTATTATCACAGCAGAAGAAAGCTCAGATGATCATAAATGTCCCATCCCTCTGCATTGCCACGTCAGTCCCTCTCCTCCCTCTGCATCTTCTTTCCTTCTGCCTTCTCTCCACCCTATCCTGTACCCGTCTCCACCCTACCCCACACCCTTCTCCACCTTCTCCACCTTTTTCCACCCATCTCCACCCATCCCTCTCCCAGGAGAAGGCTCACGTAATCATGAACGCAACGTCAAGGCTGGACCGAGGAAGCGACCCCAACCAGCTACTGCAGGTGCGGTGTGATGCGGTGTGGTGTGGCGCGGTGTTGTGTGGTGTGGCACGGTGTTGTGTAGTGGGGTGTGCTGCAAGGGGTTTATGAGTGTAGTGGCTGCTGTGCAGTGATAGTGGTAGTATTTGCTCATTCCATTCCCATCTCTCATGCTTCTCCTCATGCTATCTCACTTATTGTCAGGTCAAGGAGGACCGCTTGGCGTGCTTTTGAGTCGACTCAGAAGCAAAAGCAGCCTGCCTTTGATTCGGCTCAAAAGCAAAAGCAGCCTGCTTTTGAGTCGGCTCAAAAGCTAACACTTATTGTCAGGTCAAGGAGGACCGCTGGGCTGAAAGTTGGAGGAGAGGCGTCAGGTGGTGATTGTGCATGCAACCGCTTCTCTCGTGTGATGATTCGATTTCTGAGTCGACTCAAAAAGCAACCGCTTCTCTCCCTCATGCTGTCCCGTACTCTTCCACGTTTCCAAGACAAGGCGGACCGCCTAGCTCTAGAGATGGATCATGGAGGCGATGCATCAGGCAGTGTTCGCGCATGCCACTGCTGTCTGCCTGCCTGCCCCTCATGTTGCTGCCCATGCTGCCCCGCATGCTGTCCTGCCCCTCATGGGCAGGCCACTGCTGTCTGTCTGCCTGCCTGCCCCTCATGTTGCTACTCGTGCTGCCCCGCATGCTGTTCTGCCCCTCACTCTGTCTCTTGTGCCCATCCACATCATCAGGACTTTTGAGGCGCCTCAAAAGTCTGTCTGTCTGCCTGCCCCTCATTGTTGCTGCTCATGCTGCCCCGCATGCTGTCCTGCCCCTCACTCTGTCTCTTGTGCCCATCCACATCATCAGGACAAGGCAGACCGCCTGGCTCTGGTCTGGTCTGGACTGGACGCACGAAACAGTGTTTGCTTGCGCATGCCACTGCTGCCTGCCCCTCATGAGGTGACTTTTGAGTCGACTCAAAAGTCACCTCAGAACAGTGTTTGCACATCCCCTCTGCTGCCTGCTCCTCATGCTGCCACTCGTGATGGCCCTTAATCCTCATCCCCATCACCAGGACAAGGCGGTCCACTTGGGTTTAGAGGTGGAGGAGATGCGCAAGGCAGTGTCTACCCATGCCACTGCCTTCCCTCACGCTGTCCTCCTTTCTGCCCCTCTTGCCGCCCCATCCCCATCATCAGGACAAGGCTGACCGCCTGGCTCTAGAGGTGGAGGAGATGCGCAAGGCAGTGTTCGCCCATGCCACTGTTGTCTGCCCCTCACTCACGCTGCCCCGTCATGCTGTCCCTTGTATCCCTCTTTCTCAACGCCCAGGACAAGGCGGACCGACTGGCTCTAGAGGTGGAGGAGATGCGCAAGGCAGTGTTTGCTCACGCTACTGCCATAGGGCTGAAAGTTCGGCCCCTTGTGGGCTCCGAAACTCCCTTCGGTAAGCACCCCAACATGCCATCGTGTTGACTTTTGAGTCGACTCAAAAGTCAGTTTGGCCCCTTGTGGGTTTCGAAACTCCCTTCGGTAATCACCCCAACATGCCATCGAACGATCATGCCATCACGCTATGTTCAGGAATGTTTGGCCCCTTGTGGGTTCCGTAACTCCCTTCGGTAAGCACCCCAACATGCCATCGAACGATCATGCCATCACGCTTTGTTCAGGAATATGGCGGAGAGGGAATGTCCTCTTTAGATCAACAGTGACCCAAACCACCTGCTGCATGTTTGCTGAGAGATCATTATTTGTCAAGAATATGCAGCAGGTGGTTTGGGTCACTGTTGACTGATGTTTCGCCAAGTGGCCTCTTTGTCTTTCTTTGTTTTTGCAGGCTGGCAGGCGAATCTTCAGGAGAAAGCAACAGACTGGGACGACGGGTGGGACGATGTTCAGTTTGAAGGCCTGGTGGTGGTGCGGGATATTGGTGACACTCCCCTAGCTGAGAACGAAGACCCGTTTCCCAGGCCGAAATCCAAGGAGCAGGAGAAGGGTGAGGCTGGGGCATCAGCAGCGGCTGAAAATGGCAAGGGAGAAGGGGAGGAGGGTGGGGGTGAGGGAGAGGTGGACGATGGGAAAGGGGGAGAGGGGATGGCAGCAGAAGGGGTCGATGGTGCTGCGGATACTGGAGGGGAAGGCCCAGGAGGCGCCAAGGAGAAGGAGGAGAAGGAGAAGGAGAAGCAGGAGAAGGAGGAGGAGAAGAAGAGGAAGAAGAAAGAGAGGAGGATGGGTGCCGCCCCTTCCGGCCCATCTGACTTTTTCTCTCCCGAGGAGGACGAGGATGCAGATTCAAACGAGGCGATGATTGGCGTGCAGGGGCACGGGGAAGGGGAGGAGGACGAGGAGGAAGAGGAGGAGGAGGTGGAGGAAATTGAAATGGACTCGACGCCAGTGCTGCAGATAACAGCAGGAGGAGAGGGAGAGGGAGGGGGACGGGGGAGCAAAGAGGGGATGATGGAAGGGATGGTTGCAGGAGGGGCAGGAGGGGCAGGAGGGGCAGGAGGGGAGAGAAAGCAGGGAGAACCAGCAGAAGCAGGAGCTGGAGGAAAGGAAGAAGAGAGAGAGGAGCAGGAGATCGATGGGGAGACTTCGACGTCAGCAGTGCAAGAGGAGAGTGCAGCATCGGCTTCACCTGGTGATTCCAAGGAGATTCTCGGTTTCCCCTTCCAAGGCTGGTCCCGTGGCAGCGCAGGAAAAGCAGGAGCTGCAGCAGGAGGAGCGGGAGGAAGAGGGTCAGGAGGAGCAGTAATGCCGAGTTTGGCTGACCTGGCATCGTCCTTCTCTCTCTCCCCGGTCTCTGCAGTGTCTCCAGTTTCGCCTGTCTCAGCTGCAGCATCCACCAGCAGTAGAGCGTCTACTACTGCCTCTCCTTTCAACCCTGCTTCGGTTGCCAAGAGCCTGGCTGCTGCTAATGCTGCTGCTGCAGAAAACGCTGCTTCTGGAACGCCTGATTCTACCCCTGCTGCTGGTGCTGCTGGTGGCACTGGTGCTGCCTCGTCAGCAGGGAAATCCCCGCCCTCGGCCACATCTGTACGCCGAACCTTGGATTTAGGTTCTGTGGACTCCCCGCGGCAGGACAGCACGGCGAGCGGAGAGAGCAGCGCCGGAGGCTTGGGTTTTGGTTCGGTGATGACGATGGCTGGTCCGGGAGGGAGGTACGGAGAAGGAGCAGGAGCAGGAGCAGGAGTGGGGGCAGTAGCAGGAGGGGGGAAAGAGGCATATGGAGGGGGAGAGGAAGTATCACGGCCCTACACAGCCCATGGACTTGCAGATATGGTCGAGAGTGATGCAGAGAGTGACAGTGGAAGAAAGGGCTACGGGTCTCGAGGAAGGCAAGGGAAGAAGGTGCAAGAGGAAGAGGAGGACGAAGAGACAGATTCTGCTGACACTGCTGCTCCTGCTGCTGGTATCCCTGCAGTTGCAACAGCTGCTGCTGCTGCCGGCGCTGCTGCTGCTGCTGCCACTGCTGCTCCTGATGCCTCCTTCGGCGCATCTCCCAGTGCTGACAGTGACGGTGCTGCTGTAACAGAGACCAAATCCGGGTCCTTCGCGTTTGATTTCTCAGCGGAACCCGAGGAGGACCTGTTCAGCTCAGGTGCAGCAGCAGCAGACCCTTCAGAATCCGCGTCTCCCTTCCCCACCTCGTTTAGCACTGAAGGCAGACGGAGAAGCGGAACAGACGAGGCTCAATCGCCCCTTACGCACGCCGCTGCTGTGAGTCAGGAAGACAGCCCCATTCACTCCCAGCAGCAGCAGGCAGGCAATGCAGATACGTTTGATTCGTCGCCATTTCACGCCAAGTCAATTGACGCCACACCATTTGACGCCTCTCAGTTTGACCAGGGTTTCAATCCGGACGCTAGTTTCGGTCGCGATTCAAGCTTTGGCCGAGACCCGAGTTTTTCCAGGGATTCGAGTTTCAAGGGGTACGGGGGGAGCATGTTTGATTCTGCGACTGGTGCAGCAAGCTTCAAGGGTGGTTTTGATGCGAGTGCGTTTGACTCTGCCACTGGTGCTGCGAGTTTCAAGGGCGGGTTTGATGCGAGTGCGTTCGACCAGCATTACGGCGGGGTGGGGGCGTTTGATCAACACTATGGTGCCGGCGGTGCTGCTCTTGACACCTCCTCCTCCTTCCTCTCATCTGTGGATTCCCCGTCCGGCCCACACTCCCGGGTGAGTGTTTAGAATTGACTGGTCTCAAGGGTGGGTTTGATGCGAGTGCGTGCGAGTGCGTTCGACCAGCATTACGGCGGAGTGGGGGCGTTTGATCAGCACTATGGTGCCGGCGGTGCTGCTCTCGATACCTCCTCCTCCTTCCGCTCTTCCGTGGACTCCCCGTCCGGCCCACACTCTCGGGTAAGGGGTTCTAGTCTGCGTTTGACCAGCATTACGGTGGAGTGGGGGCGTTTGACCAGCATTACGGTGGAGTGGGGGCGTTTGATCAGCATTATGGTGCCGGCGGTGCTGCTCTCGATACCTCCTCCTCCTTCCGCTCTTCCGTGGATCCCCCGTCCGGCCCACACTCTCGGGTAAGGGGCTCTAGTCTGCGTTTGACCAGCATTACGGTGGAGTGGGGGCGTTTGACCAGCATTACGGTGGAGTGGGGGCGTTTGATCAGCATTATGGTGCCGGCGGTGCTGCTCTCGATACCTCCTACTCCTTCCGCTCTTCCGTGGATCCCCCGTCCGGCCCACACTCTCGGGTAAGGGGCTCTAGTCTGCGTTTGACCAGCACTACGGTGGAGTGGGGGCGTTTGACCAGCATTACAGTGGGGGGGGGTGCTGCTCTGGACACCTCCTCCTCCTTCTGCTCTCTGCAAATTCCCGGTCTGGCCCACAGGCCCGGATGAGTTGAGGAGTTAATTCTGTAGTGGTGGTTGGTGGGAGAGGGGGGGGTGGGTGGGAGGAAGTCAAGGAGGAGGGTCAAGGAGTTGATTTCATAGCGGGAGGGTGGTGGGGGGTGGTGACAAGGTGGGAAGGTGAGGGTGGGGAAGTCTGGGCTGCTCTTGACAGCTCCATTCTTACCTGTTCCAATCCTTTGCCAGTGGCATCGATGACTACTTGTTTTGAGACGTCTCAAAACAAGCTCCATTCTTACCTGTTCCAATCCTTTGCCAGTGGCGTCGACGACGCTGGCGTCAACGACCACTTTCCCTCACTCCTCCACCCTTGCTTCTCTTTCCCCCCACTCCCCTCCATCCCCACTTCCAGTCTGGAGAGTTTCATCCCGGTCAGTTCCAATCCTTTGCCAGCGGATTCGACGACCATTTCGACTCCAACCCTTACGGTGCAAGTGCGGGGGCGGTGGGAGGAGGCGGAGGCGGAAGAGGAAGGGGAGAGGAAGAGGAGGAGGTGCATAGCAGTGAGGAGGAGGACAGTGGAGGGGATCCCTTCGCCAGTCTCCGCAGCGGTGGGGGCGTTGGTGGTGGTAACCAGCATGTTACCGCGTCGCATTTCGACGCGTACAACTATGACAAGGCATCGGAAGAGGCGGAAACGCCGGGGGCTGCGAGGCAGGGGGGCGTGCAGCCGGGTAGTGCGAGCGCATTTGACTCGTACGGGTGGAACGCGTTTGAGTGATTTGTGAGAATTACCTCTCAAGGCTAGGAGAAACCATGCAGTGGAGTTGGTTGCTTACTGTTGTTACCGTATCTAAGCAAGTAGAGATTTGATTAAATATTTGGATTTGGCAAGCTATACTTCATAAGTAGGCGTTTTGAAGCCTTTTATCATGCTTTATTTGTGATTTTGTTCCATTGGCATCATATTAGTGCGTGCGAGCGCACCATAATGTGCATCATATCCCCTTTTTCATCGTTTAGCAACTTGGGGTATTGCAGAACTTAATAATCCCACGAAACGGGTTTGTCGAATAGACAACTCATAACGGATACGCCAGGCCAAATTCCACTCACCTCACACCCGAAGAGGACATTCCACCAGCGAACAAACCCATCGGCCGGCAACCCCCAGGCCAGTTCTTGTCAAACCTGGTCTCCAGAGAAACATGGCAATCCGTCAAGAGGAGAATTCAGGGAGCTCTGAGGGAATAGTGTACACAGCATCCGGAGGAACACCATAGGGATGATCGGAACCTGAAAGACGTTCAGGAAGCTGTGTATGTGCACGGGTGTGACGTTTCCAGTTCAGTTTCTCTGAGACTCGACCGGCAGAATGACAGCCGCTCGACGGATTCTGATAGCTCGAGGGATCCCGTTAGTTGAGCGGTTTCTGTTTCTGGCTTGCGCGATTGCCCTTCTGCACGTGAGTATCGTTACTACCCATTTTTTAGTAGACTTAATGGTCATGGTCAACTCATCATCCATTTACGAAAAATACTTAAAAATGGTTCTATCCTAATACTTACACTTGTCCTTTTCACGAGCACCGATGCTTTTCTTTTCGTCTTCTTTAGTTAACGTAAGTTTCGGACTTTCGTCTTCCTGACAATCCGTGCATTCGCCGTTCCGCACACACAGGAAAGATCCCAGCATATAGAATGTCCGTGAATTCGCATGCACATTCGCATCCGAATACGCATGACCCTCCTCTCCTCCCAACCACTAAGCGTCACCCAGACTCCCCTCCCCTTTTATTATCGCATCAGGCTGGGAATGCAGCAGCCGAGCGCATTCACCATGGCGATGCTGCCCTTGTGAGTGAGTGTATGGTATGGTGTGATGTGATGATTTGAATGCAGCATGATGTGATGATGCGAGTGCAGCATGATGGGATATGTGAGTGAGTGCATGATGTGATGAGCTGACTCAGGTGAATGCAAGATGAGGGTGCAAAAATATCACCTAACGTAGATATAAGTACTCTTAACTAAAATCACTTGTAACAGCCACCTCATCCTACTCACGAAAAGTGGCCATGTTACAACAGCAGGTGGTTTTTCTACCGAGAATAACAATGTGTTTTTTCTCCACCCAGAATTATGTCTATGAATAAAAAAACTTTTTTTTTTTAACGGTCGTTTTTAAGGATACCATTCTTCACTATCAGAGTTTGAATAAATCGACGTATTCTTGCCCCTTGATCATTTGAACAATCTGAGGATGACTATGGAGTTGCCTATCTGAATACATGTCTTATCTTCCCAAGTACCTTTGTTAACATTGGAAAGTTCCCATTCCAATCTTTTTCTGCTCGCAGCATATACGAAATCCTTTTCTCCTCTTCCTGTTCCCCTTTCTGCTACCCTTTCCTTACCCTTCCCCCTTCCCCCCTCCCTCCCCCCCACCTTCTCCTTTCAGTCTCGAGCCATCATTGATGGTTTCCTTGATGACCCCACACTCATCGATTTCAGTTTTCCCGACCAAATATGTGGCACATGGCACCACAACTACACGCGCATCCACCAACAAATTCGGGCAGCCAGCAAAAATCCCTCCGCCGCCCCACCGCCCGACACGCCGCCCGTGGAATTTCTCACCTTCGACGGCCTCAGCCACTGCGACAGCCTCGGGGAGACCCTCATGGGGCTGACGTCAGCATTCACTGTAGCTCTGCTCACTAACAGGGCCTTCGTTATAAAGCACCCGTGCATCCCCATGGCGTTTGAACCGGCCCTGATTGACTGGGAGCCAACAGAAGACGTGGGATTCGAGCCGGTCAGAAACGAAACTTTCCCATTGGACCCTCCGAACAGGGCAGTCAATCCTCCAATAGGAGCAAACGACATAGTGGAGATCAATCTGGAGTCAAATCCCACGGCGCACCCAGAAAAGGTGTTTCCGCAGGTGGAAGCTGCGAGGAACCTGCGTGTGGTGTGGAATAAGGACCTGCTGGTGCATATGCTGAAGGGGGCGAATGGGTCGGCTTGGGGGGAGAGGCTCATGGGTATGGGTATCAGGATCCCATACGCTTTCGGCTGCTTTGTGCGATACCTGCTGAGGTGAGAGGGTGAGAGGTGGTAGGTGAGAGGACGTGGTTACTGGGCCTGTATTCATTGGATTATCAGGTTTCATTGGTTTCACCCTCTTGATGCCCTTCCCGTGCTCTATATTTCCTCTATCCTTTTTCTGTTTTCTTTTCTGCATCCTTCTTCCTTTCTGCTATCCTTCTTTATCTCCTCTATCCTTTTCTGTTGCCCCATTTTCTTTCTTTCCAATCCCAAGCCGGAGGTGTGGCACAGGATGCAGCCGTTTGAGAAGCAGCTGAGGGAGAGCGGGGGAGAGGGAGCACGGGTAAGCATGGACTTACCTCATAATCCTTCCTCTTCCCCGCTCTACGTCCCACTCACCCGCAGGCCTAAGCCGGAGGTGTGGCACAGGATGCAGCCGTTTGAGAAGCAGCTGAGGGAGAGCGGGGGAGAGGGAGCACGGGTAAGCATGGACTTACCTCATAATCCTTCCTCTTCCCCGCTCTACGTCCCACTCACCTGCAGGCCTAAGCTGGAGGTGTGGCACAGGATGCAGCCGTTTGAGAAGCAGCTGAGGGGCAACAAGGTGGTGAGCATCAGTGAGGGTAGGCTTCCTCCAATCATCCGTCCCCAGTCCCTCTCTCTCTCTCCCCACTCCGCTACAGACCCAAGCCGGAGGTGTGGCACAGGATGCAGCCGTTTGAGAAGCAGCTGAGGGGCGACAAGGTGGTGAGCATCGGTGTGCACGTGCGGCATTTTGGCCGCGGGTTCCTCCCACCCAACACAACCATCAGCTCGGACGACTTGCGGAGAGCCTTTAACGACATTGTGATGCCTGCCATCAAGTGCGCAAAGGTTTGTGTTCATGTTCAGGAGAAAAACTTTTGAGGCGCCTCAAAACTGAACACCATTGTGATGCCCGCCATCGAGTGCGCAAAGGTTTGTGCTTATTTCCAGGAGAAAAAGTTGTCCATATTGGAAACAGCAGAGGAGAAGAAGCGCAGAGGCCCTTTCCCCCTCCCCCTCCCTCTCCTCCCTCCTCCCTCCCCACCATTGGAAACTTTGCTTCCTTTTTTCATTTACCCTCCATCACTACCACCACACTCATTGGAAGGACGGATAAGGACTGGTGGTAGCGTTCACTTTTCGCTCATCCCACCTTGGATACCCTCTTCCGCCCCTCCACGCACATGGCAGGATGTGGAGAACTGGTGGTATGGTACCCACCATTCCTCGATGTGAAGTGGCTCGTTGTCAGCGTTCAAACCAGCTCTTTCCACCTCCCTGACACCCCCCACCACCACCCTCGCCCCTCCTCACACACGCACATGGCAGGATGTGGAGAGGTGGTGGTACCCACCATTCCTCTATGTGAAGTGGCTCATTATTAGCGTTCAATCAAGCTCTTTCCACCTCCCTGACACCCCCCACCACCACCCTCGCCCCTCCCCGCACGCACACGCACATGGCAGGATGTGGAAAACTGGTGGTACCCACCATTCCTCAATGTGAAGTGGCTCGTAATAAGCGACTCACTGCAACTCAAAAAGAAGGCCATCGAAGTGAACGAAACCAAGGTGATGTGACTATAACGAGTCCAAGCCAAGGTGATGCGATAAATCGGGGTCAAAGGTGATGTGATTGTAAAAAATCAAACGTGATGTGATTGTAACGAGTCAAAGGTGATGTGATTCGTAACGACGAGCCCAAGGTGATAAGTGTACGTCCTCTCGTATCCTATCCTATCCTCTTCTCTCCCTCTCTTCTTCCCATGATGCTCCCTCCCCATCATCATCAATTTCCGAGCCTCCATCCTTACCATCTCGACCACCCAAATCTACCCTCCAGAATTCTTAACCATCCTTTTGCTACTCCCTCTGCCTCCTGCCGGCCTATCACCACATCTAAGTGCCCGCATCCCCATTCCGCATGCTATATATTTTCCCAAAAAAGCAACGACGACTTCTTTTAAGGACTCGTCCCCCACCTCCTCAACCTGCTTTTCGCCCACCCCACTCCTTTGCAGATCGTGATAACCGAATTCGACCCGTGGGTCCCGACCTCCCTCCTCAACATCAGCCAAAGCCCCCCTTCCGCACCCGCCCCCGCTCCCACTCCCTCCTCCGACCCTCCTTCCAGTCCCGCCACCCCAGAGGGCCCCCCTCTCCCTCCCATCCCCACTGTTCAAGAATTCCAAGAGACAGTCACCGAGTGGCTTCTGCTCTCCTCGTGCAACTCCTTTATTGTTTCTACGTCTGCCTTTGGCCGTACAGCCGCCATGTACTCAATGCATCCTATGAGCATGCACATGCCGCGTTCGTGTGACCCTCAGACTCCCGTCCGCGTTAGCAGCTTCGGAGAGGAGTCCAAGCGCCAGTTTTGATATGCCTCTGGATTGCAACATATGGCTGCTGCCTGCACGTAGAGCGTTGAAAATGGCCGCTGCGGCACTGCGTCCTTTTTGTGGCCATATCACTGTTGTAAGCAACTGGGCTATGCCATGCCATGCATCGCAGAGCAGAGTGAGATGTGCATGGCCCATAGCATAATTATTAGAACACCATTGTACCTAACGCCATTGTGCATCAGGAGCAGCTTGACAGCGGTTGGAATAGCAGTCGGAAGTGTGGGCAGCCCAGCATTCGTTTTCCACTCATCTGAAACATGTTGCATTGGTTACTGTGCAAGAACTACGGTACTTCGTGGCTCGGAACGTTGCCGCAGGATGGAAAGCGGTTTATCAAATTTACCGTTTTGCACCGTGGCGAAACGAATTAGACCACAGGAAACGTACAGAACATGTACGACCACCTAGCGTGAAAATCCGCCATTTCACAGTTTCTCGTCTCGAGATTCTGCCCGTCAACACACGAACCCACCCAGAGCTCCCAAGGCTGGAAATTCCGTTCAGGTACAAGTCAAGTCAAACCGGTTGGTATGGAAAACTGACAGACAGTCAGCTTTCAGTCAGCGGGGGAAAAACTGGCGGTTATCTCAGGAAGAAATCGAGGTCTGCATCCTGATCCACTAGTTCCAGCTTCATGCTTTTTCGCTCATGCATGAAGACAAAAGCTACTAGCTTGATAGCTAGTTGTTCACATAGACAGGAAATTTTTGAAGTTATTCCGCTGTCGTCAAAGCAGCTGTGCTCTCTTTCTTTTAGAGCACGTTAGTCTGGAGATGCTGCCTGTTCAAGGACTTCGTGACTCGACTGACAGAATGCGCGTCGCTCGACGGATTTCGTTAGGTCGACGGCTTTCATCAGCTCAGCGTTTCCTGATTCTTACTTATGCTATTGCCGTTCTACACGTGAGTCCCGCTTCTGCGGCGATGCAGTTATCATTGTCAACGTAGTATTTTTTAAAGAAAAGCTGCTCTGTAAAATGTTTTGTGGTCGCTTTTCTATCATTTACATTTGTCCGTTATAAAGGTCACCCATGCGGTTTTTTGTCCTAGCGGAAGGTCTGAACGTTAATCTGTAGCTAGTTTTGAGCGTCGTCTTTGAAATGCTCACAGGTGGGTGTCTGAAGTAAAAGTTGTTAGCTCTTTGATTTACTGATAATTCTTCGCCGTTCCGCATTTCTCGTCTCTCCTCCCAGCCACTAAGCCTTACCTGGATTTTCTCTTTCCTCCGCCGTTATTGTCGCATCAGGCTGGGAATGCAGCAGACGAGCGCATTCACCACCGCGATGCCCTTGTGAGTGAATGGCATGATGTGATGTGATGATGTGCGTGCAGCATAATGTGATGATGTGCTCGCAGCATGATGTGATGATCTAAGAGCATGATGTGATGATGTGAGTACAGCATGATGTGATGTTGTGAGTGCAGCACGATGCGATGATGTGCATGCAGCATGGTGAGATGATGTGAGTGCAGCATGGTGCAATGATGTGAGTGCAGCATGATTCCTCTCTGGGGTTTTTATCTTGTCCTGAGTGGCACCTGACTGGCAAGTGCCAACCCCCCTATTTTCCACCCACTTTTGGCCAACTCCCCCCCACATTCAAATTCCTCTTTATGTTTCTCACGCCTCTGCTTCCCAATACACACAAAAATTCTATCCCCCTTCACCCCCAACTCCCCCCCCCCCCGCTCCCCGCCGATTGCTCCTTCCCCCTTCAGTCGCGAGCTATCATTGATGCTTTCCCTGACGTCCCCACGCTCATCGATTTCGGGTTTCCCGACCATCTGTGTGGGACGTGGCACCACAACTACACTCGCATGCACCAGCAAATCCGGGCAGCCAGCAAAAGTCCATCCTCTGCCCCGCCGCCCGAAACGCCACCCGTGAAATTTCTCACCTTTGACGGCCTCCGCCACTGCGACAGCCTCGGGGAGACCCTCATGGGGCTGACGTCAGCATTCACTGTAGCTCTCCTCACTAGCAGGGCCTTCGTTATAAAGCACCCGTGCATCCCCATGGCATTTGAACCGGCGCTGATCGACTGGCAACCCACCGAGGACGTGGGATTCGAGCCGGTCAGAAATGAAACTTTTCCGTTGGACCCACCTGACCGGACAGTCACACCGCCAATAGGAGCGAGCGATATTGTGGAAGTTAATTTGGAATTGCATCCCGAGGCACACCCGGAAAAGGTGTTTCCGAAGGTGGAAGCTGCGCGGAACCTGCGTGTGGTGTGGAATAAGGATCTGCTGGTGCATATGCTGAAGGGGACGAATGAATCGGTGTGGGGGGAAAGACTCAGGGCCATGGGCGTGCGAATTCCATACGCTTTCGGCTGCTTCGTTCGATACCTGCTGAGGTGAGTGGGGGTATAGGGGTTCATCATACAAGGGAACCAATGAATCGGTGTGGGGGGGGAAACTCATGGCCCTGGGTGTGCGAATTCCGTACGCTTTCGGCTGCTTCGTTCGGTACCTGTTGAGGTGAGTGGATGATTGAGAGGATATGGTTTCATTAAAGAGAGAGAGCGTGTCGGTCGGAATGTTTGGTTGCAAGGCATGTGTGTTGCTAGCAGGTTATCAAGCCGCTTTTGTTAGTCCCTCCATCCTTTCCTCTCACATCCCCTTCATTCATTCCATATATCTTAGCCAAGATATGGCTTTTGAGGCACCTAAGAATTTGTGAAGACTATTCCCCTCGCTTCCTCCATGCATCCCTTGTGTTGTCCTGTTCTGCCCTTTCGTTTTCTACTTTCCCACTCCTTTTTTTTTTGTGGTCTCCAGGCCCAAGCTGGAGGTGTGGCACAGGATGCAGCCGTTTGAGAAGCAGCTGAGGGGGAACAAGGTGAACATAAGCTTACCTTAATCACCGGTCCCCCGTCCCTCTCTCTCTCTCCACTCTACTCCCCTCCCTCCAGGCCCAAGCCGGAGGTGTGGCACAGGATGCAACCGTTTGAGAAGCAGCTGAGGGGAGACAAGGTGGTGAGCATCGGCATGCACGTGCGGCAGTTCGGCCGCGGGCCCCCCCCGCCCAACACCACTGTTAGCCCGGAGGAGGTGAAGCAAGTCCTGGACGACGTCGTGTGGCCCGCCATTGAGTGCGCCAAGGTGGGTTTTCTTTTTCAGAAGAAGAACAACCGACCTGTCCAGTCTCCAACACACCCTCAGCCCCTCACATTCAGTGGTAGCATTCTTTTTTCCTCCTCCCATCTAATGCATCCCAACCCCACTTTCCCCCCTCGCACACAAATAACAGAATCTGGAAAACTGGTGGTACCCGCCAACGCTTGATGTGAAGTGGCTCGTTATTAGCGACTCGCTGCAACTCAAACAGGAGGCCACAAAAGTGAACGATTCCAAGGTGATTTGATGTGACTAGTACGGCGTCAAAGTTATGTGATTATAGCGAAAGTTTATCATTATCATTGACTTCAATCCGTCGGTCCCATCCCCCCTCCCGCTTGCCAAAGTTTTTCCCAAAATTACTTCTGAGCCAAAAAAGTGCTAATCCGCTTGCTAGAGCTTTTCCTGTTTTTCCTCAACCACCATTCCCCCACTCCCTCCCCTCTGTGCAAATCGTGTGGTAACCGAGTTTGAACCATGGGTCCCACCCACCAATAAGATCTCTTCACCCCCCTCCCCGTGTTCCACCCTCTCTACAGATCGTGATCACCGAATTCGAACCGTGGGTCCCACCCTCCCTCCTCAGCATCAGCCAAAGCCCCCCTCCCCCGTCCCCTCCCCCACCCTCCCCCGACTCCTCTTCCGATCCCACCACTCCCACCGCCACCCCTGAGGAACCCCCTCTTGCTCCCATTCCCTCTGTGCAAACCTTCCAAGAAACAGTCACTGAATGGCTGCTTCTCTCCTCGTGCAACTCCTTTGTCGTTTCAACCTCCGCCTTTGGCCGTACGGCCGCCATGTATTCGATGCATCCCATGAGCATCTACACGCCGCAGTCGTGTGAGCCTCAGACTCCTGTTCGCGTCAGCAGCTTCGGAGAGGGTTCAAAGCGGCAGTTTTAAGGCGCTCGCTATTGCACGCCGAACGTTGCACCTTGCAGCTTCGGAGAGGGGTCAAAGCGGCAGTTTTAAGGCGCGTAGCGTTGCGTTACATCATTATTCTTAGTGGCTTGAATTGCATCATACATGCTTCTATGTTGCCTGGTGCAAGTGGGTCATGCGTCCTTTTATGACCATTCTGCTGACATGCACTTGCCTCAGCCTATCCCATCTGTTCTGTGAGCTCCATACAGCACAGCACAGCGCTGCGCAGCACGGCGCAGCGCAGCACAGCATGATGATGTGTACAATGCCAAGTCATGATTTGATTGACACTGGTCAGCATCAGCAGCTTGACAGAAGAGTTGGAGTCCCAACTTTTGGACTGGAGGCAGCAAATATGTGACCGAAAGAGTTGGATGTGCTTCACGCTTCTGTTTGGTTGCATTCCAAAACCTACTTTTAATAAGAATTCAACTCTTCAGTAGTGTGTCAGAGGAGAAAGTCGATCAGAACTCCCGCCGTGACCTGTGCACGAGGCTGCTGATGGGCACGGGGGACTGTAGCATGTATGGATGCATGAAGTACTTGTAGGCTGCATTGACTTGTGAGACGTCTCAAAAGTCGGGGGACTGTAGCATGTATGGATGCATGAAGTGCTTGTAGGCTGCATTGAATACCAAGACACTCGTTGAGGCTCCAATCGTTGAGGAAAAAAAGACTACGCTCAGAATTCCCGCCGTGACCAGCGAACGGGGCTGCGGATGGGCACGGGTGACTGCGGCTTGCATGCATGCGTCATGTAGATGCTCATCAACTGCAGTGAATACCAAGGCGATCTACGAGGCAACTAAACAATGTGAGGACACTCAGAATTGTTAACAGAACTAGGCAAGAATGAGTTGGATTGAAAGAAACAGTTGGGTACAAGTAGCTAACCCTAGTTGGGTTTGTACCCTGTATTGGCTACCCCACTACAGCCTACCTACATATAAATAACACATTACAACTTAACACACCCCCATAGGCAAAGTGGGGGAGAGCAAAGGGTCACAAGACCAGTCCAGCAAAGCAAAAACAAGCCCAGGGTGGATCACAACGTCACCACACTCCGAGCACAAACAAAGGCCACAAGGCCAGTTCACATGTAGTGCTAGATATAGAACAGGACAAGCAGCAAGACAAATATAAAGTACAGTACAAAGAATGTCAAGCAGTGAGCAAGTGAGGAAACGTGGACACAAGGCCTAAAGAAGTACAGTGCCGCTGATGATCACTAGGCGGGAGCGCCTTGGTGAAGATATCAGCAGTGTTGGCCTTCGAGTCCACGTACACAAGCCGAAGCTGACCGCGCTGCTGAAGCTCTCGAGCAAGAAAGTAGCGAAGAGCAATGTGCTTCGTCCTATGCTCCAGTCTGTGCTCCTGACACAAGGCAAGAGCCGCCTTGTTGTCACCGTACAGAACTGGAGGAGAACTAGGCCGCTCTCCCAAGTCAGTCAGCAGGTAGGTGAGCCAGCGTAACTCCTGTGCAGCCATGGCTGTGGCGTAGATCTCAGCCTCACAACTAGAGCCGAGAACAGAAGAAGAGCGGGTGGACCGCCACGAGACAGAACCAGAGCCAAGGCTGAAGGTGTAACCCTGTGACGACCGCTGCATAGCCAGGTCGTCCACCCAAGAAGCGTCCGAGTGACCAGTGAGGACAACTCTGTCGCGTCCTCCAAGCACCAGCCCCATGCCTGATGTACTGCACAAGTAACGCAGCACCCTCTTAGCAGCCTCCCAGTGCTCTCGCCTGTGTCTCCCAGGCGCAACGTAGCGAGCAAGGATGCTAAGTGGGTACGCGAGGTCAGGTCGCGTGCAAGTCATCAGGTACATGAGGCAGCCTACAAGCTCTGGGTACGGGCCACTCGGCTCTACGGACTCGTCCGAAGGTGGAGCTGAGAGCGAGTGGCTGGTAGCCAGAGGTGTGGCCTGTGGTGAGGAGAACTGGAAGCCGAAGCGCTGAAGGACCTGCTGCACCATGTGTGACTGAGTCAGGGTGATGGTGCGGCGAGCTCTGTCCCGGGTGATCTGCAAGCCAAGGTAGCTACGCAGTTCACCCAGGTCAGTGCAGGTGTGTCTCTTCTGCAGCTCCGACTTCACACGAGCGAGTGCCTCAGTGTCAGCAGTAGCAAAGACCAAGTCGTCGACGTACACGAGAATGTAGAACGGCGGCAGCGACGTGTCTGTGCGCAGAAACAGCGACGGGTCAGCAGTAGACGGCGCGAACCCAAGAGCCGCAAGTGTAGTCCTCAGTGTGTCGTGCCACTCACGTGGCGCCTGGCGGAGACCGTAGACTGGCCGGCGGAGGCTCCACTGGGTACCAGGAGGAAACGACCCAGTAAAGCCAGGTGGGCGGCGCAGCCAGATCTCCTCGTGCAGGCTGCCCTGCAGGAACGCTGTGCTGAAGTCAAGAGAGTGAAGCTCGTAGTCACGCTGAGCAGCAACGTGCAGCAGAACCCGAAGAGTGGTCATCTTCGGGGTGGGGGAGAAGGTCTGGAAGAAGTCGACCCCCTGACGCTGACTGAAGCCTCTAGCAACGTAACGAGCCTTGAAGACAGGCGGAGAACCTGGCGGCCGCTTCACCCTGAAAATCCACATGCCATCGACGATGTTCGCCCCAGGAGGGGGAACCTCGTCGACGTAGGTGCCTGTGGACTTCCAGGATGCCATCTCTGCGTCCATGGCTGTCTGCCACTGAGAGGAGTAGGGACCCGAGATCGCCTCTGCGTAAGTGCGCGGAGTGGGGATGTCTAGTGCATCCGGGTCTCCCTCAGGGGCAAGCAACCAGGCCACGAGATGAGGTACAGCAGCCGCGAGAGAGTCAAAGTCCTCCTGCCTGTCCTCAAGGACGTCCGTGCCAAGAGCACACTCACCCCCGACGGACGGAGGACAGACAGACTCAGACCCAGCAACAAGACTGGCGGCGTAGTCGAGGCGACAGGCAGCAGCAAAGTCGACAAGCTCAGCGACCAGGGCAGACGCAGCAGAAGACTCAAACGACGGGTCAGTGACAACAGTGGCGAGAAGACGCGTGACAGTAGGGTGGGCAGCACGAACACTGTCAGACGCAGGGTCGGGAACGTCAGGAAGAGAAGACGCAGGAGGAGACGGTAGGGGGACACGCTGTGGACCAGTGGAAGGACGAAGTGCCATAATGTGCGTGCCAGGAACAGGAGGAGGACGCGGACGCGCGACACGACGGCTAGTGGGACCAGTGCGAGCAGTGCGAGCAGCGCGAACCGGCGAGGCAGGACGAGACGCAGGCTCACGACGCTCCGTAAGCGAGTCCGGCTGTGCAGTATAAGGCACAGGAGCAGGGAGGGGGGAGCCAGGCTGAAGGGGAAGGCCAGTGGAAGACGGGAGGGAAAGAACCTGGCGAAGCACCGTGTCAGGCGGCGGCAAAGCCGACGGCGATGGAGGAGCGAAGAACAGGCGCGACGGCGGAGCTCCGCCAGCACCTCCAGCACCCGGAGCACCAGAAGCACCTGGACCAGCACCCTCCGCCGCAGCACCCCCCGAGTCGGCGACGTCAGCACCAGAGGCCCCAGCAGCGTCAGACCTCCCCTCGCCAGCACCTCCAGAACCAGCAGGACCACCGTGTCCAGAACCGTCAGCTCCAGCGTCGTCAGCTCCAGCAGCTCCAGTACCGCCAGGAAGAGCACCCCCAGACGCAGCAACCCCAGGCTCCGTAGGCTCAGTAGCAGCACCCCCAGGCTCAGTACCCTCAGGCGCAGTACCCCCAGGCTCGGCACCCCCAGACTCCGTACACGCAGGCTCAGCACCCCCAGTCGTAGCACCCCCAGGCTCAGCACCCCCAGGCGCCGAACTCCCAGGCACAGTACCCTCAGCTCCAGCACCCGCAGTCCCAGCACTCCCAGGCCCAGCACCCGCAGGCTCAGCACCCCCAGGCTCAGCACTCCCAGCAGCACCACCTGCAGCAGCACCTGAGTCACCTGTGACCTCGACAGGCTCAGCGACGGGAGGAGGGTCTACCTGAGAGACACCTGAAGGAGCAGGACCCTGAGGGGGAAGGGGGTCTACCGGAGGGGGACCAGGAGCAAGGAAAAGCGGCGGGGGAGGGAGGGGGGCAGTGCGGTAGGGGAAGAGACGGTAAAAAGGGACCGACTCGTCAAAGGTGACGTCCTGAGAGGCGAAGACCCGGCGCGAGGTGGGGTGGTAAAACTGCCAGCCCGGCGCGTCAGGGACAAAGCCAAGGAAGACACAGGGAAGCGTGCGGGAGGAGAGCTTGTCCGCGGACGTATCGCGGACAAGGGCACGAGCACCCCACACCCGGAAGCGCGACGCATCGCCAACCTCCCCCGTCCAACGCAGTGTGGGCGAGGTCTCCGGCAAGGAGACACGGGGCCAGAGGTTGAGCTGATGCGCGGCGTACCGGACAGCAAACGGCCACAGAAAATGGGGAGCCGCCGCGTGGACCAAGGAGGTACGAGCGACCTCCATGACCAGGCCAATGCGGCGCTCAGCAACCCCATTCTGCTGTGGGGAGTCCGGAAGCGTGAAGGTCTGCTCGATGCCCTCCGCCTGACAGAAGGTCCTCAAGAGATCGGAGGAGAACTCACCACCTCTGTCAGAGTGCAGACGCAGGACAGGAAGATCCGTCCGGAAACGGCGGCGGAGCTGGAGACGAACTGTGCGGATCCAAGGGATCAGAACAGCAGGGACCTCACCCTTGGTGCGCAAGGGGAAGACCGTGGTGTAACGCGAGTAGTCGTCGACAACCAGCAAAAAGTACCGCTCACCGCCCTGGCCACGAACGCGGGCTGGGCCCCACACGTCCAGGTGGAGGGTCTGCAGAGGAGCCTCTGTCGGGGGGAACGAGGAGGAGTGAGGAGCGGCGCGCTGCCGCCCCTCGACGCAAGGAAGGCAAGGCGGCGCAGGCGAGGCAGGGAGGGGAGGGAGGGACCTGGGAAGACCAGACACAAGGCAGCGACGGTGCATGCCACGGAGGCGTGGCAAGGAGGGGTGACCCAGGCGGTGGTGCCAGAGAAGAGTCTGGTGCGACAGGGAACGACACTCACAGGCGTGGGCCACCAGACCTGACGCGGACACCTGACCGACAGCAGCAACCTGAGGAGACGCAGTGGTCAGTGTGTAGAGACTCGACCCCGGCCGACGGGTAAACGTAGCCAGGTGACGGCCGGTCCTGGAGCACGTGCAGATCGCCACACGCTGTCCTCCAGGGGTAAAGGTGTCAACCCACTGATCCTGGATGACAGCGTTGCTCACCAGGTTCGTCGAGAACGAGGGGAGGTGGAAACCCGACAACGAGCCAGACGGAACCGCCGGACAAGGGAGCACAGTGGTGGACTGGGCAAGGACTGGGCCCCCAGAGGGGTCAGCCAAGGAGACTGGGACCGGTGCAGGAAGCGGTGTGAGCTCAGTACTGTCACGAAAGAAACAGCGGGAAGCACCTGAGTCAAGGGTGAAGGTGTGACAGGCCTCAGCCGGTGCGGTACCTGAGAGAGCAGTCTCTGTGGGTGCTGTACCTGAGAGAGCAGACTCGCAAACAGCCGGGACAGCACTGGAGGGAGCAAGTACAGGGGGCACCATACCGGAGAGAGCAGACTCACTAGTACCCAGGGCAGCGGGCTCTATACCTGGGTCAGGCGGCACACACAAGTAACAGTCTCCCTCGGCACTAACAGTCAATGCATACATGGCAGCAATAATAGCATCATAGTCAAGAGCAAAGATATCAACACCAGCCCTCATGAGCTCAGCCCAGCGGGGGCGCTCAACATCCTCGCCCATCTCCTCACGCCAAGCGTCGTCAAGGCGGGAGAAGCAGCGGTACGGGGTGTGGAACCTCCCACACGTCTGTCCCTTGCGGTCACCTGTGCGAATGACATAGGAACAGCGGCCATTGCCCCCCGACGTCCCACGCTGAGCAAGCGAAGCGGGCAGCGGGGCGGGCGGGCGACGCGGCGAGCGGGCAGCGCGGCGGGCGGGCTGCGAAGCGGGCAGCGGGCGGGCGGGCGACGCTGCAAGCGGGCAGCGGGCGGGCGGGCGACGCTGCAAGCGGGCAGCGAGGCGGGCGGGCGACGCTGCGAGCGGGCAGCGCGGCGGGCGGGCTGCGAAGCGGGCAGCGGGCGGGCGGGCGACGCTGCAAGCGGGCAGCGAGGCGGGCGGGCGACGCTGCGAGCGGGCAGCGCGGCGGGCGGGCGACGCTGCGAAGCGGGCAGCGGGCGGGCGGGCGACGCTGCAAGCGGGCAGCGGGCGGGCGGGCGACGCTGCGAGCGGGCAGCGCGGCGGGCGGGCTGCGAAACGGGCAGCGCGGTAGGCGGGCGACGCTGCGAGCGGGCGGCTCGGCGGGCGGGCGACGCTGCGAGGGGCGCGCGAGGGCGCTAACGAGAGGCGCACGAGGGCGCTAACAAGGGGGCGCGAGGGCGCTAGCGAGGGCGCGCGAGGGCGCTAACGAGAGGCGCGCGAGGGCGCTAACGAGGGCGCGCGAGGGCGCTAACGAGGGCGCGCGAGGGCGCTAACGAGGGCGCACGAGGGCGCTAACGAGGGCGCACGAGGGCGCTACGAGGCTAGGGCACGGGGTAGCGTGGTAACCGCATGCGAGCGGTGGTGGGCCCTTAAAAAAAAAACGGTCGGTAGGTCCTAGGGACCTCCTGCTCTGAATACCATGTTAACAGAACTAGGCAAGAATGAGTTGGATTGAAAGAAACAGTTGGGTACAAGTAGCTAACCCTAGTTGGGTTTGTACCCTGTATTGGCTACCCCACTACAGCCTACCTACATATAAATAACACATTACAACTTAACAAGAATTCCCACCTTGACCTGTGCACGAGACTACTAATGGGCACGGGCGACTGCGGCTTGCATGCATGCGTCATGTACATGCTCATAGGCTGCAGTGAATACATGGCGGCCATACGGCCAAAGTTGATATATGAGGTCGAGGCACCTAAAACATGTGAGTGCATTGTGAGTATGCTCAGAACTCCCGCCTTGACCTGTGCACAAGACTGCTAATGGGCACGGGCGACTGCGGCTTGCATGCATGCGCCATGTAGATGCTCATCGGCTGCATCGAGTACATGGCGGCCGTGCGGCCAAAGGCCGAGGGCGAGACGACAAACGAGTCGCAGGAGGAGAGGAGAAGCCACTCAGTGACTGTCTCTTGGAATTCTTGAACGGTGGGGATGGGAGGGAGAGGGGGGCTTGTTGGGGTGGGCGTGGGGGGGGTGGGGTTGGAAGGAGGGCCGGAGGAGGGAGGGGGTGCGGGTGCGGGCGGGGGAGGGGAAGGGGGAGGCGGAGGAGGGGGGAGGATGAGGAAGGGGGATGGAATCCATGGTGTGAATTCGGTGATGACAACCTGCAATGGAAATGTGGGGGGAGAGAGGGGGTGGGGAGGGGGAGGTGAGAGGAAAATATTTTCCATAAAGAGCCTTGAGGGGGAGGGAGGATGAGGAAGGGGGATGGAATCCATGGGGTGAATTCGGTTATGACAACCTGAAACAAAAGTGCGAGGGGGTGGGGGGAGGGAAGAGTTGAGGAAGGGCTGTTTAGAAGTCAGGAGAAGGTATGGCAAGCTGGGGAGATACTTTTGAGAATTCTCAAAAGTCACTCCAATATAGCTGGGGAGATGTGCATTGGGAGGGCGTCGATGCTGAGGTAGGGAGATGGAATCCACTGTGTGAATTCCGTGATGACAAACCTGCAACGAAAGTGGGGGAAGGGGGGGTTTGGGGAGGGGGGGGGGAGTGGGGAGAGAGTTGAGGAAGGGCTGTTTAGAAGTCAGGAAAAGGCATGACAGGGAGAAGTGCGTTGAGGGGGCGCCGAGGCTGAGGAAGAGGAAGGGAATTCGCGGGGTGAATTTGGTGATGACAAACCTGCAAAGGGAAAAGGGGGGAGAGAGGGAAGAGGAAAAAAGAGGGGGGAAGTACAAGTCCCCTACGCACACATCAGTTTTCTCGAATGGCTTTCGTTCCCTTCATCACAATGACATGCTTTTGAGTCGACTCAAAAGAGGGGGTGGATGGGGAGGGAAGGGAGAGTTTCCTATGCATGCACATAACAGTTTTCTCAAATAGCGTTCATTCCCTTCATCACAATGACATGACCTTAAATGTGAGTATTACTACCTTACCTCCCTTCTACCCACGAAATCTAATCAACACGAGCAGGAGATTTCATAAGTCAAATCACCACAGAATTGATATACTCCCATCACCTCGGACTCGTTATAGTCCCATCACCTTGGACTCGTTATAGCATCATCACCTTGAACGCATTTTAGTCACAATACCTTAGACTCGTTTCCTTTCATGGCCTCTTGTTTGAGTTGCAGCGAGTCGCTAATAACAAGCCACTTCACAGTGAGGGCGTTGGAATACCACCAGTTCTGCAAATTCTGTTGTTTCAGGGGCATGGGGGCACATGAACATGAACAAGGGAGGAAGGTGGATTGCTTGTGCGGGCAAGGGAAGAACATTCACAGTGAGGCCGTTTGATTACCCTCACCTCAGCGCACTGAAATGCAGGCCGCACAGAGTCGTTCATTCCTTTCTGCAACTCCTCTGGGCTGACTGTGGCGTTGGGGCGGGCGGAACAGGGCAAAGGAGTAAGGGTTCTCCTCTTACTTTCCACCCCTGCTCCTCCTCCTCCCATGTGACCACCAACTCACCTCAGCGCACTGGAAGACAGGCTGCACAGAGTCGTTCATTCCCCTTTGCAGCTCCGCCGGACTGACGGTGGAGTTGGGCCGGGCAAGAAGGGGTGCTCCCACCCATGACCCTCACCTGCTCCAAGGGACGACTACGAACCTCAGCGCACTGAAATGCGAGACGCACGGAGTCGTTCATTCCCCTTTGCAGCTCCGCCGGACTGACGGTGGAGTTGGGCCGGGCAAGAAGGGGTGCTCCCACCCATGACCCTCACCTGCTCCAAGGGACGACTACGAACCTCAGCGCACTGAAATGCGAGACGCACGGAGTCGTTCATTCCCGTCTGCAGCTCCGCCGGACTGACGGTGGTGTTGGGCCGGGCAAGAAGGGGTGCTCCCACCCATGACCCTCACCTGCTCCAAAGGACGACTACGAACCTCAGCGCACTGAAATGCGGGCCGCACGGAGTTGTTCATTCCCCTCTGCAGCTCCGCCGGACTGACGGTGGTGTTGGGGCGGGCAAGAAGGGGTGCTCCCACCCATGACCCTCACCTGCTCCAAGGGACGACTACGAACCTCAGCGCACTGAAATGCGGGCCGCACAGAGTCGTTCATTCCCGTCTGCAGCTCCGCCGGACTGACGGTGGTGTTGGGCTGGGCAAGAAGGGGTGCTCCCACCCATGACCCTCACCTGCTCCAAGGGACGACTACGAACCTCAGCGCACTGAAATGCGGGCCGCACAGAGTCGTTCATTCCCGTCTGCAGCTCCGCCGGACTGACGGTGGTGTTGGGCTGGGCAAGAAGGGGTGCTCCCACCCATGACCCTCACCTGCTCCAAGGGACGACTACGAACCTCAGCGCACTGAAATGCGGGCCGCACGGAGTCGTTCATTCCCGTCTGCAGCTCCGCCGGACTGACGGTGGTGTTGGGCCGGGCAAGAAGGGGTGCTCCCACCCATGACCCTCACCTGCTCCAAGGGACGACTACGAACCTCAGCGCACTGAAATGCGGGCCGCACGGAGTTGTTCATTCCTCGCTGCAACTACTCCGGGCTGACTGTGGCGTCGGGGCGGGCGGGGCCTTGATCAAACTGCCTCACGTGCATGCCAATGCTCACCGCCTTGTCGTCCCTCAGCTGAATACCCACCTTGGCTCGACGACGTCCATGCACTGCTTCACCTCCTCCGGGCTGACAGTGGTTTTTTTTTTTGGGGGGGGGGGGGGGGGGGCCCTTGGCCGAAGTGCCTGACGTGCAGGCCAATGCTCACCACCTGAGGTTGGTTTTGAGGCGCACGTGGTGCCACACCTCCGGCTTGGGCCGACAAAACCAACCTCGGTGCCGCATGTGCATGCCGATGCTCACCGCCTTGTCTCCCCTCAGATGCTTCTCAAACGGGGAGGAGGAAGACTACCCAGCCTTCCATGAGAGAGAACTCACCTCCGCACACTGAAACGCCGGCCACACAGAATCGCTCATTCCTTTCTGCAACTCCTCCGGGCTGACGGTGGCGTTGGGGCGGGCGGGGCCTTGACCAAACTGCCGCACGTGCATGCCGATACTCACCACCTTGTCTCCCCTCAGCTGCTTCTCAAACGGTTGCATCCTGTGCCACACCTCCGGCTTGGGCCTGGCGAGAGAGAAAATGGGGAAAAGGAAAAGGATAGGCGAATTTACAAGGAAAGAGGAAACTGGAAAGGATAGAAAAAACTGAAAGGGAAGGAAGGAACTGAAAGGGAGAGAGGAAACTAAAAAGGAAAGTGAAAGGATACATGAAGGGCATAGGGAGGGTGGGAACCAACGAGGCTTATCGTGAACCCTCCAAACACCCAGCCATCTCCTCCCTCCCACCTCTCACCTCCCACCTCCCACCTCCCATTTCTCTTTCTCACCTCAGCAGGTATCGCACGAAGCAGCCGAACGAGTGCGGAATACTGGCGCCCATCTCCCTGAGTCTCTTGTTTTCGCCAACTCCTTCACATCCTTCAGCATATGCACCAGCAGGCCCTTCCTTATTCCACGCCACCCCCACCGTCTCACCTCAGCAGGTATCGCACGAAGCAGCCGAACGAGTACGGAATACTGATGCCCTTATCTGAACCCCCCACACCCACCCATTCACCCCCTTGTATGAATGAACCCCTATCCTCCCACTCACCTCAACAAGTATCGCACGAAGTAGCCGAAGGAGTACGGAATACTGATACCCATCTCCTGGAGTTTTTCTTTCCACGCCGAACCCGTCACATCTTTCAGCATATGCACCAGCAGGCCCTTCCTTATTCCACACCACACGCAGCTTCTTCGCATCTCTCATCCTCTCACCTCCCTCCTCCCACCGTCTCACCTCAGCAGGTATCGCACGAAGCAGCCGAACGAGTACGGGATACTGATACCCATCTCCTGGAGTTTTTCTTTCCATGCCGAACCCTTCACATCCTTCAGCATATGCACCAGCAGGCCCTTCCTTATTCCACACCACACGCAGCTTCTTCGCAGCTCTCATCCTCTCACCTCCCTCCTCCCACCGTCTCACCTCAGCAGGTATCGCACGAAGCAGCCGAACGAGTACGGGATACTGATACCCATCTCCTGGAGTTTTTCTTTCCATGCCGAACCCTTCACATCCTTCAGCATATGCACCAGCAGGCCCTTTCCTATTCCACACCACACGCAGTTTCCTCGCAGCTCTCATCCTCTCACCTCCCACCTCCCACCGTCTCACCTCAGCAGGTATCGCACGAAGCAGCCGAACGAGTACGGGATACTGATGCCCATTTCCTGGAGTTTTTCTTTCCACGCAGAACCCTTCACGTCCTTCAGCATATGCACCAGCAAGTCCTTGTTCCACACCACGCGCAGGTTCCTCGCAGCTTCCACCTGCAGAAACACCTTCTCCGGGTTCGCCCTGTCATCTTTTTCCAGATTTATCTCCACAATGTCGCTCTCTCCTATTGGAGGATCGACCGCCTGGTCAGGAGGGTCCAACGGAAAAGTTTCGTTTCTGACCGGCTCGAATCCGACGTCCTCTGTGGGCTGCCAGTCGATCAGCGCTGGTTCAAACGCCATGGGGATGCACGGGTGCTTTATAACGAAGGCTCTGTTAGTGAGGATGGCTACAGTGAATGCTGACGTCAGCCCCATGAGGGTCTCCCCAAGGCTGTCGCAGTGGCTGAGGCCGTCAAAGGTGAGAAATTTCACGGGCGGTGTGTCGGGCGGCGGGGCAGAGGAGGGATTTTTGCTGGCTGCCCGGATTTGCTGGTGCATGCGAGTGTAGTTGTGGTGCCACGTCCCACAGAGGTGGTCGGGGAACCCGAAGTTGACGAGAGTGGGGACGTCCGGGAAGGCGTCAATGATGGCTCGAGACTGAAGGGGGGAAGGCGTGGGGTAGGGTGGGTGGGCGCGGGGGTAGGGTGTGGGGGGGGGGGGCAAGGGGAAAGAGAAAGGATGATGGGGGTGTGGGTGAGCATGGAAGAAAGGAGGTGACTTTTGAGTCGACTCAAAAGTCACCTTATGGGGGGTTCGGGTGAGCATGGAAGACATGAAGATCCTCCTGGTGCGTGCGAGTGTAGTTGTGGTGCCATGTGCCACACAGATGGTCTGGGAACCCGAAGTTGACAAGAGTGGGGACGTCCGGGAAAGCATCGATGATGGCTCGAGACTGAAGTGTGGGGTGAGCATCGATGATGGCTCGAGACTGAAGTGGGGGGTGAGCATCGATGATGGCTCGAGACTGAAGTGGGGGGTGAGCATCGATGATGGCTCGAGACTGAAGTGGGGGGTGAGCATCGATGATGGCTCGAGACTGAAGTGGGGGGTGAGCATCGATGATGGCTCGAGACTGAAGTGGGGGGTGAGCATGGATGATGCCTCGAGACTGAAGTGGGGGGTGAGCATCGATGATGGCTCGAGACTGAAGTGGGGGGTGAGCATCGATGATGGCTCGAGACTGAAGTGGGGGGTGAGCATCGATGATGGCTCGAGACTGAAGTGGGGGGTGAGCATCGAAGATGGCTCGAGACTGAAGTGGGGGGTGAGCATCGATGATGGCTCGAGACTGAAGTGGGGGGTGAGCATCGATGCTGGCTCGAGACTGAAGTGGGGGGTGAGCATCGATGATGGCTCGAAACTGAAGTGGGGGGTGAGCATCGATGATGGCTCGAAACTGAAGTGGGGGGTGAGCATCGATGATGGCTCGAGACTGAAGTGGGGGGTGAGCATCGATGATGGCTCGAGACTGAAGTGGGGGGTGAGCATCGATGATGGCTCGAGACTGAAGTGGGGGGTGAGCATCGATGATGGCTCGAGACTGAAGTGGGGGGTGAGCATGGATGATGGCTCGCACGTTCCAGTCAGGCGCCTGCGAGGTGCCTGCCAGTGTCGCATCATGCTGCAACTTAATGCATCGTAGTGCAACATAATGCAACATAATGCGTCATAATGCATCATCATTCATCATATACATCATACTGCATCATAATGCATCATAATGAATCATAATGCATCATAATGGATCATAATGCACCATACTGCATCATGCTGCATCGTGCTGCATTCACATCATTACACCATTTCGCAATCATGCTGCACACACAATACCGCATTAAGCTTGCACTCACATCATGACGTCACGCTGCAATCACTAACATACATGTGATTATGCACTCACATGACCATAACGTATGATGCTTCACTCACAAAACCGCATTCTGCTGCACTCACATCATCGCACCATGATCACAAAACCATACAGATGATGCCATACGCTCACAATACTGCAGCAACACATAATAATGCACTCACATTATCACACCATGCCGCACTCACATCATCCCATCATTTTGCATTCACATCAACAAATCATCAGACCAAGCTGCACTCGCGTCATCGCATTATGCCATCCATTCACTCACAAGCATGTCGCGGTTGTGACTGCGCTCGTCTGCGGCCGCATTTCCGGCCTGATGTGACAATAGCGGGAGAGGAATGACGACGAGGAGAGTAGGAGGACTCGGATCTCGAGAAAAGAACAAAGAAGAAGAAGAAATATCTCTCTTAATCAACTTCTACAACATGATATTTATATATGCTGAGCATCATCCAAGGATCCGAAGAAACTCACGTGCCGAAAAGCAACGCAGGCCAGCATCAGAATCTGCACAACTGAGAAAAACCGTTGACTGAGCATGGTGTTGTTCGTTTCAAAAGTGACGAAACACTGCTTAGTCCTGACACAAATGTAGACACCGCCTACATAGCACGTTAGTTCCTAAGAATGAGGGAACTGCTACTATTAAAACTTATTAGGAGAGGCGGCAAAGAACTTCCTGCTAGCAGTATTTGAGGAGATTCTCCAAGAATGAACGATTTACCAGCTGAGAATCCCCGCTGTTTCCATTCCATTCCCCATGTAAAGCTCCGTTCCACCTCACAACAGCGTTTTTGGTTCGGTACAAAGCGTTGAAGCACGACTGAGAGCATTTTGAAATGATGCGTTCCGTATATCCGTTTCAGTACGATGAGTTGCTACCCCATTCAATAAGTCTGTTGATCCCTGCACACAGCTTGACTTCGCATAACGTGATGTGGACTAGCACTAAACTGCCGGCCGAAATAATGGTTTCCTAAGGTTAAGCACGGTACAATATGTTCCAGAACGTTCTCACGCGTTCAGCAACGGTTTGATTGCACCACATATCGGTAACTTCAAGTGCCGTCCTATCCCACAACTGACCATTGATTCGAAGTCAAGGTTGACTTCAAGGTGAATCTGTTATTCCCGATATTTTCCTCCTCGAATATATGAAATTAGTAGCTGAGGATAGAGCAGCTACGGTACTTCGTTATGCAGTAGAACCTGTCTGAAATTCCGCCACGCAGTGAGTACATTTCCATCCTCCCTCACAACTCTGATCTTGCTGATTTGGGTATGGTAACAGCGTGTTACGGTCAAATTTCAAATATCCACAGATTGTCTTTGCACGCTTCTTATCAGCACCCATCCCACACACAACTTCCATTTGAAGCTGTTCATTTAAAAGGAAGAGCTAACAACTCATCCATGGCAATGAATACACCCAGGTCATTTTCACTGAGTAGGCCTACAGCAGACAACCTATGCAGCCATCGCCTCCCCGCCCTCCTTCACACCCTCATCAACCTTCCTTCATTGCATCAGTAGCATCACCACCTGCAGCCACACCATCAGCGGGAGCAGCAGGAGCAGCCTCCTCTGCCTGCTTCACACCCTCCTTCTCCTCGAGTTTATGCAGGCGAGCGAACAGGTTGCCATAGATCTTCTTCTCCTTCTGGTTCTGCTCTGCAATCTTGCGCTTCAGCTGCCGGTACTCCAGCTTCAGGTCCCTGGCAGGGATTTGAAGGGGAATAGAAGCAAGGGAAGACGGCCGGAAAATTGTGAGCTGACTGGACCAGCAACATGGGTTTCGCTTCAACTGACGGCACTCCAGGTTCAGGTGGATGGGAATTCACCTCAATCCACTGAAGATGGGGTTGGGGTCAATGCGAGTTGGACTGAAATCAGCTGTGATAGATAACTATCCCTGCTTGCCAGTCCACGCTCACCTGTGATCAGGGTGGAGGTCAAGAGCCTTCTTCACATCCCACTCCGCCAGGTCATAGCCCTCCGTGCCCATATATGCCTGTGCTCCTCCCTCCCATGTTAAACCAACCTCACACCCGCGCTCACCCACGTGCTCACCTATTCTCAGGGTCAAGATCAAGAGCCTTCTTCACATCCCACTCCGCCAGGTCATAGCCCTCCGTGCCCATATATGCCTGTGCTCCTCCCTCCCATGTTAAACCAACCTCACACCCGCGCTCACCCACGTGCTCACCTATTCTCAGGGTCAAGATCAAGAGCCTTCTTCACATCCCACTCCGCCAGGTCATAGCCCTCCGTGCCCATATATGCCTGTGCTCCTCCCTCCCATGTTAAACCAACCTCACACCCGCGCTCACCCACGTGCTCACCTATTCTCAGGGTCAAGATCAAGAGCCTTCTTCACATCCCACTCCGCCAGGTCATAGCCCTCCGTGCCCATATATGCCTGTGCTCCTCCCTCCCATGTTAAACCAACCTCACACCCGCGCTCACCCACGTGCTCACCTGTTCTCAGGGTCGAGGTCAAGGGCCTTCTTCACGTCCCACTCTGCCAAATCATAATCCTCCGTGCCCATATACGCCTGGGCGCGCCGATACAGCGCCTTCACGTTCGTCCCCTCCAGCTCCAGCACCTTACTCGTCAGCTTCACTGCCGCCGGGAAATCCTTCAGTTTCAGCTGGCATGCAGCCTCGTTCAAACCGCACGAGACTTTCAGAACCTTGCACGCCTTCTTCTCCTCATCCTTAAACTGTGTGTCGTACTCGATCAGCTTCAGCGCCTTCGAGTATTTTTTCGCTGCCCGGACGTATTTTCCGGACTTGAACAGCACGTTACCCTCCTCCTTTTTCTTCGCTGCATGTGCGACCTTCTCCTCATCCCCAAGCTCCCAGGATTCCTTATCCTTGACAAAATCAACCAGCCGAAGCTCGTAAACCAAAGTAGAGTTAGCCGGGACAGAGCCTTTTTCCAGGGTCTTTTCCTCGTAGCCGTAGGCGTATTCTGGGGCGATGGTGACAGTGGCAAGCTCTCCCTTCTTCATCTTCATCACAGCCTTATCCAGCCCAGGCACGACTTGCTCTGAAGGGATGCAGAATAAGAGGACAAATATGATGGAACAACGTTTTCAGTTCGAGTGACAATGAGCCCTTTTTCCAGGATTGCAAGCTCTTCCTTCTTCATCTTCATCACAGCCTTGTCCAGCCCAGGCACGACTTGCTCTGAAGGGAAGCAGACAGGGATGGGAGGGATTGCACACAACCGTGGGGTTCAGTCGAGGCGCCTTTCTCCGAGATAACGTGTTTAGGTTCTGGAGGTTCCCATATCAATGTTTTGTTCCTCAGTGATACTGGTCCTTGAAAATCATTCCTTGATTCCAACCGTCGCCATTGAGACTCACTCACCTTCATCTGTGGTGAACTCGAACGGGTCCTCCCCATCGCCCATGCCCTTCTCCTCCACCACTGTTCCGTTCTCGAGCCGCAAAGTGTAGCGCACTGGAGACAGACCGACAGAGGGGAACACACACAAGCAGAACAACAGAAGAAAATGAGCATGAGGCGCGGGCAGACCTATACATGCGCCCTGAATGCAGACAAGCTCATACACATACACTGCAGAACATGTTTAGACCAGCTCATGCGCCCTGGCTTTAAGACCTCTTAGGAACCACGAACTGTATCCTCCTCGTTGACACCTGACACGTCTTATAACACTCTCACCCAGCCCAACCCAACCCATCTCATCCCAGACCAGTTTCAAACTACTGCAGCGCTTACCTTTCACCCCAGACTCGCTACTCGCCAACTTCGCACAGTGGCATCCCAGCAACACAAACACGACCAAAGCACGACCCTTTGACCACCGACCCGTCGTTTCGTCACTCGTACCCCTCCCATACCCGCGCATTCCCGTCCCCTTTTGAGACGTCTCAAAAGTCATACCAGCGCATTCCCGCCACCAGCTCCAGGTCAATGCTCAGCCGAACCCAACTCTACCCAACCCAGCCCAACACAGATCAACCGATCCCAGCCGAACCTAGACCAACCCAGAAACTCAAACCACTACCAGGGCGCGTACCGTTCACAACAGACTCGTCGTTGGGTCGCTCGTATCCCTCCCCAGCTTCGATCTCCTCCTTCAGGACCTTGCCGTCCTCTGTAACCTTCTCCACCTTCCTCCACCCCATCAGCTCCAGGTCGACGCTCAGCCAAACCCAACCCAACCCAGCCCAGCCCAGACCAACCTAACCCAGCCAAACCCAGCCGAACCCAGCCGAACCCAGCCGAACCCAGACTAACCAAGCAACACAAACCACTACCAGGGCACGCACCTTTCACAACAGACTCGTCGTTGGGTCGCTCGTACCCCTCCCCAGCCTCGATCTCTTCCTTCATGACCTTGCCGTCCTCTGTAACCTTCTCCACCTTTCTCCACCTCACCAGCTCCAGGTCGATGCTCAGCGTCTCGTTCGGCGGGATTGCCGGCTGGCCGTCAGTCTCTGGACGGCCGGCTTCTCCAAAACCGTCTGTTGGCGTACAGAGAAGAGCAGGCAAAACACGTGCCAGAAAACTGTCAGGGAAGGATACGGAGAACAATAGGGGTGAGAGCAGCAAGCAACATGCGGACAGAGAGCAGTGACAGTCGCGCTCACACTACGGCTTTACAGTGAGAAGAGCCTTCTCTCCCTGGTGCATCGTTTTGACGTCAGCAAAATGACTCGTAACGGCTCTAATAGGCCACTCACTCTGGGGTCTTCACAGTGAGCAAAGTCTTCACAGTGAGCAAAGTCTTCTCTCCCTTGCGCACCCTCTCCAAAGCTAGACAAGCGGCCCAGAAGCAGCAAACGAAGCAGATAAAAAAGAGCACTCACACTGGGGTTTCACGGTGAGCAGAACCTTCTCTCCCTGGTGCATCGTCTTGATTGCGCGCGGGAGAGCCGCACACAAGTGGCCGTCCTTGAGGTAGAACTGCTCGCCGTCGTCGCCCGTCTTGGTTACCACCGTGCCGTCGTGTAACCGCACCTCGTACTTCACTGCACGCACGAGGGAAGGGAAAGAGCGAATTGGGGCAGAGAGACAATGAGGAAGAGTGAGCCGCGCGCAGAAGTGGCCGTTCTTGAGGTAGAACTGCTCGCCGTCGTCGCCCGTCTTGGTTACCACCGTGCCGTCGTGTAACCGCACCTCGTACTTCACTGCACGCACGAGGAAAGAAGCGGGTTGGAACAAGAAGACACATAGTAAGTGAAGTAATTTCCAAATCCGCCTTGCAACCGCAACTCGCATTTCACTGCACCCAATAAACAAAAAAACAGCTCATTCAGAAACGAGAGTATAAGGCCAAACGGCAGGAAACAAACAAGGCGCAGATTCGGCCATAATTGTGACCTTTCGCGTGGAGAGGCATACCTGTGACTTTGTCCATGTCTTTGGGCGTCTCCCACTTCTTGCCCTCGACGAGAATCTTCTTGAACACGCCGCCATCGCCGCAGATGTCCTTCACGCTGATCCACGACAGCAGCTCTACCTCAAACTTGAGCGTCGCGTTCGGCGGAATGGTCGGCGGGGAACCCGCCTCGCCATAAGCGTACTCGGGTTTGATTGTAAACACGGCCTTCTCGCCTTTCTTCATGGATGCGATACCCTTGTCCCATCCCTTGATGACTTGGCCTGCACGCGACAGTAACGAGAAAAGCGGAGAATGGGATGTGAGCCATCGCACACACCGTGGTCAGGAGAAGCCGTAGAAGCAAGTACGAAAACGGCCACATGAAAGTGCAATCTCCGGAAAACAGGAACGAAACAGAACTAAACTGGACTTGGGCATTACTCTGGACATGGCTTACCTTGTCCCAACTTGAAGTTGAACGGCTCTCCTCTGTCAACGCTGGAATCAAACTTGGTTCCGTCCAAAAGGGTCCCGGTGTAGTGCACTGAAAGAGGGACGAGATATGACGAAAAAAAAGTAAGACTCGTCTTGACAACGAAGGCAGAACACGATAGATGAACAAGGTTAAGCCATTTCTTGGAAACTGATTGTGAAGGCTGGCCGGACAACAAAAAAAAAGACTTTCGATATATCTCAATTCAGACTAAACGACAGAAAAAAACCCCATGGAATCCCAGATAAAGGCAGATCGAATCTCCAATCCTCACCTGACACCTCATCTCCAGCCTCGGGCTTGTCCCAGCCGTCGCCTGCCTTCACAATCAGCTTCTTCACTCCGCCATCGCTGGTCAGATCCTTCTCCTCTCCCTCCGCCTGCGGAGCGTATGTAGCTTCGTCCTCCTCATCCCCCCCCATCGGGATGTCCGTAGGCATGTCGCCGCTGGCGTTGAAGTCCATGTCCTCCTCCATTGTAATTACAACAGCACCTTAAGCAGGAAGCTTAATAAGGTCAGATGGTTAGCTGTTAACAGCCGATGGCAGATCCTAGTGGCAAGTCTGGGGAAGTTAGGGAGAAGGGCTCGTGCTTTGATCGAATCAGTAAAATAAGATTCAACTTAGTATTTATTTCTGATTGCCTGGTGGAGCAATTTGTGAATGGAAGGCGAAGTGTGGGATCAGAAAGTTGGCTGGAGAACAAAAAGATCTTTCTCGAGATTGCCGAGTCAGCGATCTTTCTGGGCCTTCGCCAACGACGTGGCGACTCTGGCGAGGCCACTTGGAAATTCTAGAAGCGACGCGACGCATTCGAGAACGAATTCCCGCATGCTGATTCGCAGTGGACGTGCGGAATCTTTCTCGCAGCTCGTTGTTGACGAAGTGTCAGGAAACTTCAGCGATTCATGTGTAAGGTGTACCTAAACTCTAATGCTAGATTTTTTTTGCTGCTAATTGTTGTGTTATTGTTGATTGATAATTCTCTGAAAATTGCAGTAATTTGACATGTTAAAACCAAATTCGAAACAAAAATGGCTGCTATATATAAAAATGTCATCGTTAAGGAGGAATGTATTCTACAACCTATTCTTCAACCAAAGCGATGTACATTTGTACTATACATAACGTCTATTTGATACAGTCACATTCTTCCCAGATGGCTGGAGGTGTGGGGATTTGCACGATTCACGAACATGAATTTCCCTCGTTTGACTGTGTTGCACAGTCACCTACACCCGAACCCACCAATGAGAGATCATGTTCGACGTCTACGAGGCACGAGATTTTGGCGGGTAAATATTTTTTTTACGATAGTAACCACGTGTCACAATCGCTGAACTCGTGACAGTGTAGCGCTCAGCAAACCGTACGATAAGGATTTCGCGATGGTTTGGAGGGATTGCGGCAAGTTCTGTCCAGGCCACTCCTCCCAAGCTTCGCCGCCAGAATTTTTTCTGACCATCCCTCCCCCATCAAGGGGGAAGTGAGCTTCCGATTGGGAAAAGGCTCCGCTCAAATCGCAGATGCGCCGACAACTTTCCCGTGAAGCGTCCAGCAACCGCGAAATGGCGTGTCCGCCAGTACGCATCGGCGGAGAGTATGAAAGCGGCTGGGTGAGCTTCACAAACTCGCGGAACCAATGAAAACAGCTTTGTTGCTCCGACCCTTTGTCCCCCTTTTCCCCCCATGCCCTGATCCCCCACCTCAATCCCCACCTCGTGATCTGCCCTAGCGCTCAGCCCTCGTGGGAACCTTCTGGTCCGTAGTGTTTGTGGCTCGGATTGGGACAAGGAGGAAAAGAAATGAGGTGAGGAGGTGGCTCAAAGCGGCCACAGAGAAACCCCAAAGCTGTTTGAAGGAAATAAAAAGAAGCAACAGCACAAGTGTTTTTGACTGGTGTTTTTGTTCTTGCTGGTGTTTGATTCTCGTTCTGCAGTTCTTGGTTAGCTTCAGAGCAGAGGCGGAGCTGCTGTTTCTAATTAGAGCTGGACGAGGATATTTCTTCCCGAGTCCCCGTTTTTCACTACCCATAGGCTGTGTATATACTAGAACCACCCGCCATTATGTTGGTCGAAAGCTTCAAGGTTGCGAGCCCAGATGTTGTTTACGGCGATGAGTACATCACCTCGAAATACACGTACCAGACTACGGACCTAGAGTGTGCTGTCAGGGATGGGAACTTCGACTGGACGGTTAAGCCAGTCAGCAAGCAATATGAATTCAGGACGCAGACTAAAGTCCCGAAGTTAGGGTAAGCCCTGTTTCTGTCGCAACTACATCAGTTTTCACTTCGACACATTTTGTAAATGCGGCTTACATAACTTTTTCCTCTTGCAGTGTTATGCTTGTAGGCTGGGGAGGCAATAACGGTTCCACCTTGACAGCTGGAGTTATCGCCAATAGAGAGTAAGAGACACGGCCTACGCTTATCAACCATCCCCATTTGTGGCCTTTTCCCGGTCTTCGACAATCCATTTCTTAACCTCTTCTCGTTTCAAGCAAACCATGTCTGAACAGAAGTCCGTATGCCTGGCCTTGTTCTTCGCAGAGGAATCTCCTGGCTGACTAAGGATGGCATTCAAGTTGCCAACTACTTCGGCTCAGTCACCCAGGCGTCAACCTGCCGTGTCGGTTCGTACAAGGGCGAGGAGATCTACGTTCCCTTTAAGAGCCTCCTCCCAATGGTGTGTGCTGATGCTATTTCTCTCTCACATTCCAGTCCCGACCACGAGGAAGAAAAGCGTAGTCCGGATTCCAATAAAGTTTAGTGGTCTGGCAACTTCTAGGTTTTTTAGTTGGCTCAGACACTGTCATGTCCTGTTCTTCACCCTCCAGGTTGATCCGAATGATGTTGTTTTCGGCGGCTGGGACATTTCGAGCATGAACCTGGCTGACGCCATGGCCAGGGCGAAGGTTCTGGACATAGATCTGCAGAAGCAACTCTACAGCCACATGAAGGACATGACACCCCTGCCTGGGATCTACGACCCAGATTTCATTGCCTCGAACCAGGAGGCTCGCGCTAACAATGTCATCAAGGGTACGAAGAAGGAGCAGATGCAGCAGATCATTCAGGATATCAGGTTAGTGCGGAAATCAACTGGCTGTCTACAGACTGCTCACTTTGTCGCTTCATCACTTCTTCATTCTTTCAGTTCTCTTCACCACTTAGTATACTCGTCTAGAGCTGACACCAGTTCCCGTCGTCCTCGCCTGATCCGCTCCTCATCTTCCCCCCTCTCGTACGCGACACTTTGCTCGCGTACCCCGCGCGTCGTCTCCCGTCCCTGACTGCGACACTGCATGCCACCTTCCTTGCCTGATTTTGTCTCTGCGTTCCGACTCGACCTTGCTGCAGGAAATTCAAGGAGACGAGCGGCGTGGACTCCGTCGTCGTTCTCTGGACGGCCAACACGGAGCGCTACAGCGACGTGCTCACAGGCCTCAATGACACAAAAGAGAACCTCTTTAACGCGATCGAGCGCAATGAGCGCGAGATTTCCCCGTCTACGCTATACGCTGCGGCGTGCATCCACGAGAAGGTTCCGTTCATCAACGGCAGCCCGCAGAACACGTTCGTTCCGGGGCTGATCGAGTACGCGCTGGAGAACAACAGCCTGATTGGCGGAGACGATTTCAAATCCGGGCAGACGAAGATGAAGTCCGTTCTCGTGGACTTCCTCGTCAGCGCGGGAATTAAGGTGAGAATGGCTTAGACATTCGTAAATGAGAGTCAAGCTGAGCCCAGCTAGGGTCTTTTCCATAAGAACTCTAGCCGAACCCGGGGTAAGGGCCTAGTAGTACTGATCAAAACAGTCTGGTTAGTGAATCAGCAACTCGATATGACGGAATAGCAAAAAGGTGCAAATGACCAACGCTGGAGGCCGCTTCAGAGTTACTAGGGTGATTGTTGTTATTCAGCTACAGCTGAACGGCGGAGTGGAAACGCGGGAGGCAAAAAGCTGTAGAGAGTTTTGTAGCACTCGTGTATAACGAGATAACAGGGCAATCCACTCGATGCGTTTAAGCATTGACGCAGTGTGTGGGGTATTGTGCATTGCATGGCACCCCGATGTAGTGTTTGATCCAATAGCAATGGCATGAACCTGTTACGTCTGGCTTTGTCGCTGGCACCCTCTTCTTTCACCTCCCCAACGCCATTCCCTCCCTTTCCTGAAGCATTTGTCCTTCTGAGCTGCAACCACCTGGGCAAAAGCAAGTTCCTGTTCTCTCTTCATCCAGACATATCCCTCTTCCCGCTCCCCTTATTCCCGCCAGTCCATGTCGATTGTGAGCCACAACCATCTGGGCAACAACGATGGCGCGAACCTGTTTGATCTGGCATTTAAGTGTCCCACTTGCACCCTCCACGTACCACCCCCTCTCCGCATCACCCCGTCTCTTCCCTTCACCCCGCCAGCCCATGTCGATAGCGAGCTACAACCACCTGGGCAACAACGACGGCATGAACCTGTCTCCCCTTGCTTTGTCGAATCGTGCCAGTTACATTCCCTATGCGTCAACCCTCCCCTCTTCTCTCCTGCCAGCCCATGTCGATAGTGAGCTACAACCACCTGGGCAACAACGATGGCATGAACCTGTCGGCGCCGCAGACGTTCCGGTCCAAGGAGATCTCCAAGAGCAACGTTGTGGACGACATGGTGGCCTCTAATTCCATCATCTACGATAAGGGCCAGCACCCCGACCACGTCGTGGTCATCAAGGTATGCTCTTTCCCCCACCCATCTCGCCCTCTCTCTCCTCCCTTCCCCCCCCCCCCCCCCCCCCCCTCCCCCACTTCCCGCCCCTCTCAGTCTGCCCAAAGCAGTAAACACAACCATCATTTTGCACTAACATAAGTTCGCCCAGGCTGAAAATATCCTCCTTTTCATCCCCAATGCCCCCGTTTTCCATCACTCTATCTCCCTTACATTATCCCTCCCGCGGTGTGTCTTTAGCTTATCGATGCAATCCAACGTCTTCGCAAAAGGCAACGTCTTGTATAAATACACTGTCTTCCTTACACTCTCCCTCCCCATCTCCCTTCCCATCACCCTTCCAATCGCCCTTCCCATCTCCCTTCCAATCTCACTTCCAATCTCCTTTCCCATCTCCCTTCCAATCTCACGCCAATCTCACTCACCGTCTTCCTTCCAATTCTTCCCCACCTCCCCCTGCAGTACGTGCCGTACGTGGGCGACAGCAAGCGGGCCATGGACGAGTACACATCAGAGATCTTCATGGGCGGCAGGAACACCATCGTGATGCACAACACGTGTGAGGACTCGCTGCTCGCTGCCCCGCTCATCCTCGACCTCGTGCTGCTGGCCGAGCTCTTCACTCGCATCCAGCTGCGTCGGGAGGAGGAGGAGGAGTTCCACTCGTTCCATCCCGTTGCATCGCTCCTCAGCTACCTCTCCAAGGCGCCCCTGGTATGCGTCTCTTTCGTAACTCCAGGCGTACTGGAAAAAGGGGGTGACGCTTGTCCATGCAGTGTCTTCTTTCCTCTTTTGCTTTTCTAGCCCCTCGATTTTATTCTTGTGCAAGCTGCCATCCCAACGCCATTGTTGAATTGTCAACCGTGCCTGGTCCCAGCATGTTTCCATATTTTATATCTTCCATAGACTAGCCTGGTACTTGACCTCAATAGACTAGCTCTGCCAGCAATTCCAGCCAGTGGGAAGTCGCTGAGGCCTGATGGCTTTCTTGGTGTGTTGCGCCTGGCTCTGACATTATGATAGTCTGTTGCGTGCAGGTCCCCTCTGGCACACCTGTCGTCAATGCATTGGCCAAGCAACGAGGGATGCTTGAGAATGTTCTCCGCGCGTGTGTAGGCCTTGCACCAGAGAACAACATGCTTCTAGAATACAAGTAGGACAGGGGTGAAGTAATATGTACCTAGGTTCATGCCCTACAGGGCAAACTCCTGGTTTGGAAATTCTTAAACTCTCCTTGTAATGCAAATAACGCATGTCTATGTTTCATTTCGATCAATTCCCACAAAATTATATAGACCAATCCGCAAGTTTTCCAACTCAATGAGTCTTGTGTTGGTAACATTGTGCAGTGCCAAACAAAATACAACTGAACTGATGAGACTACAGAGTCTCGTCCATACCGTGTACAAGGTTGCTTGTGCTGGAAGCGTTTGCCGTTCGGCATTCCCTGAATCGCAGCCCACGTCAGCAATCTCCGTGGTTGTTGGCATGGCAGCGAAGAATCCAGCAAGCTTCACCTTTCTAGAAGCTGCTGTGCTTCGCCGCCATGCCAGGGATATTTGACATCCTTGTAACCAGAATTCGTGACCCCAATGACAGATGTCTTCGTTAACCACAAAATGCCTGTTACTGTCCGTCGTGAACTCGCTAGCCCTTGTGCTGTCGTCCACTCCCCAACAGCACAGAATGCTGCAAGGGAAGCTCCAATTGTTTCCCTTGCATTCGCTCCGTCTCTTGCTAGACACTTTCTCTCTTGGCTTGGTGAGGCCTTTTCGCGAGTCGCACGTTGCTGGTATCCAAGCTCCTTCGTTCTCGCTTGGTCGTTAGATCATCCCATCCCGTCCGATCTACCGTTTTCCACCTTCACCGCTCGATCCGATCCGTTCTTCCAGCCACGAATCTCGCCATCATCCCAGCGTCGACTCGTTACAAGTCGAACCTTCTTATATCGGATCCGCGAGACCGACCATGGCGGCGTACTTAGCGGCGAGGCTGTTGGCCCGATCGGCCAATAGAAACGCCGGCAGCGCGATTGCGAGCTTCTCCACGTCAGCAGCGGCTCAGAGCTTCATGCAGAGGGCTCTGCCTGAGTCAGCAGTAAGTGCCAGATCAGATCTCTACGGATCCACGTCAGATCCATTAGGCTGGGATCCCTGATATCACCACGTTAGGTTGACGTCAGATCCTTCCACTACCCTCGCCAGATTCGTGAAAAGAATATAGTAGGCTTACTAGCTTCACCAGGTTAAATACTCGAAGCGACGATATACCAGCCAACCAATCTTAGTTTAGGCAGATGTGTAAAGGGAGTGCAGCAAAGAATTCCGTTGAAAGTTTCTGTCTCTCCTAACTTTGTCGTTATCCAAGTCGCTTCGTGCAGGGGTGTTTTCCAGCTAATTCCACACTAGAAGTTCTCGTTCTATTTTTGCTTGAAGCGCGTTTTGAGACGTCTCAAAAAACAGGACTCGTTCTATTCTTGCTTGAAGCGCTTCCGTGCCTGTCCATTTTCCTACCTGACCATTTTCCCAGCTGATCTGTTTCCGTTCTCTTTTCGGCCTTCTCTGTGTTGCAGGAGGTAGCTGCAGCGTCACCAGCGGCATCCGTCGCATCGTCCATCATGCGCCGATGGACCAACGGCGCACGAGCCTTCAGGTACTTTCCATTCTTGGATCTGAGCTTCGGGAGCACGTCGTCCTGTCCCGCTTGGGACGCATTCCGCGCTTCCCCTTCGTTTCCTTGTCTCTGCGGACTTTCTTGCTCTTGCGTCTTCTGCATGTTTACGTGATTAGGTTGCACTTTACAAGTCCGTGATAGTAGGCGATGCGATCGGCATTCGTCACGGCGCCATTAATTCGTCGTGCCCTTTCCCTCACTTCCGCTCCTTCTTCCCATCTGTGCGATTCGCCCGTCCTTTTTTATTTGTTTGTTTGTTTGTTATGTTTTTTTTTCTTTTTTTTCCCGTGCAGCTCCGCAGCGGGCGGCGATGTTATCGGTATCGATCTCGGAACAACCAACTCCTGCGTCGCTGTCATGGAGGGCAAGGTGAGCTCTGAATTTTAAGTCTAGAAATTTGGGTGGTGTGGACTTGGATGGGATCCCGTTATGGCGTCACTCGATAACACCATCTCTATTGTCGCTGTCTTTGGAGCTAAATTCGGCGTGGAGGCAACGTGTTAGTGTTCACGGCCAAAGCGAGCAAACCCCACAAATATCACAGATATTTGTGATTCCGCAGGGTTTGATTATCTCTCCCCTCTCCCTGCAGCTGTCCCCACCCTTTCCCCACCTCCCCTCCCCCCTCTCTCTTTTCCGCACGCGCCCTTCCCGCTACCCCTGCCCCCTGTCCACCCATCCACCTCGTGTGATTGAGAACGCGGAGGGCGCGCGCACGACGCCGTCCGTCGTGGCGTTTCCCCCCAAGGGTGAGCGGCTGGTGGGCACTCCGGCCAAGCGCCAGGCCGTGACCAACCCGTCCGTGCACCCTCTGGTCATCCCGAACACCCCCCCCACCCCCCTCCCCCTCACCAGGCCCCTCGTGTGATTGAGAACGCGAAAGGCGCGCGCACTACGCCGTCCGTTGTTGCATTCACTCCCAAGGGCGCGCGGCTTGTGGGCACTCCGGCCGCGACATTTACGCCCCTCTACCCCTACCCCCCTAAAACCCCTACCCCCTCTACCCCCATCCAGACCCCCCGGGTTATCGAGAACGCGGAGGGCGCGCGCACGACGCCGTCCGTGGTCGCGTTTACCCCCAAGGGCGAGCGTCTGGTGGGCACTCCGGCCAAGCGACAGGCCGTGACATTCACACACTTCTACCCCTTCCCCCTTCACCCCTACCCCCTCTCCCCCCATCCAGACCCCCCGTGTGATAGAGAACGCGGAGGGCGCGCGCACGACGCCGTCCGTCGTTGCGTTCACACCCAAGGGCGAGCGTCTGGTGGGCACTCCGGCCAAGCGGCAGGCTGTGACCAACCCCACCAACACGCTGTTTGGCACCAAGCGGCTGATCGGGCGGCAGTTTGACGACCCGCAGACGCAGAAGGAGGCAAAGATGGTGCCGTATAGCATCGTGCGCGCGCCGAACGGGGACGCGTGGGTGGAGGCGGGCGGACAGAAATATTCGCCCAGTCAGGTGAGTTTAAACGGCAGTTGAAACTTCAGATGAAACGGCAGATGAAACGAGATAAAAGCTGCAGTTTGACGACCCTCGGACGCAGAAGGAGGCGAAGATGGTTCCTTATAGCATCGTGCGCGCGCCTAATGGGGGCGCGTGGGTGGAGGCGGGCGGACAGAAGTACTCGCCCAGCCAGGTGGGCTGAAACGGCAGATGAAACTGCAGATGAAACGGCAGAGAAACGGCAGAGTATACTGCAGGTGTAAGGGCGGATGAAACAGCAGATATAATATGTTTACATAACAGTAGTTGCAAAAGGAGATGAAACGTAACATCTTCAGGATTATTGACGCGCCGACAGCTGCCCTTATCCTAGCCCACACCTCCCTCATCGTCCCTCCCATCACCTTTGCGTACCCATCACCCCTGCTTGCTCTCCCCTTTCCCAGGTCGGTGCGTTTGTCCTGGGCAAGATGAAAGAGACAGCCGAGCCTACCTGGGTCGCCTGGTCTCCAAGGCAGTGATCACCGTACCAGCTTACTTCAACGACGCTCAGCGCCAGGCGACCAAGGACGCGGGCAAGATCGCAGGGCTGGATGTGCTGAGGACCTACAGGTCGCGAGAGGGGGGGAGGACTTATAAGACGTGCTGAGGATCATCAACGAGGCCACGGAACATTTAAACCCTGTTCGCTTATCCCCCTTGGCCTTTGCATTCCCCTCTGCCTGCTTGCACTCCGCTTTCCCAGGTTGGCGCATTCGTGCTGGGAAAGATGAAGGAAACAGCCGAAGCCTATCTGGGTCGGCCGGTCTCCAAGGCAGTGATCACCGTACCAGCTTACTTCAACGACGCGCAGAGGCAGGCGACCAAGGACGCGGGGAAGATCGCGGGCCTGGACGTGCTGAGGATCATCAACGAGCCCACGGCGGCGAGCCTCTCGTATGGCATGGACCGCAAGGAGGGTCTGGTGGCGGTTTTTGACTTGGGAGGAGGCACCTTCGATATCTCCATTCTTGAAATCTCCGGCGGGGTGTTCGAGGTGCGTCACTTTTTCTCTCTTTCTGTGTGTGAGTGGCTGAGGAAAGGAGTGCATTGGGAGGGAGGGAGGGAGGGAGTGCAATCCGCAGTGGTAAGTATGCGCGGGGAGGATCGCGGGGTTGGATGTGCTGAGGATCATCAACGAGCCCACGGCGGCGAGTCTCTCGTATGGCATGGACCGCAAGGAGGGGCTGGTTGCTGTGTTTGACCTGGGCGGAGGCACCTTCGATATTTCCATACTGGAGATCTCAGGCGGGGTGTTCGAGGTGCGTCTGTGTGTGTGTGCGCGCGCGCGTGCGTGCGTGCGTGCGTGCGTGTGTGCGTGTGTGTGTGTGTGTGTGTGTGTGTGCACCTCGATACATGGGAGCTCACCATCGATACAGGCATTGACCTCGACAAGGACCGCTGGCTTTATGTACCCTCCCTGCCTGCTCCCATGTTCTTTTCTTGACCGTTTGTGCTCTGTCTTTTCTGCTGCTCCGTCCTGTCCTTGCTTGCAGGTGAAGGCCACCAATGGAGACACGTTCTTGGGTGGTGAAGACTTCGATAATGCCCTGCTCCAACACCTGGTGGACGAGTTCCGCAAGGAGCAGGGCATCGACCTCACCAAGGACCGCCTGGCTCTGCAGAGGCTGAGGGAGGCGGCGGAGAAGGCCAAATGCGAGCTGTCGAGCACGAGCCAGACGGACATCAACATTCCCTTCATCACCGCTGATGCTACAGGAGCGAAGCATCTGAGCTACACCCTGACTCGGTCCAAGTTTGAGACTCTGGTAAGCTGGAGTTTGGGTCGGCTGCCTGCAGTTTGATCTCTGAACGGCCAAATGCGAGCTGTCGAGCACGAGCCAGACGGACATCAACATCCCGTTCATTACCGCTGATGCCACTGGCGCCAAGCACTTGAGCTACACTCTCACGCGCTCCAAGTTTGAAACGCTGGTGAGTTGTTGAGAGGCAAGTGCGGGAAGGCCAAGTGCGAGCTGTTGAGCACGAGCCAGACGGACATCAACATTCCTTTCATTACTGCCAATGCGACGGGGGCGAAGCACTTGAGCTACACCCTCACGCGCTCCAAGTTCGAGACTCTGGTAAGCTGGGGTCTGGGTCGTTCTGTCTTGTCGAAGTCCCTGTGTTTTATGGACGGGTGAGGGAAGAATCAGAAGCAGGAGAGGGTGAGAGAAGAAGTAGGAGAGGGTGAGAGAAGAAGCAGGAGAGGTGAGAGAAGAAGAAGAAGAGTCTGAGGGACGCGGCTGAGGGCGCTTGGCCAAGTGCGAGCTGTCGAGCACGAGCCAGACGGACATCAACATCCCGAGAATCAGAATCAGAAGCAGAAGCAGGAGAGGGTGAGAGAAGAAGCGGAGGCTGAGGGAGGCGGCTGAGAAGGCCAAGTGCGAGCTGCCTAGCACGAGCCAGACGGATATTAATTTTCCTTTATTTGAGTCGACTCAAAAATAATAATATTCCGTTAATCTCTGCCGATGCCACTGGCGCCCACTCCAAGTTAAAGACTCTGGTGAGTTGTTCTGGGGTTCTGTGTTGACTGTTGAACCTTCAAAGTCTGGAAGGCCGAATGCGAGCTGTCGAGCACGAGCTAGAGGGACATCAACATCCCGTTCACTACTGCCGATGCTACGGGGGCGAAGCATCTGAGCTTCACTCTCACCCGCTCCAAGTTCGAGACTCTGGTACGTTGGGGTGTGTTCTGACTGGAAACTTATAGAACACTGAAAGGCCAAATGCGAGCTGTTGAGCACGAGCTAGACGGACATCAACATTCCGTTTATCACTGCCGACGCTACTGGAGCAAAGCACTTGAGCTTCACTCTCACCCACTCCAAGTTTGAGCCTCTGGTGAGTTGTTCTAGGGTTGTGTGTTGACTGTTGAAGCTTCTAAGTCTGGAAGGCTAAATGCGAGCTGTCAAGCCCCCGTCCCCCTTCTTCCTTCTTCTTCTAACCCGCCAGGTAAACCCCCTGGTGGAGCGCACTAGGCAGCCGTGCAAGGACTGCTTGAGGGACCCGGGCATATCGGCCAAGGAGGAGAGAAGTCATTCTCCCCTTCTCCCCTGCTTCTCATCCCTGCTCTTACCCGCACTGCTCCTCCCTACTTCCGCTCCCAGGTGAACCCTCTGGTGGAACGTACTAGGCAGCCGTGCAAGGACTGCTTGAGGGACGCGGGCATATCGGCCAAAGACATCACGGAAGTGATTCTCGTGGGGGGCATGTCCCGCATGCCCAAGGTGCAAGAGGTGGTGCAGGAGTCACCCACTTCTTCTCACTCTCTCTGCTGCTCCTCCTTCCCCCTGCCCCCTTCCCCCTGCCCCCTTCCCCCTGCCCCCTTCCCCCTCCCCCCTGCCCCCTGCCCCCTGCCTGCCTTCCCCACTCCTGTTCCCCCTTCTCCCTCTAATATCACCAGGTGAACCCTCTGGTGGAACGCACTCGGCAGCCGTGCAAGGACTGCTTGAGGGACGCGGGCATATCGGCCAAAGACATAACGGAAGTGATTCTTGTGGGCGGCATGTCTCGTATGCCCAAGGTGCAAGAGGTGGTGCAGGAGATTTTCGGGCGGCAGCCGTCCAAGAACGTGAATCCGGACGAGTGCGTCGCGATGGGGGCGGCGATCCAGGGCGGCGTGCTTCGGGGGGATGTGAAGGATATTCTGCTGCTGGACGTGACGCCGCTGTCGCTGGGCATTGAGACGCTGGGAGGGGTGTTCACGAGGCTCATCAACCGCAACACCACCATTCCCACCAAGAAGAGCCAGGTGGGTGCTTACTGCTTCTCTAAATGATTCTCCCTGCCTTTCAGTGCATGGCGGCAGACAACAAGCTGCTGGGGCAGTTCGACCTCGTTGACATCCCCCCGGCACCCAGAGGCATGCCGTGCCGCATTTCGAGATTTGAGTCGACTCAAAACTCGACAACAAGCTGCTGGGGCAGTTCGACCTCGTTGACGTCCCCCCCGCGCCCAGAGGCATGCCGTGGTGTGCCGCATCCCCCACCAATCCACGCACCCTCTTTCCTCCCCCGTTTCCTCCCCCGATTCCTGCCCCGTTTCCTCCCCCGTTTCCTCCCCCGATTCCTGCCCCGTTTCCTCCCCCGTTTCCTCCCCCGATTCCTGCCCCGTTTCCTCCCCCGTTTCCTCCCCCGATTCCTGCCCCGTTTCCTCCCCCGTTTCCTCCCCCGATTCCTGCCCCGTTTCCTCCCCCGTTTCCTCCCCCGATTCCTGCCCCGTTTCCTCCCCCGTTTCCTCCCCCGATTCCTGCCCCGTTTTCGCCCCGATTTCTCCCTGATTTCGCCCTGCTCTCCCCTCTCCCCCTCCGCTGCTCCTACCCTCCTCCTGTCCAATTTCTCCTTCGGTTTCCAGGTGTTCTCCACAGCAGCGGACGGCCAGACGCAGGTGGGGATCAAGGTGCTGCAGGGCGAGAGGGAGATGGCGGCAGACAACAAGCTGCTGGGGCAGTTCGACCTCGTCGGCATCCCCCCCGCGCCCAGAGGCATGCCGCAGATCGAAGTGACGTTTGACATTGATGCCAACGGCATCGTGCATGTGGGCGCCAAAGACAAGGCCACCAACAAGGAGCAGGCGATTACCATCCAGGTGAGAGACTGGGGGAAGTAAGGTACAGGGCAGTGGGGAAGGAGAGGAGGGGAGAGGAGGGGAGAGGAGGGGAGGAGGAAAAGGGAGGAGGGAGGATTGGGGTGGTGGTTGTTGTGCCCATAGCACCTCCGCCCCCAGAGGCATGCCGCAGATCGAAGTGACGTTTGACATTGATGCCAACGGCATCGTGCATGTGGGTGCCAAGGACAAGGCCACCAACAAGGAGCAGGCGATTACCATCCAGGTGAGCGGGAGGGGGATGCAGAGGAGGGGACGAGAGCATGGAGGGGAAGGGCGGTAGGGGAGGGAGAGGGAGTGGAGGGGCGGGGTGGGCTGTGGTTGCTTGGAATGAGATGGTAGGGAAGGGATGTGGCTTCCTTACTCCTTGTTACTTGAATCCCTGTTGTTCTTGTTATGAAGGGATGCTGCTTGTTATGAATCCCTGTTCTTTCTTGTCCCCTGTTTATTTGATTGTGCAGTCATCTGGCGGTCTTTCGGACTCGGACATTGACCGCATGGTGAGGGAGGCGGAGCAGTATGCAGACAAGGACAAGGAGGGGAGACGTCTCTTTTTCCCTCTCGCCCTATAACTCGCCGTTATGACCCCTGTGTTGTCGCCCTATACTGTTGCGCAGTCGTCCGGCGGGCTGTCAGACTCAGATATCGATCGCATGGTGAGGGAGGCGGAGCAGTATGCAGACAAGGACAAGGAGAGGAAGGCGCTGATCGAGGCGAGGAACGACGCGGACACCACCATGTACTCTGTGGAGCGGTCTTTGAATGAGCACAAGGACAAGCTGCCGAGTGTAAGTACAGAGTCCCAGCATTACATGCCCCATGAATTGTGATGCGCTTTGTGAGGCCATGGACGTTGCCGACACCACCCTGTACTCTCTGGAGCGATCACTCAACGAGCACAAGGAGAAGCTGCCAAGTGTAAGTAGCAAGCCTTCTCTGTTGATCCTCCATGGTCCTGTGCGTTGTGGGGGGGGGTGATGAGGTGTCTGGGATGCGCTGATCGAGGCGCGGAACGATGCGGACACCACCATGTACTCTGTGGAACGATCGCTCGACGAGCACAAGGACAAGCTGCCATCTGTGAGTGAAATGCAAAGGAACAATGCGGTTACCACCATGTATGTGCTCTGTGGAGCGGTCTTTGAACGAGCACAAGGACAAGCTGCCATTTGTGAGTAGAGAGTCTCAATCCTCGCAATACTCTAGTATCTTTCACCTCAAACCTCTTATGACACTGCTTTTATCAAGCTAGCCTCCACCGCACGTCAATGACAGCATTGCAAACGAGAGGAGGTTGAACCCCTCCCTCATCCTTCCCCCCCTCCCCCCCTCCTCCCCCCCCCTCTCTCCCCCTCCCCCACCCTCATTTTTCAGGATGTGGTGGAGGCAGTGCAAGCGGCCATTGCTGATCTCAAGGGGTCGCTTGAGAAGGAGAATCTGGAGGAGATCCGTGAGAAGATCTCCGCCGCCCAGCAGGCCTCTCTTAAGATTGGAGAGGCTATTTCTAGGCAAGCAGGCGGCGGCAGCAGCTCGTCCTCTTCGGGAGGGGGTTCGACTGGAGGAGCACAGGAGGCGGAGTATGAAGAGAAGAAGTAGGGGGATAAGAAGTGGAAGATTGTTTAGTGGTAAGAGAACAATTTGTGGCTTTGCTGAGGAAGCCTAAAATTGACTACATTATAACAAGAAACACAGTTCACACAATTCATCACACTTCAGATGAGCTTCAGGTCTGGCAACAGGTATCCCCAAGCTATGAAAACCACCGTGCAACTGAACATGCTATGGAATCTGGCAATTGTTTTAGATAACTCACATACATGTCATAGACAGATGAAATGAAGCCGATTGTCCTAAAATTAGTTATACTAAAAATTAATGATGAACGGCACGCTACTATGCTACTCTGCTATGTTATATCGAGTACTACAGCACTGCGCGTCACGTGGACTGATTAGGTCGATGATAATTTGGCTGGCTGACCAGTGACGAAATCTGGCAAGCACCTGGGCCCGAAATCTTGTTCATTCACGGTCCTCATTTGGTCTGACGGTGGATAGCTTACCCGCTGACTTGGCGCCACGTCTCACTGGAGTTACGCGGTTCTTGTTTGGTTGCCATAGGGTAAGCTGACTCCTTTTATCGCCAAGAGCCGCAAAAGCCGTGGAAGCTGATTCGTGCATTCGCTGTTCCTGATTTCCCGCCGCTCCCATCCCCACAAGGGCACACGCGAGACATGACAAGCGTGACATCACGCGCGTTCCAGAACAGAAGCCTGCGGCTACGCTCTGGACAATCCACCGTTTCGAGGTGGTTGGGGGAAGAAGACTCAGGGTGAGGGTGGGGGTTGCCGCCGAACCACCCTGCCATCACCGTTTCTGCGTGAAACGACGACCCTCGAAAATTCTGTGGAAGGGTAACCATCACCAGCGAAGCAGACCCGAATTCGCTCTCTACGTTTCCGCCCCTCCGCCCCGCTCTCACCCCTTCCATCTGGATTCGTCTCCGCATTTCCCCATTTTCCTTCCTCTTTAGCAAAAAGGAATCCCCCTTCCCCCCTTCCGCCAACGTCGATTTCCCCCCCAACCGTCTCCCACCCGCGCTCCTCCCCCTTCCTCCCCCCTCCCTCCAGTTTCTTGCTCCTACAAATGCTCCACTTCTGTGTCAGCCATTTGTCATCCAATCCACTCATTACCTATCCTTAGTCTTCTCTGCGCGTTCTGCTCTGTTGCTTCCCGTGAGGTGTGAGCGCCCGTCCCCAGCTCTGCCGGGGTTTGTGCTCTCGTTCCTCCTCGAGCGCTGACGCAGTCTCTCGTCTGAGCAGGTCGGATTCCAGACTCTTTCCTGTCGTTTCTCGTTCGTGCAAAAGCTAGAGTGTTTCCGCCCCGCCCGTCCCACCATGTTCGTAGCAAGAAGGTAGTTACGATGTTATTTCGTGAGCTATCTTTCAGCAGCATCCGTAGTATCTCTTCCTTCGACCTGTCTCACCTTTTCTTTTATGTGTTTTGCCTCATCGTCGTTCGGACTCCTATTCTTTCTCTCGTGAACCTTATTCCAGATTCGTTGTCGGATTGGGATGGCCTCTATTGTTGCCTGCTCGGCTGTAGCATCATCCAGCCGCATCTCATCAGGCCATGTCGTCTCCTCTCAGGAGAAGTTCGGCGTATCCGCTTCCCCTGTCCGCATGACGTCATCCGCGCAGCTGCGTACCTCCGCGTCCTCTCCCTGCCTGACCGCGCTGTCGCACAGCCAGTCGCAGACCGACCTGGAAGTCGCAAGCAGGAGCGCGTACCTCCCAGCGACGTCGCCCGCGATTCCCCTTGACCTCGGGGAAGCCAACAGCGGTGATTTGCCGTTTCCTCGCGAAGGCTATTCGCTGGCGTTCGTGTACGGCACGCTGAAGAAGGGATTCGGGAATCACTGGCTCATGCAGAAACTTATGGCCGATGGCGACGCCGTTAAAGTCGGAACCGCTCAAACGCTACAGAATTACCCGCTCGTTTGCGGTCCGTTTCAGGTGCCGTTCCTGCTTCATCTGCCTGGCAGCGGTCACAGGGTTCAGGGTGAAGTGTACGAAGTGAACGCGAAGGCGGTTGCTGCTCTAGATGTTCTAGAAGGGACGGACCGGGGACACTACATGCGCTGTCCGTTGATGCTCTCGGATCTTGTTATGAGCGAGAAATACGCCGCCGGTCTCGGCGACAAATTCGCCAATCTGAAGCAGGAGAATGACGGAGCCGAAGCACCAGTAGCGTTCATGGCGGAAGCGTATTTCGCGGGGCTTGCGCACACACCAGGACTCGCCATGGCCCGTCCTATTGAGAGCTACGACGCCAATGCTGCAGCGACGTACGTACCAAGGAAATTCAGGCCTGAAGGGAAGACGTTTTTGGAGCATGTGCATTCGTGGATTGTTGACAAGCGGTTGCTGGCTGGAGTGAGCACGGAGCAGTACAAGTACCCGCTTTCTGTCATTTGAAATGGAGATGGTCTTAAGACCGAGTGCAGTTGTTTATACCTACTAATAGCAAAACTTTAGCGCTGTTATTTTCCTGGTACCGTTATCATGGTGGGTTTTTTGAACGATGACACATGCCCTTGCACCATTTCAAATTCCAAGCTGCCTCCCCCCCGTGTGTGACCTGATTAAAAAATCCTGGAACGTGATAGGCTTCCATTCACATGGGTAAACTTTTTACAGGCTTGCAATTCCTTATCATCCACATGCAAGGGGGCGCATACAATTATTGCTAACTGGATACCAAACCACCAGCTAGTTAGATATTTCTACCTACACTAAACTACCTACCACCAAATCACGTCAGCTTACTTCGCACCTAGTCCAGCATAGCACATGCTCAAGAGGCATGTGAACAATCCACTAAAAAAAGAGCACTCCATTAATTAGTCAACTCCAACCTGGCATCAACGCTTGGAGGACTTCAACGCCTGCTGTGCTTCAATATCCAGGGCTCTGTGTGCTCCCACTATCCCTCCCATCAGCGCCGTGTCTGCTGCTTCTTCCAACCCCTCCTCGTCCTCTTCCTCGCTGCTGTCATCAACATATGCTGTCATGGCTTCAGATCTGCGAGACATGGGGAAGAGGGGAGAAAAAGGGAAAAGGGGAAAAAGCAGAAGGTTGCATGCATGTGGAGGGATAAAGAGTTGAGGAAAGAAGATGAGGAAGGCGGAGGAGAGGGGAACAACGCATGTGACGGTTGCGAACAGATTTTTTAGCAACATTGGCACGGCAAGTGCGAGACAACTAAGAGACGGGTGAGAGACAGACAGACAATGAGGTAACACGTACTCCTTGGCTCGATTGATGTTCCGTTGCCGCACCCAACACACGCAGACAACCAGAAGACATAGGCCTGCACCCAGAGTCACTCCTGGAAGGTGGGAGGGGGATTGATAAAGGAAGAGGTAAAAAGGCGACGTAAATATGAGTACAGCTGATGTTCCGTTGCTGCACATAGCACATGCAGACTGCCAGGAGTCAGAGCCTGGCACCCAGAATCACTACGCGAAAGAGGAGGGGCTGGCTGGTATGGGTAGTGGTAACAAAGGAAATCACAAAGACGGAGACCGGCTGGAGGCAAGCATTCAGTAATCACTCACCCAGCACAATTCCTAGGATGCCCTCTGCGCTGGTTGAGTTTTGAGTCGTCACAAATGCAGAAGGATGATGCCAGCCAGACTTAAACCAGCACACACAGGAGCAGGGGACAGAACACTGAGTAGTCACTCACCCAGAACGATCCCTAAGATGCCCTCTGCGCTAATTTGCCCGCCAGACATCTTCTCGTAACTCTCAGTGTAACTGTTACTCGCCGGAGCTGCAGGTTCGGATCCTTCCGAGCCTGACCCAGAGGTAGCGTAGTCAGCCATCTTAGTAGCAGCAGCGTTCTGAGCGGTTGGACTACTGCTGTCAGGAAATGCTTCGTCAGAATTAGACGGATTGTTGTCAGAAAATAGATCGTCATCAGGATTCCCACCATTAGGGTTAGCATCCACGGGGTTCCCAGAAAACTGTGTCTGTTCTGCCTCGTTATAGTCACTAGGCATGTTAGCTTCATCAGCAGCGTTAGGGTCGGTAGAGTCACTATTGGAGCCCTCATCCTGCCATCCGTGCTTCCGCTTCTGCCATTGCTCCTCCTCATCCGGATCCTCCCCGTGAAAAAAGTAGTCACTATTGTCCCCCGTCTCGTCTCCCGCTCCCGCTCCCCCTTCCCCTTCCCCTGACCCCGGCTCTCCTCCCCCTCCCTGCTCCCCCATCTCCTCCCCTTGCGCCCCGCCTTCCGCCGGTTGATCCTCCTCGAAGGTCCAGGCGTCCCCTTGCGCGGGCTGTTCCGCGCCTCCACCCGCTTGCGCCGGCACGTTCCGCTCATACGTTCCGCCTGTGTCGCCATACCCGTTATCAGCTTCCTGGATAGTCGCAGTGCCACTCTCGCTCTCGTCCCCGACCTCCTCCTCCGCGCTTTCCCCCGCCTCCCCCGCCGGCCAATCACTGTTCGGCTCCTCTTCCGCCTCCGCCTCTCCGCTCAGCCCTTCCGCAAAGCCGTTCTCCCCGCCCGACTGGTCATCCTGCGCTTGAGCCTCTGCCGTTCCGCTTAGGCCTTGCGCGAACCCGTCCTCCCCGCCCGGCTTGTAGTCCTGCGCTTGCGCCACAGCGGCGGAAGAGCCTTCCCCCCTCCCGTTTTCCACCCACGGGTTTTCCGGCTCCTCCTCCGCCGCTTCCTCTTGCGCCTCCCATTCCTCCGCGCCCCCTTCATCTGCTTCTCCCTCCGCTTGCGCCCTTACTCCCTTTTCCGCTCCCCCTTTCCCTCCCCTCCCCCCTCCCCTCCCCGCCCCACCCTCCGCCTCCCCTTCCTCTTCCCCCGGCAATAAATCGCCTGGCTTGCGGTTACCCGGAATAACGTCACGGTTCGCCGCATTTCCCGGCGGAACATCCGCTTCGACGTCATCTGACGTGTCTACTATCGTGTCATCCCCGTTAGGGTGGTCTCCGGGAAGAGGATCCTCCCAATCGTCTGAATACGTGTCTGCGTCGTCTCCGCCGGTCCCGCCGCTTCCGTCGCCGATTGCGCCGCTGGAAGCGTCCGCGACGTCTATGTCGTCGGGGAGAGCCGCAGGCTGACCTGTCAATGCCTCGTCGTCCTCCGGCTGTGAACGACACGTGGCAAGCCCTAATAGGAGGAGAGCTAAGACTGCTATCGCGGCGTGGCGGGTCGCTCCTCGCCTCTTCATACTAGTTGCTGCCACCAGCTCCTAACTTAACGGTTCAGCTCTTTAAGTCAATGGTTCAGCTGTTAAAGTCAATGGTTCAATGGTTCGTCAAGTCAATAATTAGTTACGTGGCAGGTGTGTTTGTCGAAGCGAAACGAGCTTTGTCGAGGCTTTTATTCACGCGAATGACGAAGTACTACGAAGCGCCGGAATTGTCGCTGCGTTCGTCCACGGAACGAGGTGGCTGTGGAGGTTTTTGATTGGCGATTGAAACACCAGTTTAGATGACGCGAAGGCTAATAACTTCATGCACGTGCTGACGACTTTTGAACGTCTCGAAAATCGTTTGATATGGTGCCTGGCTGGCTAGAGACGGAACGGGTCAGTTGTTGTGATCGCGATTATTTCTGTCCGCATTGGCATTTCCGTGAAGCACGGTCCAGGACACATCTGATCAGACAGCCACGGCCCACGAGAGGGATCAGGCGTCGGTTAGGACAGCAACAGGTGAGCCTGGGTTGAGAAGTAAAGCGGTATGGTATTGTGTGTTTTTGCGTGGTTTGGTACGTTCGGGGGGAATAGCAAAATACGAATAGGGAGGGGAGATTGGTTGGAGGGAAAGTGAGGGGTGTGGGCGGGAGACTCGGGCCAAACAACGAAAGCACCGTTCAGAAACTGGTGTACAGTACGACAAAGTTGTGGTTTGGCAGGTTGCTTCGGCGATTCGTCTAAGCGCTTCGGACGTGGAGGGAAGGTTGTTCGGGGAGCGTAGATGGACGGCTGGATCTTGGCACCGTTGAACTGATTTTCGGAGAAATGTGCCTGTAACGATAGAAATAAAATTGATTTTCGGAGAAATGTGCCTGTAACGATGGCCGAAATGTACCAGCAGGCCTCTCTTGACGCCCCACCAACCTACCATTTCCCGTCCCCGGGAGTTGCAGCGCATCTCGATACTGAAATCTGATTACATGTATAAGCTTTTGTACCGCACCTCCAACCAGCCAAAACTCGGATAACATGGACTATAAATATGCTAAGGGGTGTAATGGAACAACAGGGTTGTCTATCACATGCCCTTCACAGCACTGTGATGTGGTGTCTTCTCTGCACTCCGCCTCATTAGACCCAACACAGGAATACAAAACACTAGTTACAACGAATGGATGTGAAGTGAACCTGCATTACTGGTCAAGACTGAATTCAAAAGCCAAGTCGGTTATTAGACCGAACATGGCATACACCGTCTTCTGCAAATTTCTTCCGTGGCAAGAAACCTGTCAGGATTCACTGCAATACATTCACAGTACGCGATACATGTTGGTAGGGAAAACTACATTCAGCAGCCTAGGAGGACTCCTTGGGAGGAAAGACCTGGTCCTTAATCCAACCAAAGGGCTGCACCCAGCAACGGGAAGAGGGAGCAGGCGGGAAGAGGGGAAGAACACAGATTAGCAGTAGCTAGGGGGGAAAATAGTATATTTAAAGTATGCTAAGCAGCCTAGGACTCCTTGGGAACCTGGTCCTTGATCCAACCAAAGGGCTGCACCCAGCAACGGAGACAGAAGCGGGGGTAGGCGGGACGAGAGGAACAACAAAAAATAGAAGCAGCGAAGGGGGAAATAGTATATTTTGAAGATGCTGTAGCAGCAACCTAGATTGACTCCTTGGGAGGGAGGACCTGGTCGTTGCAGAACAACCACCATGACGTCCATAAATCGTGCTGCACGCACCCAAGGGCCGGGATCCGATCTTGATCGTGATCGTTGCACGTTTGAACTAGCCAGAGCGCGCCGATGAATACAGTCGTCCTTGTTTAGTAATATGGTAAAGGGCTCTAACGGGACAATGCAGTGATGCTATATCGCGGACAGGACCTGACCGTCGCACCTGAATCAGCCACAGCGCGCCGACGACTCCAGTCGTTCCCCATGTAACGGCGCTCCGCACGTCACCCCGCTGCGGTAGGTACGACGGCGGGATGAAGCGGAGCAGAGATCCGGCGGCCTTGGCGGAAGACATGGAGCGCGGAAAGGGCGGACCGGGAATAGCCGGAAATGGGATCGGGAGAACGGGCGGAGCGGAAGAACGGAGCAGCGACTGTGGGACGCAGGAGTTTTCGAAAGGACCGTGGAAGGCGGCGTGAAATGAGTGCGTCCTGATTCTGATAAGGAGCGAATCCGAGAGCCCTTTTTGGAGGGAAACGACGGGACCGAGGGAGGGAGCGGAAAGGGGTAGTCTCCGTTATAATTAAAATACGGAAACAGACTAAACTCAATGGGTTAGTTACAGTAAATATTAGCAGAACTTCCAGGATTCCTAAGGCAAACACGCAGCACACATTCACTACCTTGGCCTATTTCACAAACCCAAATCAAAGCCGCTGTAAACGCTAAAGATTTTGTCAAGGCATTGTCGAGCAGACATGGTAGTGTCTTGAAGAGCGTAAGCGTTGAGTTGAGTCTGGCCCACATGTTAGTCGTGTCTTGGAATGCGTAGAGTCGGGCAGACATAATGCAAGGGAGGCTCCGGCCGAGAAAGAAGCCTTTTGAGGCGCCTCAAAAGTCGTAGAGTCAGGCAGACATGACGCAAGGGAGGCTCCGACCGAGAAAGAAGCTCTTCAAGATGATTCTTTCCACTCCATCCGGGGACCAATGGTACGTTGGGATGTCTGAAATTATTTCCCTGAAAAACAACAAGTTTTGCACACACACATGCATACACACATAAGCAAAATGAATCATTGTCAAATTTCACGAGAAGCACAGCTATCATATCCAACTTCTAGGTTTCAGCCTATCACACACTCACCTGTGGGGAGTGAGGAAATCCATGTATGCCCCCTTGATGACCTTGGCAAATCGCACGCGCATGGCCTTGCGACAGCTGTCGCTGAGCACGATCCACCGCCGCTGCTCCAGTGCCACCTCCTCAAACACCGCATTGAACCGCTTCAAACTGCGGGAGATGAGTAGACAGATGGGGACAGACGCAGATGGATGGGGATATGGGAGGATGGTCGGGGAAGACAATGGTTATGGCATGCATGTATGCATGCGACCACATATGACATGCACCCATAATCTCATCCACCCATATGCACCCATGTGACCCATATGCATATCCACACCCTCAGTGCACTCACCGCTGCTTGACACTGTCGGCACTCATCTTGGCGCTCACTTCCAATGGCTCCAAGCATGCCAGCAGCTGGTGGAGAGAGGTGGGTAGAGAGGGGTGAAGTGGAGTCGGGTGGGGTGGGATGCGGGGATGTCAATTCAACTTGGCGCTCACTTCCAATGGCTCCAAGCACGCCAGCAGCTGATGGGGTGGGGTGGAGTGCAGTGAGGTGGGAATGGGTACGGTGGGATGGGTTGCAGAGAATGGGGAAATCACTCATCTTGGCGCTCACTTCCAATGGCTCCAAGCATGCCAGCAGCTGATGGGGTGGGGTGGAGTGCGGTGAGAAGGGGTGGGATGGGTTGCAATGAGTCAGGAATAGGGGATCCTCTTGTCTTGATGCTCACTTCCAATGGCTCCAAGCATGCTTTTTTTTTGGGGGGGGGGGGCTTTAAAGAGATCCCCGGAGGAAACCAGGCCTCCAAGCATGCCAGCAGCTGCTTCTCTTTCTAAGGCAGACCGCCTGCCGATCATAACTGGCAAAAAACCATGAGGCTCCGAGCCGAGCACACCTTGCACAGCGCGGCTCTCTCAAATGCCGACTCATAGTCTGCCAGGCGGTCAGAGTGGCGATTTTCAGAATTCTCAAAAATCCCTCACAAGAATTCTAAAAAATCACTCGCGCGGTCAGAGTGGCGAATGGGGGACTGCACACCCCCCTTCCTACCATACACATCATTGCCATCACACCTGCCGGAACCCCCCAAACCCCTTCGTACCTTGCACAGTGCGGCTCTCTCAAAGGCCGACTCATAGTCTGCCAGGCGGTCAGAGTGGCGAATGGCATCCCTCATTCGACCGGAGGAGCTGAAAGGACGAAAAAAGGAGGTGAAGGTTGAAACAATGGGTGGGGGAGAGCGGGGAAGGGTGGGTGGAGGGAGGAGTGAGGCTGGCTTGGCAACGACTCGCAGTTTGAGATTCTCACAACACGCCTGCTGCTCTTCCCGTGGCGGTGGAATAGGCAAATGAAGCGTGTCCCACATTTACAGCCATTCAGATGTTCTGGTGTTGAATAGTGCCTCCATACCGCACTTCACCTACTCAGATACATGAGACTCGACACACTCGCATGGAGGAAGAAATGTAGTTAGCGTTATTCCGCACAAAGAGGGCAGCAAGGGGGCCATCAGCAATGGTCCTCTCGCGTGCCTCCATGTCCGCCCCTAGCTGCCTCTTCCTCTGCCTCTGTACCGCAGTGTATCGCACTCTACCGCTCAATACACACTCACATGGAGGAAGCAATGTAGTTGGCATTATTGAGAACAAAGAGAGCAGATAGAGGTCCGTCTGCAATGGTCCGTCCACGAGCCTCCATGTTGAAGTAGAGCGCATCCAACAGAGCCTCCATGTCCGCCCCTAGCTGCCTCTTCCTCTGCCTCCCACCCGCCCCCTTGCCCTTCTTCCCACCACTACCGCCACCACTGCCACTGCCGCCACCGCTGCCACCACCAGGAACATTTTGGCTATCCCGAGCCTTTTCCTTAGGGGTTCCAGGCATGGGGTTCAAACCACCACTGCTAGCAGCAGCAGCAACAGCGGAAGGAGCAGAATCGAGTGCAGTATGCGAGTCTGAAGGGACACTTGGTGTGGCAACAACTGCAGCAGCAGCAGCACTGGCAGCAGGAGCGGCAGCACTGGTAGCAGGAGCGGCAGCACTGGTAGCAGCAGCGGCAGCACTGGCAGCAGGAGCAGGAGCAGAAGCAGGATTTTGGAGCGATGCCCCTGCTGTTGCTTCCTGCACCCTCTGGTTCACGCGGCTGCTGCTGCTGCTGGGCTCTTTCAAATGGTCCGCTCCATGGCTCCAGTAAATCTCCTCCAGCACAGCACAGTAGTTGGCTCGAGAGGTTCTGCAAGGGATGTTAGAGGGACAGAAAGGGACAAGGGGAAGAGCAGTTGCAGGGCTCTTTCAAATGGTCGGCTCCATGGCTCCGGTAAATCTCCTCCAGCACAGCACAGTAGTTGGCTCGAGAGGTCCTGTGAGTGTTGTCAAGAGAGTGGTGGGGGATGGAGTTGGAGGGATGGAAAACGAGAGACATGGAAACGAAGAAAAAATACATTTTGGTCTTGTGTTCGACAACACCTTTCCTATCCACCCACTACTCTACGTGACTGACTGACGCGATTACTGACGCAACATGACTGACTCACATTGACCTCACAGCTGATAACCACTATCACACGCACCTATCCACTAGTTGCTTGCCCTAAGGTTTAATTCGCATTCCTGTGGAGCTGATGCCCTATGTTGTTGACAACATAGCTGGTAACTGCACCGCACTGAGCAGAGCCATACCTATCCAATTGTTGCCCAATGTAGCTGACCACATAGTTGGTAACCGCCTGCACTGATGTGTCTACATCCATGCTCTAGCCGGTAACAGATGGTAACCGCTATCAGCGACAATAGCTGCCATACCTGTCCAACAGTTGCCCCATCTAATTGACAACATAGCTGGTAACCGCATGCACCGACACGCCCACACCACACCCATGCTCTAGTTGGCAACTGCTGGTAACCGCAATCATTCCATACCTGTCTAGCAGCTGCCCTATATAGTTGACAACGTAGCTGGTAACCGCATGCACCGACACGTCCACGTCATCCCCGCTCTGGCTCTTCACCTCCTGCGCCTTCCAGGAAATTATCCTGCAAGAATGGGGGAGTGGAGTGCAGGGAGTGGAGGGTAGAGGTTAAAGGGTGGATGATGGTTGTGAACGAAGCGCCCATCCACGATCCCTCCCATCCACTGAGGTCCCTCAGGGTGGAGGGTGGTGGTTGGTTAGGCAGTAGAGGGTGGAGGTTGAAGGGTGGATGGTGGTTGTGAAACAGAGGAGCGCCCATCCACGTCCCTCAGGGAGACACAGCCACACAGGGAGACACAGACGTGTTTTGAGACGTCTCAAAACACTACTTCTTCACGTGGTTGTGAAACAGAGGAGGACCCATCCACGTCCCTCAGGGTGGAGACATACGGAGAGACACAGCCACACAGATAGAGACAAATGGACCTGCTAAGAAGCTTCTTCTTGGGCGCAACAGGAGAGGGCATGGCAGCCGGGGTGAGTCCATCCACGTCCCTCAGCGTGCTGTTGAGCTCGTCTATTGTCTCAAACACGGCGCATGCGAGGAGGGCAGGGAGGGCTTGCCACTGTGGCCACAGGGAACCTCCTCCCACCCCTGCCGCTGCTATCAGCACAGATTGCACCTGAGAACGGGTAAGGTGGGGGAGGGAAGAGAAGAGGGATTGAGGTTGTCAGTATTTTCAACCAAACATGGCACATGCGAGGAGGGCAGGGAGGGCTTGCCACTGCGGCCACAGGGAACCTCCTCCCACCCCTGCCGCTGCTATCAGCACGAATCGCACCTGAATGGAGGGGAAGGTGGGGTAGAGAAGAAGAGAAGAGGCAAGTTGATGTATTCTCAACCAAACATGGCACATGCTAGGAGGGCCGGGGGGGCTTGCCACTGCGGCCACAGGGAACCTCCTCCCACCCCTGCTGCTGCTATCAGCACAGATTGCACCTGAAGGGGATGGGAAGAGGGATTCAGGTTGTGTGCAGTCTGAAACAAACACGAATACATGACATACCCCCTTGACCTGACCTGCTTCCTCAGCCAGGTGGAGGCTCGGAGCATCTCCATGACGCTAAACAGCTTCTCAGGGGACCGTACCAGCCCAGCAAGAAACTGACTTGACTTGAATTGCCTCTCTTCACCAGGTCTTCACTACCTCCCTCCCCTGCACCTCTCACCTGCTTTCTCAGCCCTGTGGCAGCTCGGAGCATCTCCGTGACGCTGAAAACATTCTCAGGGGACTGTGTCAGCCTCACCCGTTTTTGAGTCGACTCAAAAACATCTCCGTGACGCTGAAAACATTCTCAGGGGACTGTGTCAGCCTCACCCTTACTTGACTTGGCCAGTGCCCAATGCCCAATGATGCCCAATGACCAATGCCCAATGCCCAATGCCCAATGCCCAATGCCCAATGCCCAGTGCCCAGTGCCCAGTGCCCAATGCCCAATACCCAATGCCCAATGCCCAATGCCCAATGCCCTCCCTTAACCAGCTCATACCTACCTACTCTTCTCCCCAGCCACACCACACCACACCACACCACACCACACAACACCACACCTGCTTCTCTTCCCTAACCATCACTCACCTGATCCCTCAGCCCGGTGGCAGCTCGGAACATCTCCATGAAGCTAAAAACTTTTTCTGGGGACCGTGTCAGCCCCGCAATGGAACGAGCCGTGCCGACCAGCTTGCCGACAGAGCCCTCCACGCAGGGCGACGCCAACAGAAGCTGCCGATACACGCCGCCTGCGTCGAGCTCTGGGGCGTCCTCTAGGACTGCCTCGCAGAGGAGGCGCTCTCCCTCCAGCAGCACTCGGATCTGACAGAAAGAATGGGTAAGGATGCGAAGTGCGGAGGGAGAATGTGGGGTGGAGAGAGTGGGGAGGAGTTGAGCTCTGGGGCGTCCTCTAGGACTGCCTCGCAGAGGAGGCGCTCTCTCTCCCTCCAGTAGCACTCGGATCTGAGGGAGATGGGGGGAGAAGAGGAGTGAAGACGGGGGAAAAGAGGGGCTCCAGATGGCGCCACAGCACAGCATGGCCTTTAGCTTACAGTGAGTGGGTATCAGCTCCAGTCAGTCACATGAAAGGAACGCCCGTCCATTCACCCACTCACTGACTGGAGCTCCAGTCACCCATTCATAACGTACCAGTACATTGGCGTCTCTGAGCCACGTCTTGATGGCGTGCTCGAGCTGGCTCCACGGCATGGCCTTGCCTCCAGCTCACAGTGAGTGCCACACCCACCCGCTCCACACACTTGATTGCAGCACACCCCATGCAGGACACACGCCCCTTTCACCCCGTACATACCAGTATGTTGGCGTCTCTCAGCCATGTTTTGATGGTGGGCTCCAGCTGGCTCCACGGCATGGCCTTGCCTCCAGCTCACAATGCGACAGCAACACACACACCACACGCACTGATATACTCAGTAACCTAACCACTATAACACAGCCCCGTTCACAGCATACCAGTATGTTGGCGTCTCTCAGCCATGTTTTGATGGTGGGCTCCAGCTGGCTCCACGGCATGGTGCCACGCCATGCATCCAGGCACACAACGGGACACACACACCATACGGCATGCATGCAACTACAACCAGGTAACCCACTCGCAACACATACATACATACCAGTATGTTGGCGTCCCTCAGCCATGTCTTGATGCTGGGCTCCAGCTGGCTCCACGGCATGGCCTCCAGCTCACAGTGAGACAGGGAGGATGTGCTGGATGGGTGTGGGCATAGCTTACCAGTATGTTGGCGTCTCTCAGCCATGTTTTGATGGTGGGCTCCAGCTGGCTCCACAGCATGGCCTCCAGCTCAGCAACGCTGCGCTCCTTCAGGTCGAGACAAGCCGTGCCACTCGTTATGCTCGGCCCACGGGCGGCGCTGTGGAAGTTGAAACGAGGCAGGAGGGGAGGCAGGCAGGCGGGCCGATGAGGGGGCGAGCAATGATTGATGAGACTCGTTCAGGGCTTTTGAGATTGAAGTATGCACACAGGAATGCATGCACGTACACACACGTACTCACTCACTCAGGACACTCACTGGTATCTCGAACAGCAGCGAGTGAGCCCACCAATAGCAACGCTCCGTGTGGCCATTTTCCATAACCAGCCTATCACCGCCACTGGTAAACACTCCCCCCACCCACACACGCTTGCATGCGTGCACACATACGCACACGCACTCAACACACTCACCAGTATCTTGCGCAACACCGGGTGAGTCCACCAATCGCAACGATCCGTGTGGCCATTTTGCGTAACCAGCCAATCTCAGCCACTGGTAACCACTCCCCCCACTCGCTAAACGCCACCCGCCAATCCACAGCCCCCGCCCCCCCTGCTGCTGCTGCCCCTCCTGCTGCTGCCCCTCCTGCTGCTGCCCCTCCTGCTGCTGCCCCTCCTGCTCCCCCTCCTGCTGCTGCCCCTCCTGCTCCCCCTCCTGCCCTCCCTGCTGCCCTCCCTGCTTCCCTTCCTGCTTCAAGAGTGGGAGAGGAGAAGGCAACCAGTCGAGGGCGAGTTGCGGCAGCGGGTGGGGTAACGGCACCACCACCGGAGGCAGCACCAGCAGCAGCAGAGGGGGCATCAGCAGCAGCAGCAGCAGCAGCAGCAACAGCAGGGGCAGCAGCAAAGCCGACAGCGGTAGGGGATGGAAATAGGGTGGGGGAAGGTTGGAGAGACAAAGGCAGGGATTGAGGTCCTACAGCTAGGGAAGAATGGTCCTCAGCGGCAGACCTAGGAGCATTGCTGTTATTTATGCTGCTGCTTGTGGTGGCGGTGGTGGTGGTGGTACTGCTGCTGCTGCCGTAAACGATGTTGCTAATTGTCCCGATCGGCTGCTTGCTTTTCCTCTTCTCCTCCTGCCCTGTAGACGGCCGAGCCTCTTGCCCTGGCTGAATCACAGGCTTGGCGCCCCCGGACCTGGCTGCCGAGCCTGGAGTCAGGTTCGGGAGATCGTTGGCGTCAGGCTCGGCGTCGTCATCGTCCGGATGGATAGGTATGGTGATGCGGGGGGGAGTGGGGCGCACATAGGGAGAAGCTGACGAGGAGGAGGGAGAGGCGGAGAAGGAAGAAGACCCAACCGCGTTATAAGCATATGCGTTATGGGGAATGTAACCGGAGGTGTAGGGGGATGCGTAAGGTGAGTTAGAAGCTACTGTGGAGGGAAGGGGGCCGGAAAACATAGGCCAGAGAGCACCAGAAGCACCACCACCAACGGCAGCAGCGGCGGCAGCAGCAGCAGCAGCAGCAGCGGAACTTAAATGCCCCGATTGGTCCTGGGACAAGAAACCAGTGCTGCTGGCGCTGCTGCTGCTGCTGCTGCTGCAGAGTCTTGATGAGGTTAGAGGGAGGGGAGGCGTCAGAGCAAGGAGGGGAGAGGATAGGAGGCTGCTGGGCTGTAGGGCTTTCAGTGGGAGGTTCACTGCCTGTGCTGCTGCCGGTTACGCTCACTGGGATGACAATGCGGTTACCACCGGACCTGGTCTTGAGGCTCGGGTTATTACTGTTAGTGTAGGCGCTGTTACTGTTGTTAGATGCAACACCTGTGGGGCTTATGATTGGAGTGCCATGCGAAATATCCGTAGCAGCGGCGCTAGTGGCGGGAGAAGCAGCACTAGCACCAGTGGCGTCACTACTGCTCCCATCAGCAACAGCCGCAGCACCAGCAGAAGCAGCAGCAGCACCATCAGCAGCAGCAGCAGCAGCAGGAGCAGTGCCGGCAACGGCAGCAGCAGCATCAGCGAGAGACGCATTGAATTCAATCATCATGGGATCGTCAAAGAGAAAACTAGATGAAGATTTCCATAATCTTCCCTGATCAGGCCTATGCCCGTGCTGCTGGTGCTGATGCTGTTGCTGTTGATGATACTGCTGATGGTGCTGCTGCTGGTGCTGGTACTGCTGCGGCGGCTGCTGTTGCCAATCCTGCTGCTGCTGGGAATGGTGATGATGGTGGTGAGGATGATGGCCCACAAAAAGACGACGGGATGACGGCGAAAAGGGCGGCAAGTTCTGTCCTGACGTGCGCATCCCTGGGGAGCGTGGGCCGGGAGTCAGACCAACAGGGCTACGGGGAACACCAGCAGCACCAACAGCAGCACCAACAGCAGCGCCAGCAGCAGCGCCAGGAGCAAAGCCAGCAGCAGCAGAGGCAGAAGGTAAGCCGCGGTGAGCAAGCGGGCTAATAAGGGCGTGTTCGGGGTACTTGGTGGAGTTACTCAGGTTGGTGGGGGTAGTGCTGATGTTGCCTCTAGCAGCAGCAGCAGCTGCAAGGGAGAAGTCTGAGGAGGTGCGGGTGAAACGGGTGGTGATGGGGGTGACACCCGTGGCCCTACGCGCACGGAGAGAGGGCGCTGCCCCTGCTGCTATTCCACCAGCAGCAGTGGCGTTGGCACCAGCTGTTGCAGCATTGGCGAAATTCTGGGCGTGCAGGGCGGACTTGAGCGTTGGGAGATCCAGAGGCTTGCTGCAGAGAGAAGGGGAGGAGGGGGAGTTGGGTGGGGACACAGGAGAAGAGTGGGACAAGACACACAGAGGATGGAATTCGGGGCGTGCAGGGCGGATTTGAGCGTTGGGAGATCCAGGGGCTTTCTGCGAAGAGAAAGAGAGAGGGAGGAAAGGGGGAAGGTCGTTGGAGGGGGGCAAGTGGGGTGGGGGAGAGACGTGCATTGCACACAAGGAGTTTCGTGACTGGGAAGTGTTTTGAGACGTCTCAAAAAGGGGGGCAAGTGGGGTGGGGGAGAGACGTGCATTGCACACAAGGAGTTTCGTGACTGGGATGGGAATGGAAGATACAAGTTAGAAGTTGCTTCAAGATCAGAAGAGCGTGCTTCGAGAGAGTTGCTTCAAACTCCTCCTCTGAAAGCATCAGGGCATCCCTGACAGACAGCAGCCACCATGCTTAGAGCATGGAAACACATGCAATAGAATGGGCGCAGCAGGACAACACAACACAACACAACACAACACAACTCAGGAGCACATGGTACCGTACAACAGTGCCATGTGCACTGTTATACATGGAAGAGTGATTTTTGAGAATTCTCAAAAATCACTCACAGTGCCATGTGCACCGCACATGGAAGAGAACACCCACCCGTGCTTGGAGAGAGTAGCTTCAAACTCCTCTTCCAGCAGCATCAGTGCATCCTCGATAACAGCCTCCACGCTTATAAGCACATCCCATTGTAGCACGGGGAGAGCAGCAGCAGCAGGAGACACAGCCGCAGCAGGGGAGCCATCAGCAGCAGGGAACACAGCAGCAGCAGGGAACACAGCAGCAGCAGGGAACACAGCAGCAGCAGGGAACACAGCAGGAGCAGGAGACATTGTAACCTTATCTGCAGCACTGCCTCTCTCTTCGATTTCCTCCTCGCTCTCCCCCCCCTCTCCTTCCCCGCTGCCCATTTGAAACCGTTTCCGCACTATATGTAACCGTTTCCGCACCCCTCCATTGCCTTTCTCCTCCTCTCCTCTCTCCCCCTCCTCTCCCTCCGCCCCATCCTCCCCCTCCTCCCCCTCCTCCGCCTCCACTTCCCCCTCCCCCTCCTCACCATCATCACCATCATCAGTACCATCCGCATCACCACTTGAGTCTATTCCAGCCTTCGCTCCACCTCCTCTCGTCACCCCACCTCTTCTCGTCACCCCACCAATGCCAACTTTTTCTTCTTCTCCCTCCTCATCCCCACGACCACTCTCGCCCTCCCCACCTTGTAGCCCCAAACCTCCACCTCCCTTCCCGCTTCCTTCCTCCACTCCTCCACCCACTCTTTCCACCATTCCACACTCATCCCCCATCCCTTCCTCCTCCCTACTCCTCTCCTCCCCCCTCCTCTCTTCCCCACCCTCATATCTCCTCCTCTCCTCTTCCCTCCTCTCCTCCTCCTCTTCCTTCTCCTCCCTCTGCTGCTCCTCCCACGCTGCTCTCAGCTTTCCCCGAAGCGCCGCCAGGCTGTCAAGCGCCGCCAGAAAATCGTCCAATCGGAAGCGAGGCGCCTCTGAGACGCGCTGCGCCAGCTGGGGAAGGGCGGCGGCCGCCCGTTGCAGCATGCGTTGCCGCTTCTGCTGGCGGGACAGGCGGAGCGAGCGCTCCTCCTGTAGCGGGGGCGCAAGTGCGGAAAGCGGAAGGGAGAAGGGGGAACGAAGGGGCGCGGGGAGGGTGTGGGGGGGGGAGGGGAGAAGGGTACTGCTTGCCGCAGCATGCGCCGGCAATCAAAGAGAGGGGGTAAAAGAGGGTAAAGCTCGTGATTGACGTTTTCAAGCCATGGGCCGTTTACGTGGCTTACCCTTGGAGTTGCCGCAACTTCAGCCGCCCTGCCGTCCTTCCCCACGTCCAATCGCTGCATGGCACGTGTCACAGCTTCCGCCTGCGCCTGCCGCCTCTCCTTCCATCCCTCCCCTTCCCCCTCCTCCTTTCCCCCTTCCCCCTCCCCCTCACTCCGCTGCCCTTCCCCCCGCCGCTTACCCCCCTCCCCCGCGCTCCCCGTCCTTTCGTTTTCCCCACCCGGGATCACCAAAACATTTCTCACGGGCAGACTGACGCTGGTACTCCGAGGAAACACTGCGGCTTGCTGCTTTTCACCTTTTGCCTCTTCACCTGCCCCAGCTGCCCGCGAAAACATCCTTTTCCCGGGAGTTGGTACCACAGGCGTCTTAGGGCTCGGCGCGCTTACCGAACTCGAATGAACCAACCGAGGCACGGCCATTTTGGGCCTACGTCTTACTGCGGGTTTCCCAGAACCAGCAGGCTCGGGTTTTACCGAGCCGACATGGCCGGACGAACCTCCAGCCAGCACCTGATCCCGTAAGAACCCCTCTTCACCGATTGGTAATCCTACTCCGCCGTCGGCCACCCATTCTGTCTCCTCTGCTTCCATTCACGCACCCGAGCTTCTACCGGTCTCTAACGGCGCCCTGATGCCGGTAACAGTGAAAACAAATGGTCCAGCTGCCGGTAACCGTTAAAAGAACCGGTCCTTCTGCTGGTGACCGAAAAAAAAACTCGTCCTGCTTTCGGCTTCTATCGGTGATGATTAAGAAGATTAGCGATTGTTCATGATAGCAGCCATTGTAAAGTTTGGTGCTACCAGTAATATTTTCCTGTAATTATAGATATTAAAGGCCTCCCAAACCTGACAGAATATATGTGTCTATCATCTACGTCTGGAAATCTGACGGTACCTGTTTACCTGTTTATCTACATCTCGAATCCTAAACGGTAACATACGCATTGATTGACCCTTTTCCTCCGTCACATGAGAAATGAAGCACACGTCACGAGGTTAATGGTAATAAGTTATCAGGCAGTCCCGCGTGTAAAGTACGTCCCGCCACTAATGCGGAAAACGCGAGTAGTATGAGTGACAATGAGTAGCGAGAGCGACTGGCATAACCTAGACGAGAAAAAGACACCAACGAACAGCGTCGCTGCGACTAACAAACTGGGTCAAACCACGGATTTCAGTGCCTGCTTTTTGCTTATGCGAGCATGCTAACATTACAAAACTTATTGCGTCACGAGCGCAGCGCTACTCGAGGAAACTTTGGTCGGGCAACAGGGTGACGTGTCCTCGACATCGTAAGGACGGCAAAGGCGTCACGAGTGAGGGGAGATAACAGACGGATGCTAAATAGCTTCCCCCCAGAGTTTGAATCAACAAGAGGGTTGTGTCGTGGGAGTCCATTTCTGCTCAGAACCGTACATAACCGTTTTAAAATGTAGACGAACCGCTCTCAGCTTCAAGCATGTCCTATTCGGTTTTTGGAAGTTTTCTTGATGATGTGTGTACTCGAACATTCGCAACCGAGAGAAATCTTACTGAAACGTAATCAACCAGACATGTCGCCCAGCAGTCCACTCTGCCCGAACGAGGCTTCGGCACTAACAGATTTGGTCGGAGAAGAGGGCAAGGCAAGGCAGACGGAGGCTCTCCAAACGTGCGCTAGGCTCGAAGCCGGAATCGAACCTAGCCAATCGGCCCCTCGGCAAGGTTTGATGTGAAAGGGGGTGTTCAGTCGGGCTGGGTGGGTTCCATTATCCATAACCCATTTCTCATCTCGCTCCAGGCTTGTGAAAGTCGGGGTGCCCCTGAGGACGCGATAAAAGTAGACGATCGATCGTCGGTCGCGATCGATATGCGAATCGGTTACCCTACTAGCTATGATGTAACCAGGCTACAGTGCTCTTTTTGGCCAAAATTTCTGTACACGGCGTGAATGCGACTAATCACTGATCGCGGGAGATCTGTCAATTCTCAGTGGCGATCGTTACAGCGTCGCGATCGCCACGTTTCGCCAACCAATCTGCCCAATCGATTGTAGGGCTCGATATTTGCAGACGATCCTGCGATATTTGCACTTTTACCGCGTCCTGACGAAAGAGAACACAGTACACCTGATGCTCATTTCAGTCTCGTTTTTCATCTTTCTCAGTGCTCCTCTTTCGAGCACTCGCTCGCTTCGGGGAGAATGGGACTGTATCTGGGTAGCCTGGCGTGTCTTGTCTGAGAAACTAGAATAGCTTATTCGAGGTCAAGAATATCTTAGTTTTGTCGTAGGCTAGTAACGCGCGGGCCGTTGGCTGTAAATGTCGACCACTTGGCGTATGGAGTGGCAGTGACGTGTTTAGATTGGGCGGTTGAGCGAGCATTAGGTGTAGACAGCGCTGTACAGAACACGTACACATGATGCTCACCTTCTGCACGCGAAATTGCCTTGCACCTGCTGGAAACCTTGCACCCGTGAGTTTTGTGCCGTGAGGTTGCACCCACGTTTAGAGCGCCTTGGACTACTCACCCAAGTGGTCCGAATACAACCACAAATGAAGGGGGAGCACAAAACAGTCTGAGATGCACAGGGAGTTCTTGTTTCCTGGCCAGAAACAAAGGACGCGAAGTGCATGGACGAAACACATTCGAAGTCGTTGTCACATTCGCGAATCCAGCCTGAGCCACGTAAGGGGTGTCAAAGTGCGTCAAACAGACCACGGCCAAATTCCGACTGCCACCTGTACCTTGCACAATGCCGATAAAGACACCCTCGTAGCCACTCAATGTGCAACAAGCACGCGTCACCTCGTACGGTGCTTGTTACAGGGTAGCACATACCCTATAACCAACACTCGATTCATTTGTCTACAGAAATGTATTGCGCATCGGTGTTTTCAAAGTGCTTCCCCACAGCTCACGACGAGAACGGCAAAATCACTAACAATAAGAAGGCATGCCTTATTCCCGTTAGTCATAGTTTCCTCGCCCCACAGACACCATGGCTCGCTTGTACCACCGTTCGCACTTGGGATTGCCGATCAAGAGGGCGATTTGCGCCCACCATGTGGCGAATCCGCACCTGCGCCACGTTGATCTTTCTCGTTGGTGCTTCACCCGCTTCGGGTTTCGCCCCGACCGCAGCACTATTGGGCGCGTGCTCAAGGGTGCCGACCGTTGGGTGCGTCCTGATGGGGCCACCGATGTCATCCGTGTGCGCGGAGGCGCACACCCCGAGCTCGAGCGCGCCATGGCTCGCTGGATCGCCAATGCGGGCCCGGCTGGCGTGCCTCTCACTCTCGCAACTATCCGCGACCATGTGGCGACAATGGCGCGGAACAGTGGGATTCCGAGCACATTCCGCTGCTCCATAGGCTGGGTCCGTCGTGCTCTGCGCCGCCAGGGGGTCCGTTGTATGAGCGCCGTTGGTGAGGCAACCGACCAGGACATGACGGCCGTCCGAACGACCAAGGAGAAACTCCCGCAGCTGTTGATGCACCTTTCTGTCACTCCGGCCGACACCATCAACTTCGATGAGACCGCCTTGTTCCTCTCGATCCTGCCGCATAAGACGTATGGCGCCAACCGCACGGCCGGCAGGAAGATTGCCAAGGAGCGTTTGACGGTGGGATTCCTCGTCAATGCCAACGGGTCCCGTGTCTTCAAGCCGTTGGTGATTTCGAAGGCGAGGAGGCCCCACGAATTCCGCCCCGACTACAATCCCGAGGAGAAATGCTACTGGCGCAATAACGCCAAAGGCTGGATGACAAAGGCGGTGAGTATGATGGTGGATGTGTGTGTCGTTTATGGTCGTGTAAAAATAACGCGGGTAACGCCAATGTAACACGGTTAACGATGTGTGTTTTGTTTCCCGTCCGCCCGCCCTCGTCATGCGCAGTTGTTCACGCACTTCATCGAGCAGCTTGACGCCACCATGTACGCCGAGGGAAGGAAGATCGTGGTGCTGCTCGACAACGCCAGCAACCACACGCTCGCGACGGAAGGTGTCACGACCGAAGACATGTTCGGGTTCCGCACGTGCGCCCTCGGGAACGTGCGCCTCGTGTATCTACCCCCGAACACGACTTGCTTCACTCAGCCTCTTGACCAGGGGCTCATCTCAATGGCGAAAGCGCGGTACCGTGCGCACTGGCTCCGCGCCTTTACCGGCATGTGGTGCGATGACGGCGCAACTACCGCGGCTGCGCGTTTTAGGCCGAATTTGCGGCTTGTGGTGGAATGGCTCCACGACGCTTGGATGAACGTGGGCCCGCGGGCCATCCAGCGCTGTTGGTGGCGCACCGGTTGTCTTCCCCACGTGTGGGCCATGTCTCTCCCACACGTGGGAGTCGGTACCGGCAACAACGGCAACAACGGCGGCGCAGGCGGCGGCGGTGCGAATGTAGCCGACATCGGCCTCGATGCAGAGCTTGACGGTGTCGGCCTCCTCATTGGACAGCTGCGCCTCGGGCCGAGCGCGATGGCCGCCGCCGATTTCGTCAACATCGACGCCAACCAGCCCACCTGCGCCGAACCGGGGGATGACCCTCTTGCAAGGGAGCCCGCGTCCGCGGCGACGCCCGCAATGTGGGAGGCGCCTGCTAACATGCAGGCTGTCTACAACGACAGCAACCCTGCGTCGCGCGAAGCGCGCCGCACCGCTCGCGCTGCGTGCGAGATGCTGATTGGCTACGCGCGGGCAACGTGCATTTCCCCGCGCGACCTTTGCGCCTTGTTCGACATTCGCAATCCCATCATCGTGGCGCGGATGGAACGCGCGAGCCCGCCTCTCGATCTCAACCACGCCCCACCCCCGGTTGTGACTCACGCCGACACACCGCCGCCTGAGACCCCTCGTCGCCGCGGTCGGGTGCTTCCTGCGTGGGCGCATGTGCCCACCCCGGACTGGGTGGCGCAGTCGGCCCGTCGCCAGGAGCTCATTGACGCCGGTGCACCCGCCGTGATGAGCGGGTACCTGGCCGCTGCAGAGTGGATGCGGCTGTGAGAGGGGATTTCGACCCCTTAGAGGTAGAGCTTTACTCATCCTCTAGTGCATCAGGTGTACGCCTTGTACACATTTGCAAGAATTGGGACGGATGTCGGGGGGTTTATATTGTGTACAGGTGGAGCAGCTTCATTGGGTAGAAGAGGAAATGTGGTGTTTGTGACAGTGCAGGTTGTGAACTGTAATGGGTTGTTAATGAAATGGGCGAAAAATGTGGTAACAACCCTTGGGAATGTACAACAAACAAAGCCACCTTACACTGTTGCGGGAAAGGACAAGCGTGTAACCACACCTGCCTTTTAAACGCCCCCGATGGCCGTGGCGAAAGCCACGAAGTGCCCGAAATGACTGGTTCGCTTATAGTCCCAGAGCACAAGGAAAGGTTGGGGGACTATAACGCGCATTAGGTGTACACCGCGAAACCTCTTTGTACGGAACGGTTATCGTACCATTCGATACGACGACGACACTACCCTCCTCCCCCTCCGTTTCCCTTCAAAGGTTCATACGAGCAGTAACAGTAAAACACGGGCGAATCCGCAACCGCTTGCTCGCGCTCGCGGAAGCGATCTGCCCGCGGGCAGAAAAAAACTAAACCCCATCGCGACCGGCATGCGGCTCGGGAGCCTCAACCCTAAAATCTTAGGGTTGAGGCTCCCGAAGGCATGCCGGTCGCGATGGGGTTTATTTTTTTTGCCCCGGGCAGATCGCTTCCGCCGGCTCCGCGTCCTGGTGGAAACGGGTCCCCACCAACTCCCTCCCACCCACACACCACAGGCGCTCATGGTCGTGAAGTGAAAGTCAAGGCTAGAAGGATCAGGCAGGAATCAGGATGGCTGACGACGAGTCGAATCATACAAACGGTCAAGCAGAAGACCTCGCTTGGTCGGTGGCGTTCGATACCAACAAAATTTATTGAATACACTATAACCTCGTGCCCTTACAATTATATATGCAGGATAATAGCACAAAATTCAAATAAGAAGCCGTACTACACTCAAGCTTAAAAGGTGAAAACAATAAAAAATAATTGGCCTTTTTTTTAAGGCACACGTGCACGAGTGATTCTATCAGCAGCACTCATGTACTGTGTTATGTACACATGCCTAATGCACAGTTCCTCGAAATTAAAATTCTCGGGCACAATCATTGGTTGGCTTCGGAAGCACATGTGATTGACACACAAGGCGCAAGAGATCCTTCAACTTGGACGCGTTCAACTGCACAAAAAATACATGCCTTGGCTTTATCCAGACCTCAAGGTTGCAAACAGACCAGGATGTGAAGAAGCAGAGCACGAAAAAGCTTACAGGTTTGCTCATGTACGAATCCATTCCTGCCTCTATGCACTTCACTCCATCTCTGATAAGGGCTTGTGCTGTCATCTGCAAGAAAAAAAGGGTACAGCTGTCAGTTCGAATGAAATTGCTGATTTTTTATTGCAAACTAAGCGAATAACTGAGCATTACAGCAATAATGGGCGTATGGCGATTTGTTGTAGACTCGTATTCACGAATCCTCTTGGTTGCTTGCAGACCATCGCAAACAGGCATTTGCACCTGAAATTACACATGGGAGAAGAGGGAACAAGCGCAGGACAGGCAGGGAAAGTGAATTGACGGAGAAGAAGGGGAGCAAACAGCTGGCGGTACATGATGCATACAGATAGTAAAGAAGCAAAAAAAAAGTTTGACATACTCACATCCATTAGTATCACATCAAACACTCCTGTCTGAACCTTCTCCAGGGCTTCTTCACCATCACTGGCCAGAACCGCCTCGTGCCCCCACTTGCGCAGCAGAGTCATGGCGACCCGCTGGTTCACAATGTTGTCTTCTGCAACCAGGACCTTGAGACACCTCTCAGCCGCTGCTGATGCCGATGCCTCGTCTGAAGCACTTGAATTTGAGGCAGACAGCCCATCCTGACAGAAAGAGAGAGGAGTGATCAGCATGGGATGGAGAGAGTGAGTGCGGACGACCAATGCCAACCATTTAGAAGTGTACAATGTAGGTACGATTGCGCAATGCTCGATGGAACAATCAAAGCAAGGAAGATCACCTGCAGAGGGAGCTTCAATGCCTGCTTGACTCTTCGCAGAAGCACTTTCCTCTTCACAGGTTTGGGGGCATGGAGTTGCACCCCGAGTTCCTTGCACCTGTTAAGCAGCATACCAAGAAGTCATAACCAATCGTACTCAGAAAAACGAATTGTGAAGTGAATGCCAGACATATATGTGCTCTCACGGTGTTACGACGTTGGTTAATCACTTACAAGGCCTTGTCGTCAGGACCACCCGGTGTCAGCAACACCACAGGCAGTGCCGAGTCCTCTTCCTGAGGCTCGGGTTGACACCCCTCAGTTGCAGAGCAGGAAGCCTGTGCCTGGCCGCACCTCTGCAGCCGCATCTCTCCTCCACTGTCAGATGTAGCAGACTGAGATTCAGCCCTCTGAACTGTCAGTACCTGCTGGCCGGAACTCTCGCCTGGTTTCTTTGCGGAAGCGTTTCCCCCTGTTCCTGAAGAGAGCACCCAGGTATCAGGCTCTTCTTGTGCTGCTGCTGAGGCCTGGTCCCCGGAGAACAGCCAAGTGGGCACAGGGGACTCCGAGCGCCCAGTGAGATCCTCCATCTCTTGCGCGGCACCGCTACTGCATTCCCCTTTTGAGAATCCGCATCCAAAGTTGTCCTGATGGAGCAAATTCTGCTCCCTGATGTGTCGCAGCAGCTTCGCACAGCTGATGGACGAGGCAGCACAGTTATCGTAGGAGGAGGAGCAGGAGGGAGAGGATGATGATGAGGAGGAAACATGGGGAGAGTCCCTGACTTCAGAGTCGACAATGAGGAGGGTGTATGGAGACTCGTCGTATGCTGCTTTCTGGAGCATTTCCAGAGCGGAGGCTGCATCAGCTGCATCGTCTGCCTTTACTTTCAACTTCTGCAAGAAAAGGAGAAAAAAAAACAGAAAACCCACATTGCATCACTTTCCCTCGTACTGGCAGCAGTAACAGAAAATTATGGCTAGCAGAACCCACCTCAAGAGTCGAAAGGATGGACTTCCTCAATGATTCATTCCCATCCACAACAAGCCCGCGAAAAGTGTTAATTTTCGGACACAGAGTGCCACACCGTGCCAACGAGGAGGGCTTTGCAGGCTCAGCTGGTACGGTGAACTTGGCTGTGAAACAAAACGTTGACCCGCAACCCTCTTCGCTCTCTACCCACATGTGGCCACCCATCGCATTAGCCAGGCGAGACGAGATCATTAATCCCAATCCTGTCCCTCCATACAGCCTGAAACACACACTGTAAACATCAGCCATTGATCTCTTCACTGGGGAAAAAAGAAAAAAAGAGATACTTATGGAAGAACAACTATGAAAGTCACATCTCACCGTGAATCTGATGCGTGCACCTGACTGAAAGCTTGAAATAAAAGACACTGTTTGGCTTGAGGTATGCCGATCCCTGGTAGAAACGGAAACGCAAGCATTGATACAACATGAAAAATTACCCCTTATTGGCTTGGAGTGAAACCATTTTTCTGATTACAAACCTGTGTCTTTAACAGCAAAAAGAACCTCTGCAGTCTGATCCTCGAGAGAAACAAGTGTTGCAGTTAGCAGAACCTCCCCCTTCTCAGTGAACTTGATCCCATTACCTGCAAAATTGAGCATCACGATAAAATTCAGACCCTCTATGCTGAAAAATAGCATACATAAATGTAAGCGGGCACTGTACTGAATCCTACCCAAAAGGTTGATGAAGATCTGAAGAAGGCGTCCAGGGTCACCCATGAGACTTTCTGGCATGTTAGGAGACCTCATCCATGATACAAGTGCAAGGCCCTTCTTCCTTGCCCGATTTGCCAGGACAGATACGGCATGCTCCATCTGGAGGAAAAAATGATTCGAATAAGCCGTTATTGAGAACCAATACGCCATCACTGAAAAAACATGTGGTTACAAAAGAAGCAGATAACTACCTGGTCCTCTAGTGAGAACTCAATGTTCTCCAGGTCCATTTTTCCTGCTTCGATTTTGCTGAAGTCCAAAATGTCAGCAATCAGACGCAGAAGATGCTTGGCCGAGTACAGGGACTACACATACAAGCACAATCAACACATCCAGTCAGTCGTGGCCGAAGTAAAAAAAAAAAAAAAAATGTTTTCTTGTCTGCAATCAAAATGCACAGGAAACTTACGAGCTCAAGATACTCGATCTGTTCGGAGCTGAGAGCAGTATCCAAGCAGAGCTCAGTGCAGTTGATGATGCCATTCAATGGTGTTCTGATCTCATGAGACATGTTTGCCAGAAACTCAGATTTTGCCTTGTCTGCTGAGACTGCCTGCTCCTTGGCAACCTGAAGCTGTAACTCCATACTCTTCCTCTCTTCCACCTCAGAGGATAGACCCTGGTTCAGCAGTGCCAGATCTTGTGTGCGTTCCACCACCTGAAACTTAACATTGTTGCCTGTCACTAAGAAGCACTTTCATTTTCGCGCAAACCAAAGGAAAAAAGAAAAGAGAGGGGAAAAGGATGACCAGATGTAAAATGACCACACCTTTTGTTCCAAAGTAGAGTAAGCGCTGGAGATCTGATCAGCCATGTCATTGAACACAAAGCAAAGCTCATCAATCTCGTCTTTCAAGCAGCCTCGCCGCCCATGAGCTCTTGCACTGTAATCACCCCGTGCCAGTTTGCTCGCTGCATCGCCAAGCTCCATGATCGGACGGGAGAAATACTGCACAGAGATGTACCACAATATAAGTAAGAATACCCCCATGCAACGAGCATACGAATCTCGAGAGAAGATAATGAAGAATGTCATACCGTGGCTAAGGCATAGGCGGCGAGGATCCCTAGCACAAAGATGCAGGACATTGAAATTATAATAATCTTCTCAAACTTCCTAATAGACATGTATACTTCATTTTTGTCGATTGTGGCTGCCAGACCTGCAATGATGAAAGTAGCTTATAAGTCTGAAAACAATTTATAACAATGAAACAGGAAATCTACAGAAGAAAATCAGAAGAGGCAAGAACTGCAAGACATACCCCAGGAATCATAGCCAATGGGCCGGTAAGCAGCAACAACGTCAACACCACGAAAGTCAACCCCTTGATAATATCCAGTCTGGCATGACCCTGCTCTGTAGGCAGCACCGCTGTAAGTCGTCTCCTTCACAGAAGGATCCTTAATTGGAGGAACTATGAACTTCACCACGTCCTCGCCTTTATTGACATATGCAACAAGAAGCTCTCCAGTGGACTGAAGACCAGTTCCATCATGCACAGTTTGCTTGAACTTCTCAGCATCAACTGTAGCCAGAAGAATTCCACAAAAGGTGTCCTGAAAGACAGAAAGTGTCAGAAGAGAAAGATAAGAGCATCTTTTTTTTTTCGAAACAGATAGTTCAAAGGACTTATCAAACCCGTTAGATGAAATAACACACCTTATAGTCAACAGAAGCTGTAATGTCGATCAAGAATGTATTGTTGCGTCCGGCATAGGGAGTCCCGGACCACACTGAAATGTTCCGACTCTGCACAACCAGTGCTCGCCCATGCAAGCGCCTTGGCAGCGGCTCCACATCAGCTGGATGCTTGCTGGAAAACAAAAGTTCACCGTCACTGCTGTAGGCTCCTAACGCCAGGACATTAGCTGCACTCATGACAGCTGAGTTAAGATCCTCCGTTCCCATCTTGTAGTCATTTCTGGTAAGATCGGACTTCCCTTGCTTGTGCATGAGCAGCAGGGATGAAATGACAACGCGAGATGCTATCAGCTTCACTGTATCTTGCGTTCCGATGATGTAGGCCAGTATCTGAAACAACAAGAAGATACAAATTTCAACTTAACAATCACAATAATAACAATTTATAACCGAATTGACCAACATAGCAGGTGATACAGTTGGTATAATAGCCAGAATTAGGGTTATACCTGCTCTTGACGAAGGCTTGCGACAGTGTCAAGCCTTTCCCGTATTTCTCCAGTCAAGGTTGATTTCGACAGCCTCCACAGAACGACGGCCAAAACACCCGAGCATATCAGCACCAGAGCACCAACGAAAAACGTCAGCTTCACCCAGATTCGCGGCTGAAACCTTCGCCTTGTAAACCGGCGACGTGGGCTTCGCGAAAGGCCATCTCCTGAAAGAATAAGACGACAAATCAGGTGAAATCGGCGATTATCATGATGGGGTTGAATCACATAAAAAGGAATAGGCTGATGATACTAACTTTCTTGAATCTCGAGAGACGTGAAGTGTTCAGGATGCATGGTAGAAGGTCAACGGCTATGGTAGTAAAGGGAATTCAATCCTTAAGCTAGTTCCACAGGGTCAGACTATTCGTAGTTGAGACATTCCAGGCACAGAGATGGTGCTTAAGAGCAGGCTTATGACTCTACGTCGCAGGTGCCTAAGAAGTAGCTGACATGGAAACAATATATTTTTAAATTCGCTGGAAACACGGAAATGGAGCTCGCACCTCGTGACTGAAGATATTTCGGTGAGAAAAATCCGAACAAGAAGGTCGTGTGGCGCAAAGCCTATCATCACTGGCGCGCTCATCCCATCCTACGCCTTGAGTTTTGCCCGTAATGCCACGCAAGCAAGAAAACTCGGAACTTGTTGTCCAGCCTGGAAGTCTAATCGAAGAGTCCCAGCTTGGAGGGTAAGTCGAAAAGAGAGGCGGCGGTGGATTCTGCATCCCATCACCTGCCATTTCTTATAGACGTTGAGGATATGAGCGGTAATGTGACTGATGACTGGGAACGTCATGCAGATTCTGAGCGAACGGGAACCTCGAGAATGAAGAGCACAATGACGAAGCAAGGAGATTGCGAGGTGGAAAAACACGGTCAGAAATCTCGCTGGAGAGAAGTGATTGCTGGGCGGGAAGCCTGTAAGCAGTGGGTGGCAATCATTAGCCAAATGTCCCTGCATTTCGACTCCATGCAGGAGAAACGACAGCCTTTCAGACGAAATTTTGTGACTTGTTTCTCGCAAATCAGATTCCCGCTGCCGAGTGGACGCTGATTCGGGTCGAATACATACTTTTGAGTTCCAGATCACCTGGAGCCAGTTATTCCCACTCTCTGACTGGGCGCGCTGTCAGTGCTCGCTGATTTGAATCCGTGTCTCGGTTCGCTAACTACTGAACTCGTCAGAGCTATTCTGTGTTGTCTAGCTGTCGCAGTGCGCATGCAGACCTTTGCAGAGCACTCTCAAGAATCGAGCGTTGCAGGGCACCAGAAGCAGCGTTCCCAATTCCTAAGGGTGTGGGCAGCGCGTTCATTTTCCTGGCTTAGCCCGAAACAGTTACCTCATTCAGCGGTTTGTAACCCCGATTTAGGGTAATGCGTGGACACGACGGAGTATACAGTGGATGAACTGTGGCTGTTTTCCGTGCCGTCAACCGAACAAAACACGTACCCACAACGTCCGCGAACAACCCGCGCATCATTTGAGAAAGCGTGTGAATTCGTAGTGTGGCTTGGGGGGATTGAATATCCCCCAAGATTTGTGGGTGGCTGAGTGCGGCGGATCGAGTGTCTGGTGTGCGCGAATTTTTGCCACCTTCAATTCGGAGGCACAGGGCTACCTTGTTGGGTGGGCGGTTTGGCAAAAGTGTGGCGGGTTCTGTGCCTAAATTTGGACGAGCGTGTCCCACCTGGGACACAAACTAAGCGCGGTGCAAAAATGCTACAGTAACCTCCAGATTCGACGGGCGTCAAAATTTTGGAAAAGTGGAGAAAATGAACGCGCTGCCCACGCCCTAAGAGTCAGTCTTCATCCTCGCTTCAAAAGAATCGAGCGAGCCATCCTCGTTTGCGACGCAGTGCTTCCAGTGGGATACTGGCACACGGTGGTACGGGAGAATTGGTTATATCTTACATCCAACATTCGGACATTTCTTGTAAGAGTAGAACCACCAGCCTAACATATTTCGGTCATGTACTGTACGGTACCTTGTCCAGGCCCCTAGTGCACAATAATTGCTTGCTCAGTCCAAGTGCCATAGACTAATCACCATGCGTAGCATCCATGTTGCTCCCTCACATGTTTCTACCAATACCAGAGCCGCTGCCAAACTGTCGCGTCCTACTGTTGGGCCAACAGCAGTAAAAAAAGGAATTCCTGCTTCTGTCACTAATCTTGCAGCTGCTTTCATGCAGCTTCCAAATATCTTGTTCAGTGCTCCAACCTCCTCCCCGGCCAAGCTTCAGGGTGCTGGAGTTCTTTTCCCACCTCAATACACACTCAGGGAGCATTGCGACGACGCCTCACCGCAACATCAGTGACGTTTGAATGACACCTCTGCATCTTGCAAAACACCTTCTGCATCTTGCGAAACCTCTCTGCATCTCTGCATCTTGCGAAACACATCTCTGCATCTTGCGAAACACCTCTCTGCTCCTTGCCCAGAACCTCTTTGCACCTTCCATAACACCTCTCCACCTTCAACAGCAGCCATCCCGTCTCGTTACACATCTCCCTTCTTACAGCTTCCCTTCCCCCTCCCCAAGGGACATCACTACCACATCCTCCGCAATCAATCCTGCTGTCTCCCCTCCCCTCCCTTCCCTCCTGACATTAGAGTCGACTCAAAAGTCACCTCACTTCCCCTCTCGTAGAGACAGCACCGCCACACCCTCTGCAATCGCTGCCGCAGTCTCCCCTCCCTTCACTCCTGTTTTCTCCCCCTTACCCCCCTGTTTCCCCCCCCCTCCTGCTGCCCCACCATTCTCAGTACCAGCACCAGCAGCAGCACCACCAGCTGTCACACCAGCAGTAACAGCTCCCACCTTCTCTCCACCTATCGCACCAGCAGGAGTAGCGGCGGCGGCGGCGGCGGCGGCACCAGGTGTAGGGCTAGGCATGACAGAAGCAGGTAGCATACTGGCAAGTGCACTCGCACTACTAGACACTCCTCCTCCTCCTCCCCCCACAACTCCAAGCCCTGACCCTGCTCCGCCTCCTCCTCCACCTCCTCCTCCCCCTACCGCTCCCCCTCCCGCTCCCCCTCCCGCTCCCCCTCCTCCACGCCCTCCTCTCCCTCGCCCAGCACCAGGAGCAGCACCAATAGGCCCTGTGTGAGAGTACATCATTCTCCCGTGTCCCCCATACCCAGCAGCAGCAGCAGCAGCAGCAACAAGATCCAGCAGCACCAATGGCAGCACCGGGCGCAGCGTTGGCGGGAAGAGGCAGGCCGGCAGGACCGAAGGCAGGGTTGATTGGGCCGAGCGGCATAAGAGGAGGGAAAGGGAAGTCCAGCGGACGAGCGTCAAGCCGAGGCTGGGCGACCCAGAAGGGGAACGGCGGGAGAGGGACAGGGCAGCAAAAGAACAAGGGAAAAGGAGAAAAGGGGAGACGGGGAAAGGGATTCGGGGGAGGAAAGGAGGGAAGGAGTGCGTGGGTATCTGCATCAGAATAGCCTGTGGGCAGGAGCAGCGTTGGCAGGAAGAGGCAGACCAACAGGGCCAAAGGCAGGGGCCAAGGGGCATGAGAGGCGGGAAGGGGAAATTCAGCGGACGAGCTCAAGCCAAGGCTGAAAGGCCGGGGAAGGGGAAGGGGAAGGGGAAGGGAAAGGGGAGGGGAAGTGGGGAGGAGAAGGGAATTCGGGTGCGGGTGATGGGGTATAGAAACGACGGGCAGGAGAAATACCTGCGGCAGAAGCACTGGTCCTGGATTCCGCCCCACTACAATCCGCCTCTGCTGCTGCAGCTGCTGTTGGTGCTGCTGATGCTGCTGTTGCTGCTGCATATGCTGTTGCTGCTGATGTTGCATTTGCTGTTGCTGCAGCAGCTGCTGCTGCTGTTGCTGCTGCTGCTGCTGCTGCTGCTGCGACTGCTGCTGGTGAGGGAAGGGGTGGGAAGGGTGGCGGGTCTTGCGCTCCTGCATGGCGCGCTGGCGCGAGTCGTAGAAGGTAAAGTCGTCCAGAATGGACGTGCGTGACGAATAGCCCTTGAACAGCCGCAGCATCTCCTGCCCCTGCTGCAGCGGCACCTGGGGGGGGGGAGAGGGGGGGAATGGGGGAAGAAGGGAGGGGATTGAGACGTATGAGAAGCAATGAAGCCTGTACCACTAGGAACTGGGGGCGAGTAGCCCTTGACCAGCCGCAGCATCTCCTGCCCCTGCTGCAGCGGCACCTGCGAAGGGGTGGGGGGAGGAAGGGGGAAGAATGGGGAAACGGGGCAACGGGGAGAGGGGCAGACAGGGAGAGGGGGAGAGGAGGAAAACGGGAGAGAGGAGCCAAGAGTGTGGGTGCGGGGAGAGGTGGTGGTGGTGGGAAGGGTGGCGGGTGTTCCTGGGGGGTTGAGGAGAAAATGGGAAGGGTAAGGAACCGCAAGGAGTGAGAAGGGGATAGGGGGCGTTGAAGGAGAGAGGAGGGAAGGAATTGAAGGAATTATCATCATTAGGCACGATGATGAAGTGCCAAAACCGCGAGTTGGGCGCGTCCTTGATCACATGCCATAGCCACACTCCCCCGTAGCCAACCCCTTTGCACCCCCTCTCAACCCCTCCCAACCCCCTTGACAGCCACCATCCTTCCTCACCTCCTGGGTGTCTCGGCTATTAGTGACCGGTTTGCCATCATTTGAAGCGATGATGATATGCCGGAACTGCGAGTTGGGGACGTCCTTGATGATATGCCACTTGACTTGAAAGTGTCCGTTCCACTTGTCCTGCTGCCAATAGTCCACACTTCGAGTGAAATCCACTGGGGTCAGCATCTCTGCCACTCCACAGAACTGCCCACTCGCGTTCACCTGACACAGGAGGGGGGAAGGAATAGGGGAGTAGGGGAAGACGGGGAGGGAAGATAGGGGAAGTGAGAGCAAAAGAGAGTAGGACAGGAAGTGTCTGTTCCACTTGTCCTGCTGCCAATAGTCCACGCTTCGAGTGAAGTCCACTGGGGTCAGAATCTCTGCTACCCCACAGAACTGCCCACTCGCGTTCACCTGGAGGGGGAGGGAATGGCAGGGGATAAAGGAGGAAATGCAGGAGCAGGAAAGAGAGGGGAGAGGAGAGTGTGAGTGAAGTCCACTGGGGTCAGCATCCCCGCCACCCCACAGAACTGCCCACTCGCATTCACCTGGAGGGTGGGGAGGGTACATGTGGGAACAGGGGAGAGGGGGAAAGGGAGGAAAGAGGAGGGGGGAGGATTGTCTGGTTCAGACTGTCGGTTCAGAATGCCTGCTTTGGATGCCTGGTTCGAAGTGTGTGGATTAGGGATTCTGGTTCGAGGTGTCTGATCCGGGGTTTGGGGTTTCTGGGTTAAGGTTTCTGGTGCAGGGCAGAGCAGGCACACACACACACACCAAACTTGCAGAGAAGAAGAGGAAGACGGGGCAGGGGTTGGCGCTGCTCTTCCCTGCGGCGTCCTTCTGGTTCGGGGGTTTCTGGTTTGGCGGTTTCCGGTTCGGGTTACAGCAGGCACAAACACCAGACGTACCGAGAAGAAGAGGAAGACTGGGCAGGGGGCGGCGCTGCTCTTCCCTGCGGCGTCCTTGAAGGCGGCGTCGAGGCACTTGTTGCCCGTGGGGGTGGACGCCCACACGCCGTACTTAATGCTCTTGTGCACATCGTCCTCGCTGTAGCTCTTTATCACAAAGAACCGCGCCCCCAGGGGGGGGCGGTCTAGGGTTTCTGGGTTTGGGTTTCTGGCTCGAGGTTTCTGATTCGAGATGTCTGGTTGGGGGTTTCTGGTTTGGAGTCTCTGGGTTGGGAGTTCCTGGTTCGGGGCTTCTGGGTTGGGGGTTTCTGGTCCGGGTTACAGCAGGCACAAACACCAGACTTACGGAGAAGAAGAGGAAGACGGGGCAGGGGTTGGCGCTGCTCTTCCCTGCGGCGTCCTTGAAGGCGGCGTCGAGGCGCTTGTTGCCCGTGGGGGTGGACGCCCACACGCCGTACTTAATGCTCTTGTGGACATCGTCCTCGCTGTAGCTCTTTATCACAAAGAACCGCGCCGCCTCGTACGACGTCTTGAAGTCTGCGCGATTGTACTCGTCCAGACGTAGAGTAATTCCACCCCGCGCCCCCCCTACTGCTGCTGCTACCCCCCCTGCCACCACCACTCCCCCTGCCCCCACTGCTCCCCCGGCTGCCCCTGCTCCCACCCCTGCTGCAGCTGCGGCAGCAGCAGCAGCGCCTATAGGCTCTCCTATGGCACCAGCAGCTGCTCCTATAGGCATAGGCGCACTGGGGGCGCCTGGGGCGGAAGGAGTGGACAAGCCCTGCCCCCTACTTCTGCCCGTTCTAGGCCCTCTGTTCTGATCACTAGACCCGTCATAGACACCGTTTTGCTGCCCCTGCGGACCCTGTTGCCCCATCTGCTGCTGGTGCTGCCCCTGTCCCCCCATGCTGCCTAGCAAACCAGCCCCTCTGTTGGCAGGGGAACCGGCTCCCCCAGTGTTCCCCCCGCCTCCCCCTGCTGCTCCCCCTGCCCCTGCGCCTCCTCCCACTCCTCCCCCGCCTGTTGTAGAGACTGCTCCCCCTCCCCCTGCAGCTGCACCAGCACCCGGCCCACTTCCGCTCCCCCCTCCCCCGCTTCCCCCTCCGCCTCCCTGGCCCCCACCCCCAGGACCTTGCCCCCGCCTGTTCCCCCCCCATCCACGCCCGCCTCCCCTTCCCGCTCCTCCGCCACCGTCTCCCCCCCGCCCGCCTCCCCCGCGCCCGCCCATAGGCTGCTGACCCCCGCGGGGGAGGAGATTGTACCCCCCACGGCCCATGGGGAGCGGGTTTATGGGGGGGGAGGCGGAGGACATGGGGGAAGGCCGGGGGTAGGCGTGCATGGGCATGTGGGGCATGTGGGGAGGGGCGCCGATCACTGGGGGCATGTGACCCGGGCGGATGTGCGCGGATGCTGCGCCTGGCTGGGAGGAATCGCCAGGCTGGGCTGGGTCTGGGGGGCGGGGGGAACGGGGAAAGAAAGGAAAGGGTAGGATTGGGGGGAGGGAGGGGGGTTGGGGGAGGTGGCAGGAAAGGAGACGGATGGGGGGAGATTAGCATCAGTGAGAGCGGGGGAGGGGCAAGACTGGAGGCATGTGGGGAGGGGCGCGGGTAGGCGTGCATGGGCATGTGGGGCATGTGGTGTGGGGAGGGGCGCCGATCACTGGGGGCATGTGACCCGGGCGGATGTGCGCGGATGCTGCTGCGCCTGCCTGGGAGAAATCGCCAGGTTCGGCTGGGTCTGGAGGAGTGGGGAGGAGTAGGGGGCCAGAGGCGCGGGAGGGGGGGTAGTGGCGGGAAAGGAGAAGGATGAGGGGAACACAGATTGGGGAACCGATCACTGGGGCCATGTGTGGGCCATGTGTGGGCCATGTGTGGGGCAGGTGTGGGGCATGTGTGGGGCATGTGTGGGGCATGTGTGGGGCATGTGTGGGGCATGTGTGGGGCATGTGTGGGGCATGTGTGGGGCATGTGTGGGGCATGTGTGGGGCATGTGTGGGGCATGTGTGGGGTATGTGTGGGGCATGTGTGGGGCATGTGTGGGGCATGTGTGGGGCATGTGTGCAATATGTTTCCGCCCATCAAGGACGGGTGTGCGCCCGCCCCTGCCTCACAACTTACCGCCAGGCGAAGGGGGTCGGAGTAGGGGCGGCTGAAAAAAAAGGAGCACCTTAGAAGGGGTACCCGGGTATGGAAGGGAACGTGGGAGGGGAACAGGGGGAAGGGGGGGCATATGCCCGCCCACCTGGGACAGATCTTATACGTCGACTCAACACTTACCTCCAGGCGAAGGGGGCGGAGTAGCGGCGGCTAGAACATAGGAGGACCTTGAAAGGGATACCCAGGGGGGGGGGCGCCGAACATGTGTGCGCACATCATGGACGGGTGCGCGCCCGTCCCTGACTCACGACTTAACGCCAGGCGGGGCGGAGTAGGGGCAGCTGGAACATAGGAGGGCCTTGGAAGGGGTACCCGGGGGGAGGGGCGCCGAACATGTGCGCGCCCATCATGGACAGGTGCGCGCCCGTCCCTGACTCACGACTTACCGCCAGGCGAGGGGGGGCGGAGTAGGGGCGGCTGGAGGAGGGCCTTGGAAGGGGTACCCGGGGGGAGGGGCGCCGAACATGTGCGCGCCCATCATGGACAGGTGCGCGCCCGTCCCTGACTCACGACTTACCGCCAGGCGAGGGGGGGCGGAGTAGGGGCGGCTGGAACATAGGAGGGCCTTGGAAGGGGTACCCGGGGGGAGGGGGGCCGAACATGTGTGCGCCCATCATGGACGGGTGTGCGCCCGGGGGCATGAACGGCATGAAGCCGGGCGGGGGGTGGTGAAGTGCCATGCCCTGATGCTGCTGCTGCTGCTGCTGTTGCTGCTGCTGCTGGGGTTGTTGGGGTTGTTGGGGTTGCTGGGGTTGCTGGGGTTGCTGCGGCTGGTTGGGTTGGTGTCCTTGCTGCTGCGGTTGCTGTTGCTGCTGGGTCGAAGGTTGCTGCCCCGTCTGCTGGTTGCTGCTTCGTGCTTGCTTCTGATCCTGCTGCTGCTGATGCTGCGCGTTTTGATTTTGCTGCTGATCCTGCTGCCCCTGCTGCCCCTGCCCCTGCCCCTGCCCCTGCCCCTGCTGCTGCCCCTGCCCCTGCTGCGGCGCCTGCGCCTGCCCCTGCTGCTGTCCCTGTTGCGACTGCTGCTGCGCCGTTAACGGCGGCGGAGGTTGCGGCTGTCCGGGTGGAGGTGGGTGTATCATGTGCGGCTGGGGCGGTTGGCCGGGTGCATGGGGGGGCATGAGGCCGGGCGGCATGTGTGGGTGCGGGTAGTGTGGCACGTGAAACCCAAACCCTGGCTGTAGGCAAAAGGACAGGGGTATAGCAGAGGTGAAATGAGAAAAATATAGCTGAAAAGACACAAACATCCGTAAGAGGAGAGATTCAACACCTCTCGGCGGGTTTTTAGGAGGTTTAGGAGGCACAGCTACTGAGCCTTTCAGCTAAACCACAGACGGTGACGGCTTTGCAAACGGCCTTGTAAGCGCCCCTGCAAACGCTTACCCGGCAAACGGTATTATAGACTTCCCAGACGACCTACCAGCGGGTGCTGGCCGTCCATAATGCCCGCTCCACCGTCCATCCGCGCAGCCATGCGCAAGTGCTCCTCCCACTGCTCCGAGTGACTTTTGAGTCGACTCAAAAGTCACGCACACAGCCTAAAAGACCTACCGGCGGGTGCTGGCCGTCCATCATGCCCGCTCCTCCATCCATCCGCGCAGCCATGCGCATGTGCTCCTCCCACTGCTCCGAGTGACTTTTGAGTCGACTCAAAAGTCACGCACACAGCCTAAAAGACCTACCGGCGGGTGCTGGCCGTCCATCATGCCCGCTCCTCCATCCATCCGCGCAGCCATGCGCATGTACTCCTCCCACTGCTCCGGGGGCATGCGCGGAGGTTCCGCGTAACCTGCGGAGGGGGGGAAAGGCGGGGGTTTGTGGGGGGGGTAAGCACGTTTTGAGCGGACAGGCTGTTTGAAAAAGAGGGTGAAACGGGGAGGAGAGAGAGCGGAGGGGAGGGGGGGGGGGGAGGGACACCTGGATGGTGAGTGCTACGACGTGATGTGAATAACGGAAGGATGTATAACGGCGCGAAACGTACACCGGGGAAAAGAGGGGGAGGGAGGGGGTGGGCGGGAGGAAGGTGGTGTGGGGGGATACGGGCAGGGAACAAGATCGATGTGGTGGTTGGGGGGGAAAGGGGGAAGGGAGGAACGGCAGCGCGGGGATAGAGGCTTGGTGACAAAGGGAACTGTGTAGATGAGTGAAAAAAAACTAACCTGGCATGGAGTAATCGTAGTAGTAATGGGGGATGTATCCATTCCCGGGGTAGTACATGCCATGCATATCCGGCCCCATAGGCGGAACCATGTACGGCTGCATGTGCTGCATTCCCCCGGGCATCGGCTGCATCACAGGAGACGCGCCCGCCACCCCCCCTGCGCCGGGTGCTCCGCCTGCGCCCGGAACCCCCGCGACTGGGGGAAGGGTTCCAGGGGGGCCGGCGATTCCAGGGCCCGCGGGCGCGGCGACGGCGCCAGGCGGTGGTTGGAAAGAACCCCCTGACCCTGTATGGGAACCCCCTGCTGCTCCTGGAGCCTGCGTGGAATGAGAATGGGAATGAGGCATAGAAAGTATGCGGAAATCGCAGGGTGTTTTTAAGAATTCTCGAAAACACCCAGCAAGAACCCCCTGGCGGTGCATGGGAACCCCCTGCTGCTCCTAGAGCCTGCATGAGACGAAGGGTACAAGGGAATGCGGCTTAAAAGTATGCGGAAACCCCGCTGCTATTGGAGTTGCCAATGGCGAAAACGTGTAATATGAATCACATCATTTCGAATATCGTTTTTTATCAGGTCGCCTTTTGGTTTCTCGCGACTGGTGAAGTCCGTCAGATGGGAGAGGCTTGATACCTCTTGCGAGTAAAATGTGTATCGAGGATTTTTTGCGGACGAGGTGAATGCGGATTGGTGGACTCCAAGAATTCCTTTGACACTAAAAAGGAAATTCTTCCTCTAAAAAAGCGCGCGCATTTGCGGCGAAAAAAAAAAAACAAAAAAAAAAACTATGTTCACTCGGAGAGGATAAGAGCACACCCTTAACAAATCATTCTTTCGAAAACAACTCTTAACAATAAGTCTTTAAGCTCTCTTGAATTGAGGCGAATGTACCTCTGCTGGTGGAGCCGCGGCAGTGGGAGCTGCTGCTCCATTAGAGCCGCTAGATCCCTCTGGTTTGTTGGAAGCTGTTGATGGAGAATAACGCAGGAAGCCGGAGACAGACCGGGGAAAAAATAGAAGGAAAAACTTGTGTATATGACTGGTGCTAAGAGTTACAGCTAGAATGCACGCAGCAGCAGCTGCTGCTGATGCTGCTGCATTGAACTAGTTCATCATCAGTAGAAAAATAGGTCCACAGAAGGTGAAGCGATGAAGAACAGTGCATTTACTCCAGCGGACAGAGTGAACACGTGAGATGTATACCGTGTCCGTCTTGCGTGACGCTGGACGCAGGTCCGGCCATGGCTTCTTAGTTTCCGAATTAGGGTTCTCAGGAGATTTCGAGGATGACTGGAGAAATGCTACACAAAGACAACAAAAATAAACCTAAAACAAATGAAAATAAAATCTAAAAGACCTAATCGTAACTGCCCTGCATGTGTCCCTGGCAGGCACTATCTAGAGCTCTAGATCTCCATTCAGGGAATATAATGGAGAAGGAAGGGGAGAGGAAAAGAAAAGAGCCTAGGTTTAGGAAAATAATAAAAGCTTGAATCTTGCTCAAGGCTCGGTTGAGGAAGCTGGCAAATTTCAATTTGGGTCGAGCAGAATCGACTTTCTATCGTACTGAACCCATGATATTTTTCTTTGTATTCTTCCGAAACTCCCGCGTTGAGAACAGTTTTCTGAGGGTGATCGAATCTTGCCCTCCGGGCTTTCTGTCTTCATCCATCCCTCTTCCCTCCCCAAACCAGCACCACACACATATCCCCGTTCTGCAGTCTCTCCTCCATGCCTTGAAAGGCATGTGGAGTGGATGGAGTCATCGACGATTCATTCATGGATGCATTTGAGAACTTGGGCCCTGTTCGGCAGGCGCATGAGCATCTAGGCTTGGGAATGGGCTCTGGTTCGGGAGTGGTGCGACCTTTGCACCTGGCAAATCTCCTCAATAACTTTGATCTTGCGCCGAAAATAGCTCAGCGGACAAGCGAGTCCGCCCGGGGGAGCTCGCTGCCCGCGGGCAAAAAAAATAAACCCCAGACGGGCATGCATCCGGTCAGGGAGCCTCAACCCTAAACGCGGGGAGGCATGGTGTTTAGGGTTGAGGCTCCCTCGGATGGCATGCCATCCGATGGGGTTTTAGTTTTTTTCTGCCCGGGGCAGCAGGTCGACAGGTCGACACAGGTCGTCAGGCCTGACGACCCAATTCCGCTGAGATCTTCGCGAAGGTGCAAATCTCCTCGTTCTCGCGCTGGCGATTCTCGCCGAACCGAGAGTATCTCGACCGTCCTTATTTCGCCAGATTCGCCAAGCACCGAAGGTCGTGCGGAGTGTTGTTGGGGAAACCGGTTTTGGAGGGAGCTGGTTTGATTGGCTCTACCCAGGGATTCCCGCGCCACCTTGGGTTTGCTTTGCACCTTACAGCGGGGATGAGTCCTCCATTATAGCACATTACCAAGCGGATGTTGTAACTTCGTAGAAGGACTTCAAATTTTGACATGCTGGAATTATCTCGAAGTACCTTAGAAGGAAACTCCATCCACCCACCCATAAGGTAACAAAAATTATCTTTCAATCCCTCATAAAATCTTGCCTTCCTCGAATGACAGAAAAGCACAGTTGAAGGTCGTTGGAATCAAACTCAACAACTATCAATCAAAACAAACAATCAACTCGCACCAATAAAACACCGTCGCTGATTGCTTCAGTACCTTTCAAGTTACCACTACACGTATTTACAGCAGTTCCAGCAGCACATTATAAAGTAGCCTCACCCATTCATCAGGTGGTCCTGGCAAGCAGTAATGCAAGCAGTCCTTCGGTGCAAAGTGCCCATCAGCCCTGAGAGCAGTTATGGCATCAACATCCAAAAAGACACCACCAATGCCTTCAACAAGCCTTCTTGCCTCCTCATTCTGCTTCGAAAACTCTCCCCACGAAAACGGCAATGCACCGCTTTCCTGTGGCTCTTTCAAAGGCTCGGAATACAAGTTACACATATCATGTCCTGGAGGTGTGCTTCTGTAGATAATAAGCAAACCCGGTGCAGCTGCTCGCACTGTAGCAAGCGTATGGTTTAGCTCTAACACGAAGCGAGAAGTCTCCACGAAATGTGCTCCCCGGTTCAGAACCAGAACGGACACTGGCGAGTTGATCAGGAGTTGCTCCTCAATAGTCAATCCAGCCCCGCTAGAAGGATTCGTTATATTTTGATACCCCTCAAGACTTGATACAGGCGTTATGCCTAGGTTGGTTTCTCGTGTTCCTGGAGATTCCAAGGGTGCAGAGGATATCAACGGTGCAGATTCATCTGAGAGATGCGCAGGTGCTGCCGCCGCCGCCGCCGCCGCTGCCGCTGCTGCTTGTGCTGAGACTGGATCAGTGGTTTCCCGAAGCAAGTCCAGCCAGGGGATGTAGGCTGATTTGGAAGTGCTGTTCACTGATGGCTCTAGAGTTGTATGAAGAGCGTCATTCCGTACGAAGAGCACTGACACGTTGGGTGCCACCCTGACTGACACGTTGACCAGCACGTTGACTGGGATGTTGAGAGAATGGTTGGTTGATGTGTTGACTGCCCCGTTGACTGGGTTATTGAGAGGACCGTTGACTGAGCTGTTGACTTGGAGGCTTTGAAAACCATCAACTGACGTGTTGACTAGACCGCTGACTGAGCCATCAATCCAAATTCCAATCGAGGCTGGGAAGGTGGTAGAAGAGGAGGATCGGAATACAAATCCCTCGCATGCTCGGGGAAACCGGGGCTTGTGCAGCTCCGGGAAGTTGCTTGTGCGGATGTGACAAAAAGGAGGAACGACGCCGGTCACTGCGGGCCATGCTGGTGATTGTGATCCTGATTGAGGTACATCCGCTACTGTGGATGATAATGATGACATGGCTGATGCTTCAGATTCTAATGGTGCTTCTGCTGCTGCTGCTGCTGCTGCTGCTGCTGCTGCTGCTGCTGCTGCTGCTGCTGCTGCTGCTGCGGATACGTCTCCTTCAGGTGCAGTTTCTGCCACTGTTATATCTGCTGCTGCTGCTCCTGCTGCTACAGTGCCTGCTCCTTCCTCTCCTGCTGCTGCTGAATATGGTGAATTAGTCTCCTCAAGCGCTAGTGCACCCAGCAGCCCCAGCTCCGCTCTTGTAGCCACCATGCGGAACTGGTTTCGCAGGGCAGAGTACAAGATGTGGTTGATCGAATCCCCCACTATAAGCACCTTCGTCCCCGCCAGCTTCTCAGCGAGTCTAAACCCATCCACATCCCTCCACTCTCCGCACTCACTGCTTTCCACCTCCCACTGGTACTTCGCAGCTGGACGAACGTTCCACTGACTTTCAAAGCCCCCTCCTGTCCCCTTCACTTCTGCTGCTGTCGCTCCTGCTCCTTCTGTTGCTGTTCCCTCTGCTGCTGCTCCTCCTGCTGTCTCTGCTGCTGCCGCTCCTTCTGCTGCTTCTGCTGCATCTGCTGCCGCTCCTTCTGCTGCTTCTGCTGCATCTGCTGCCGCTCCTTCTGCTGCTTCTGCTGCATCTGCTGCCGCTCCTTCTGCTGCTTCTGCTGCATCTGCTGCCGCTCCTTCTGCTGCTTCTGCTGCATCTGCTGCCGCTCCTTCTGCTGCTTCTGCTGCATCTGCTGCCGCTCCTTCTGCTCCTTCTGCTGCTTCTGCTGCATCTGCTGCCGCTCCTTCTGCTCCTTCTGCTGCTTCTGCTCCTGACCCTGCTTCTGGGAGATGCTGCTTTCTCCGAACGTTCCTCTTGCGTCTATCTTCTCCCTTTCCCCTCGCTCTTCCTTCCGAATCTGTCCTCGCCTCTCTGTCTGCGACAATTTTCCCTCTCTCCTTTCCCCTTCTCCCAATCCGCGCAAAAATCACCCCACGCTCCGCTGCTATCGCCTTCGCTGCAATTACATCCGCGTCCCGGAACGCCACGTGGCCGGGCGTGTGGATCCAACGGTCGTCACACTCCCACTCGCTTCTGTGGCTCTGCTTCCGCGACCACGGCAGCAGGCGCGGGGCGGGCGGAAGCACCCACTTTCCGCGCGTGGACAAGCAGCGCCAGCGCCGCCGCAGTTGCGCCAGATGCGCGGGGGAGCGCACGCGGGATCCGGGGATGAGCGGAGGAGGAAGTGGGGGAAGGGGAGTGGCGGAGGGCGCCGGAGGGGGAAAGGGAGTGGCGGAGAGTGGCGGCAAGGTGTCAGCGACGGACGATGATTCGTCTTGATTTCGTTGATTACTGTTACCCGCATCACTAGTACTCGGCGTATGCCCCATGCGAACATTATCAGTCGCTTGCAGCCACACAGCTGCCCCATGCGACTTAGTGAACCCACCTAAAGCGAGGATAGCACCCTGAGGCTGGCTCACCCGAAACGCAACAACCGCCAGAAGCACCGCTAGGAGCAGCAACAGCAGCAGGGGGGGAAATTTCTCCAGAGTCTGCTGTCTCGCTGATTTTGGGTCGCTGGCATATGCTTCTCGCATTCCAGCGCGCCAATGCCATGTCAAACATTGTGGCCGGAATAGCTTCTGCGGAAATCCCGGGATTTTTTTGGGGTCGGTGGGATGTGACACGTCAGGGGAGGAGGAGTGAGTGGGAAGGTTTGGATCTGCTGCATTTGCGAAATGCCAGGGGGAAAAGGCCGGCATGCGAAAGAAATACGACATTCGCGAAGATCCTGGAGCGTTGTAACATTCGTCAGGAAGGGTTGCAAAGTTCTTCGCCGCATTATCTCATAATCGCGCCGTCCTGTGACCTTGCCGCATGGTTCACGCTGCCGAATACCGCTCACCCGCCGATTCTCGTGGCGGAGGGTGTGCTAAACCCGCTGATGATTTTGCTATCTCTGATTCTGTTGATTCCCTGAAAAGTTCCGAGACGTGTCAGTGTAAATGAAGGGCATAGCGCATACTTTCTAGCAAACTTCAATCAATGGTTAGCGAGTCAGTAATCGCCGAGATTTGTAGGGCGGGCAAGTCCGTGAATCCAGCGAATGCGTGAAGCAGTGAATCTTTTCCGCAATGGGATGGGAGAAGCGGTAGAGGGAGGGAAGGGAAGGGAGAAACGACGAGCCGCGTGGGGGTATTCGGGGAAGGGGGATTTGTAAAGCGGGGCCAATTCCGACGGTCGACAAGCTACTAATTCGAGAATCGAACGGTCCATATTGATAAGGTCTTGGTTAGGTAAGGACGCGTCCCCTCAACGCCGACCTTGAGATCAAACGTACGTAGGATCGAGTTTTTGCGTAGTTAAAAAAGCTTCTAGAAAATTTCAAAGCGATGTGCACAGTATTAGTACGGTGGATGA